AGTATGATTTTGTGTTGTAATACAATCTGCGACTCAGTCAGCTTGATACCTTCTTACTGTAAAATAATGTAAGACCATTGTACACATTATGATTGTCACTACACTACACAATTTATTGCATGTAGCTGCAAATAAAATGAAAGAAGCTTTTCACAAAGAAAAGCGGAAAGCCGTTTACAGTGAGTTTCTAAAGATTCATTATGTAAAACATAAGGAACAAGCATTATTATTTTACAACAATTAATTGCGACATGTGTTTTATCTTTCGCTTCCATTCCTTCCGTGATTCGATGTAACATGTGCTTACCATATATGGATTACATAATTATGGACGGACTATGGATAAATAAAGTTACAAGGAGCTGAGAACAAGCCACGTGTAAAACGTCCCACTCCACTATTTTTAAGGAATGTAACACTTTTGTACCGCTATAGACTGGAGCCCTTAAATTAGAAACAGTTTGACTTTCTCTAAGCACACGTTCCTGTTGACTCTAGCGTAAGCTCCGTGAAAAAAAATAAACGAGACATTAATGGTGTTCTTAAAATATTGTGTTTTGATAGCACTTCTGGATTTTATTGTTATGTCTTCCATGTTTGTTGATTTAACTTCAACGATAATGATCAAGCGAATAGATATGAAAAATGGTTTTATTTTTTCTCCTCTGCGTTTATAGTTATTTTTTAATCAGTACAGATATGTTCACGGTTATACAAGCTACTATTGAAAATATATTATCGAATTTTCCTTCTCTGTAGCTAAGCTCTGAAATTCCTTTACACAACTTAATCATGTAAATACCAGCAGTTCATTATAATTAAACTGTTAGCTAAGGCTTGTAGATGTAACATAAAATTTAGGTAGTTTGCATAAAATTATTACTACGCTTAATTACAAGATCACGTTTTAGCATGTCCATGTGTAGTCAAATCGCAAAAAAGAATGTTGGAATAGAGTTCATTTGTATCGAGTTAGTCTGGAGTCATAGTCACGACTCGGCTACACCAGACACCATTACTCACGTGCGTGTACACTGCGCACTCAGATCGCGACCAAGGATAGCAAAAACAAGTTAGAAAATAAATAATGCAGTAATAAAAACAGTCATTAATGGGACATGTATAAAAATAAAACTATTTTCATTAACTATTATTGATTCTATTTCTAGAAAGTGTGGAGTTGGGTATCAGAAGTAATTCTACTAGTAAGGAGTATTCCTATTAGAAGTATTAGACGTAATCCAAGGAGAAGCCCTTGCATCGGTAATGATTTTAAAAGGTAAGTACTCAATTAAATAGTTTAAATACTTTGTTATTCCAACTGAGAGAACAAACGCTGCAATTACAGCGCCCTCTTTGAATTAGTTTAAGTACGTATTAGTAATAGTTGTGCAGGTAGTTGTCAGCAATTAAAACGTGATCCACTTCAGTACACTAATGAGGCTCCAGCCTCCCCTCGCGATGTCGAAGCCAGCTTCGTTTGTTAGCTACAAAGCCAATTAATGTAAACGTTAGCTCCGTCACTTGCTTTCCACATCTACTAATAGACGATAGAAAGCTTGTCATTTTGTTTATTGTTTATCGATGACTAAGACCGAGGAAAGCCGGCCACGCTCGCGTGCCAACCTACTCCAACGTGTGCCTATTGTTGGCTCGAATATTTGTTTAACAAACACTTCAGTAACCACTGCTTATTATATTATGCCTTGTATTGACTTACTTTTTGTTGGTAAGAGTCAAATACTCAACTTAGTTTATGAATGTCTAGCAAGTAATCGATAGAAACAAGTAGTAATTCGCACCGGGTAACATTTCTTCACGTAGCAAGTCCATTGCCAGCCGTCATTCAGGGAACGGTGGCTACGTGCATGCAATGTGCAATATGAACGAGTACCTATGGCTAGGCTGTATAGAGTCTAATGATATAATCCATTCTATAATTAAATAAGTCTGTATTGGACAGCGATGCTAAATAAACAGTGTCAGGAAAATAAAACCTATTCCTGGATAAGCTTGAAATGTTTGCAACGATTGACGTAAATATTACATTCCGCCTACGCAATGAAGCAAACAATGTTTTTCAAGGTACTCTGAGTAACCATATTTTTTATTCCTATTTTTGTTTTTATGTTCTTTTATCGACATTCAAACACTAGCTGTGCGTACCTATTGCGAGATTGTGATTAGTCATTTGTTACTGCTACTGCAGTGACAAGTTCAAATCGAAACTGCTAAAACCAAGATTTTCTAGACGTAGAGAGATCTTATCATTTTCATTGCAGTTTCTGAGATACACATGAGAAAGTTAGTTACGAACTAAGAACGGTGAAATGACAAAAACGAAAGCATCTAATTATACTACATACTCTCTATTATGTATAATCTTAAAGACTATGCATAAAGGTGGTAGAAATTTGTATGATGGGTGGAGATCACTTTGCGTGACGCTTCATACAGAACGTTGTAAAGCAGTGGGTGCAATACACTACAATGTGGTTTATGTTATATTTAAATAGAGTTTAAATTGCTGTACACGTGAACGGGCCGGACCAACCTGGATGCTTACTAACGTATATGATTGAGAATTAAGATCGCAGCGATAGTAAGTTGCTATTAAAATGTAAGTACGCCATAGATAGAATATCCAATAAATTTTAAATGGTCCTGGAGTTTGATTATGTCTATCGTTAATTTAATTTAATTGTATAGCCTCAACGTCACTTTCAATTGGTTTTCTAAAGTCAGTTCTACAAACGCAGGGAAGTGTTAAAAGTATTCATTGCAATCTCATCCGCGTCGCAAGGGAAGAAGGGATAGCATTTCGCAGTTATTAACGACAATACAACTCCCACGAGAAATTCCCGGATCCAGGTGGGGTGGCAATAGGCAGGGGTCGCGATATTACACCGCCATCGCTATTACAAAAACGTGAATTCAAGGTAATTCCATTCTAAACAAACTGCAGTAAAAATCGATATCTATGATAACTGTTCCCCGTATTAGGGATATGAGTATCAGTTGCAATGAGCTGTTTGATAGCAACAGCAATTGCTTGATAACGGTATTTGATGAAATTAATCCGCTGCGAAAATCGTAGTCATTTGCTTATAACATTCATTTTCTTGTTATTTCATAGTCATGTTTAATTTATTAAGTTACTAAATGTTGAGTCTGACAATCATGAGTAACCAATAACTGTGCTACCTTAATTTACTTCAAATTGCAAATTATTTAGTTGTTGAGTACCATTATAACTCATGTAGCATGTGTAAACTTTAATGTTTGTAAAAATAAACAAGAAGCTTTGAGGCTGGCTGGCGACATGATGTGAAATGCAGATACTCACCGTAATAAGTGCCTCAAATAACGAGGCGGCTGGCAAAGCGAAAAAATTTAAAAGCGCTCTCATATTACGAAGCCAGACTTTAAAATAAAATTGAGTGTATTTGCAGTGCAGGTTGCCCCAGGTCGGCATGCGGTACTGCGCCCAGGTCGTATAATACTATAAGTTATTCATGATTGTAGCAGGCTAGTGCAGTCAGTGTAGGCGCGGTGAGCGGCGCGCTCGAGGGTTGAAGCGGGTCAACGGCCGCGGCGAGACGTGACGTCACCCGCCCTACAGCTGTCTATGACGTCACCTCACCGCCCTGAGCGCAGTCACAACAAACCAAAGCGTGTTCTAGTCCCTAAACTTATGATTCAATCTCGCATCAGCTAACAATGTGGTTACCACATGTCCTTGTGTATGATATTAAAATTCGATATCGTGTGGTTACTTAGTCACATGACGTAAGTGAACACTTGTGTCCCGATGAGAACTTTATTAGATTCGAATAGGGTAGCTCATGATATAAGTACCTATCCACCCATTGAATTTTAGCACGTCGAACAAGACAAATACTCTGCATTATTTAGATTAATTTATTGGACCTCTTTACTGAGATTTTTAATTACTTTAAAATTAAGTTTAGCAGTAAGTAATGTAGAAACCTATTTTTCATTCTGTCATTCATTTGCAAATGTAAAAGTCGGTACAATACTTAAATACCCAAGTAAGTGATTAATTGACCGCATTGGCAAGACGAAACGCATTAAATGGAGATCAACAACCATAGAAAGTACCGTAGCGGTGCCTAGCGGGATTGCCGTGATTTCTCATCATAACTGCCGAGAGCCGCCGTCTCACCCGCGCCCGGTAACACCGAATTGTGCTCTCGAATAGAGAATATTTCACGTGCAACTGTATCTAACGACGGTACGAATACGAACGGTAATAGTCTGGGAATCCAGCCCACAAACAAAGTATTTAACATGCAGATACTAGATTATAACGAACAGATAGCCTAAACAATGACGGTACACAGGCCAACAGCACTAGACAGTCACTACCTATGCAAATGGTACAGAACAATGTTTTAGATATTACAAAAACCCTCTCACTCGACGAATCGTTCACATGATCGTGCCGACGTTTCCCAGAGGTCCCTATTAAAGATTTGAATCAGCACAGTTCTCGCGCACTGCTATGATTCATGGCTGCTGTTTTTGTAATAACGCCGAATAACTACCTACTGTAAACGATGAGCCATCTTGAATGCCATATTGCGCGGCTGTACTTCACAAAAAATAATACACAAAAGATTATCAACCGGCATCGGATAAATCCAGTTTGTATTATTTTATTTTACTTCTAAAACTAAAAAGGTAGACACTTATTTAATTTGTATGAGATATGGACGCAGTTTACAGTGGGAATTACGGGAAACTAAACCACATGAGTAGAGTATTTATTGTAGATCCGCAGGTTTCATTCTCATGATGTCTGTGGCATGTATCTAAAACGAGAGCGGATACTGGGATTTAGTCATGTACCTCTAATAAAATTATATTTTCCAAGTAACTAGTGCACACAGCTAAGTTATCACCTTTCGGACAGTAACAGGAAGCATTAGCATCGATCGATCAGGTGGTCGGCATTACGACAGCTCAATAGGACATACATCTGTCTCGTGCAGTCTGGCCGGCCGCAATGGGGCCGATTGCACCAACACCGATATATCGGTAGAAACTAGAAAGCCACATGTCACCAGAAATGGTCTAACTCATTGCAACATAACAATATGAAGTTTATATCTCCGTCAATCTATCAATTTTCTCACTTGGACATTTGTCTTACCGCTATTCTCTGACAATTCAAAGAATCACATTATAAATGTTAATGTTTAAACTATTTTAAGGTTCCTCAAAAGGAAAATTTATTGAAAAAAAAAACTAGAAACATGCTTTTAATCATTTGATGACGAGTCATCAGGAGAAATGGATGGCCAATTATGTAATGAGCCCAACTAGATAGCTCAAGGATGAACTGATCTAAGGTTCCATCAGGCACCTTCCAATTTTATCATTCAACCAGCTGGAAAGTATCATAATATTGTATGGTCGATGATTATCAAATTTAATGATGGTACAATAATTTCAAGTGTGTGTTTAATTGAGATTCTTAGATTTTATTACAGGTCAGTTTAGTACAGCGCGTTAAAAATAGAACTAAGTATTGAAGGTTTACCTAACTTTCTACAGCATGAATAGTTTTCTTCGTGAATTAAGTAACATTTTAACCATTGATTATTTATTTACTTATCATTAACGACGTTATACTTTAAGTTATCATGTTGGGTCGGGGTTAATTATTATTAATGTTATGGATAAAACATGTAGTAAATGAATGTTTACTATGTGCGGATGGTCGGATGGATTTTGTTTTGGCTATAACTCAGGTAGGTACTTTATATAAGATTATATCTTACATAAAACAATTATTTTAACGAGAATTTCGACTACACTCTTGAGCAATTTTAAGTACACACAATACATAATGTACATCAGAATCAGATCGCATGTACAACACTAGTTACGTGTTGGTGAACTGCTGATCATCGTAACTGTTCCAACCCTTCCGCTAGCCGGCGCGGGCGGCCGACTATGCATGTTTACGAAACGACTTTATAATTAGAAACTTTTACTATGCAAAAACTCTAACAGAATTCCAGATGACGCGATTTTTGTCCCGCGTCTTTTATTAAGTACACCGACATAATTAAACACGCGACCCACAAGCCGTTTTATAGCGAAACTCACTTAATGGGATTTTTGTGTTCGCTTAGTGAAATCTATTGTTGATATTAATTGTTACCAGTTGATCATGATTAACAGGTTTAGCAGTTGGGTTTTGATTGTACAAAATAAAGAAAAATTGTAGAGAATTAGAATCAGTTCATTGTGGAGCAGAACCAAGCTAAAAGAGCGCTAAATAGCATTAAGTCCGTCGTGCAATAATCCCATTTCCACGGTAGGTTCGTAGACCTCCGAGTACGACGTGCGGCGGTGTCCGGCAGGGTGACGGCGGTGCTGCGGTCGCCGTACGGCGCGCGCCGCCTCTCCGGCCACCAAGCTCCGTGCTACTTGCTATTGCTACCCACTTGGCGCTTGCGTGATCGCTCCTCCCGCCCAACGGGAATTGCATTAATTAATCTAATCGAAAACTAAGCATTCACCGCGACCGTTTGTTATGGAACCGCGGCCTAACATCTAGCTCTTTGGGATTAGTTTAATTAATTAGTCATGCCACTCGTGCCGGCTGGGAGACGCGGTCGTCACGCAAACCTCTGTCCGCTTGATGCTTGACCATTCGTGATTTTATATTCATTTTTCATACTTAAGTGAATGCGCGCACGCACACAAAGATATGATTTTATTTAATTTTACTTCGTTTTGAAACCTATATTTATTTTTGCGTGACGATAATACATACATTGTAAATTATTATTTTTCATTTAAATACCTCCTATGCTAATTAATACCTACCTATTTTCAAAATGGAAAACAAAACATAGATATTTTCGTAAAATAATTTAAGTATATAATTAAATTATGTACAGACTCAATACTTTTAAAGTTCAAGTAACCATAAGTACGAATTTAACGGGGAAACCTGTAACAGTAGACATGGAATGGATTTGCTACTCAACCACACTAAACACTGAAAACTGAAAAGTTAAGAGAAGGCACCACATTATAGGTTATGTGAAAAGCCGGCCGGCCGGCGGCGCAGGGTACCGGCGGCACGCGACGGGCGGGCGCGGGGCGCGGCGCGTGCTATGGCGGGGTCTAGTGACTAGACTCACATGTCAGCACAGGGGTGCGAGCGCCGCTGGTCCTGGGCGGGCGGCGGAGTCACTAAACTGAACGTCGCGGGTGGCTCACAAGCGTGCGGTATCGCGGTGGCCGTTCGCGCGGCCGGTGTCTCGGGGACTGGCGAGTGGTGCCGCGCGAGCCCGGTGCAGCGCCCCAGCGCACCCCGCTGCCCCCCCGACGCCCGCGCAATGCGCCCTCCAGATGCCACCGTCTGTCGCCGTTCACAGAAACCTCCAGAACTAACTACTTCCAAATCCTATTCCGAAAATAGTAGATATAAAAAAAACTAGTTTTCTGCCAATCCCAATGAGCAAGTATTGTAGTAATCTAATAATCTATCATTATTACGATGCATGTATGTATCTGGTGAAATGCAATATTTATTTACATTCATATTAATTTAGGGCCCGATTTTAATTATCATGTCTTGCAAAACAGACAGTATTTACTATAGGCAACATTGACGGTGGAAGATGGCGACCATCAGCCGACGACCCCGGCGGCGGCCACGCTCCGCCGCGCCTTGCGCCGCGCCGACTCGCCGAAACTTCGCACTTCACTTTTCTACAAGGAACAGTTCAAAGGCGCAAGCCGTGAAATTACCGCAAAACTGACGTAATGACAATCGTCAGTCACTTCATTCGAATACCAGATATGTAGCTACATGTAAAAATATCATTCTGATCAACTATTGTTCGCTGCATTCTGATCAACTATTGTATATTTATCACAGCGAAAATTACCCTAAATGATTCACAATCGACTGCTATATATGGCAGAATGTTTTCCATCACATTTTAAACTATGCTGTTGTCAATCGGTTTTCCTACTGTAAAATGCTTTTAACTAGAATAGCAATCAATTTGTGTAAAAACCACTATTAATTCACGTAAAATGTAATACGTACATATACAATACATAAATTAATATTCTACAAGATAAATCAACATCTTAGACATGGGGAGCTTTTTAGATGTTACTCCAAATAACCCACACAATTCTGAAATTTGTAGTAATTTAACAAAAGATTGAATATTTTTGATAAACAATTTATTTTTTTGAAAAATGTTGTAGGTCCTTTTAGAGTTGTTAAACACAAACTACGTCTAAAGTATGACTACTACTATTTAAACAGTTGCAAATATAATGTAGAAGTGTCGTGCAAAACTTGCATTAAATTACAACGCAATCTACTCTCATGGACCAATTAGCCTTTCTAAAGCTTGCTTTCGCCGATTCAAAACATAAATGTAAGCAGTTTTTTACAAAAGCATAAAATTTCATTTTGAACTGGACGATTAAAGTAAGTAGAACATTGTAGCATACAAAATATGGTTCACAGCCGTCTGACAGTAATATTGAACGACGGTGTATATTAAGTATTCGTGGATTAACCAATCTGGTGAACAATGGAGACATTACGAGTTGGCCGGATAAGGTGAAGTTTGGTCCACATCGGGTCGTGCTGAATTCCGAATGAGGCGGCGATGCTCACGGCGCTGTCGGCTCCACCCTTCATAAATGTCTAGTTGCAGCTATTATAAAGTCAATATGACTCATACCTGCTACACACAAGCAATATTTTGCAGGATCTACTGATGGAGTCGGCAAGTTAGTTAATTTTTGCAAGACATCTCTAAGAAAATATTTCAATAATTACTAATGTTTCATTACAAATTGACTTAAATACATAATACCATACACCAAAATAGGCCCAAACTATACTTCATCAGTAGCACTTGTCTTTTGATAATATTTCTGTACAGTTACTTGAGCGGATGTCACGACGTCTTTATTTAGAGGCGATAGCCTCTGTCGCCAATTATGGGCCATTACTCATGCGTGTGTCATTTATTAATAAGCGTAAGTATTAACGTACATTGGCAGCATACGATAACGTGTAACTATTATCAAATATTAATAGGTACATAATTAATCTGTATAACTCCCAACTCGGTAGGCCGCCGTCTGTTTCCTGAACGATGACTTTTACATCTGTAATAATTTGGAGGCCGATCGTACAAAAATTGTTCGGTCATTCAACTGGCGTTTGCAAAAACAAGAGTCTATTGTGGAAGTACGTCGCACGAACCGTATCGTGACGGCAAGCACACACATGCTGTAGAAAAATTGGCTGTAAAATGTGCACGACTAAAAATATGATTTAAAGACAGATGAAAAATTACCACACTAAAACTTCATATCTATTGTGAAGAATTAATTTTATTTTGTCATTTTGCAGTTTTCAGATGATGCAAATTTTAATTATAATAAATATAATTCAACAACAGGCACATCACACCAGTGCACAGGTCGTCAGGTTACAACTTTTAACGAATACGGGCAGCACAATGGCAGAGAGCAAACATGGATCAAACCGAACGGAGCTCGACAAACACAGACTGTTTAGCTAACTACATAATACCATTCCATGCAAATTTATTTTGCAAAAAACCTGCGAATCCTAAAATGGAAAAAGCCTATATGCACAGCCAGATTTTAATTTATAGCAGATTATCCTGTGAGAGGAGCGACAAGTTAAGTCGTATGACATGCATCTTATAATCATTTTATGTTCACTTATTCTGTTCGCCTAGACAACACTGACACGAGTATACGCACTTCATTATGGACCTATTTAATGAGAATATTATGTTTTTCCGTTAACCAATTCACTTCGTTACAGAGGCACATAAATTAATTGAAAATAATTAAGCACAGTGAAATGACGTAAGTGAACGAATGCAGCTGGGCTAGCTATGCTAGGAGTGGGCGCGATGCATTCTGCAGCATTGTTCATGTGTGAACTCAATTAGATAGTTTCGCTATTCGTGACAGACTTACATGCCGACGACAACGATAGCAGGACTAATTAGCGGAGAAGATACTTCGTGATAGTAAATCAGAGACTGGAGAGCGCCGACGGCGACGCTTCTATAACCCCACTCGCTTTCTCCCTTGCAACATGTAAACTGAGCTTACATTACATTTCAACACATTACATGTCGTTAACCTCTATACAAATCAGTGTTTACATTACTTACGTACCTCTATTTAAAACATCAAGCGAGTGCTAATCAACACTTCACAGAGCTGCATGTATAGTGCAGATAATAAATAGGTGGCCGGCGTCGGGCACCACGTAATGTTCTAAATTCTAATATTATTTATTTCCTTTACTTTGACTTTCCTTTAACTAGGTATTTATCTTTATGATATATAGTTTAGAAGTAAGAAAATACTATGTCAACAAATTATTGAATTAATTTAAAGGAATGTGGATGACATCGAGATCAAACAATTTGACGGCGCTGCAGGCAAACCCGAAGGGATTCGGAAGGATAAAACGATCGTATAACCGGAGAAGACAGGTCGCGGCCTGAGCCGTATCTGATCCGCAATTCCATTACATAATTTATGGAGGGTATCGTTGTCCTGTTGTCCAGAACAAATTTATACGGCATCGCAGAACTCGTGTTTCATGCGCAAATCTGTTCCTGAATATCTTAGAATAATCCAAGAGTACCTTGCAAATATAATTATACTACCAACTGAACAGTCTATTACAAATTCACTCAGAAAGTAAACATAAAACAAAATCCAGACTTCATCTAATGTTGACACAACATTGTTGGTGAGGTCAACGGCTGACATGTCGCGTACAAAGTGGATGTAACATATGATCACAAACGCCTATCATAATGTGCGATCTTGTTGTCACTGATACTGTTAGTGATATGAAACAGCGAGCGACTACGCCACCCACGTGGCCCGGAACTCCGGAATGAGACGCTGTACATTTGGCTGCGATCCAACAGACAATTTACGACAAAGCAAAATTAAAATGTGCAATGTTCCCATATAACGCGTCATCGACAACTAGGTGCGTACAAAGTCATCGAGATGACTTTACACTTTTATTTTAATTTTGACTGCGATTCACACAAGCCCGCATAAATTGCACTTCTGTAATCCCCCGTTATTCGATTGAAAGGATTACGGTGTTCTTTATCAGCCCTAGCAAGGGGACCGCTTGTAATGACAAAAAGAGACAAATTGAGGAAGTCAGACCTCGTCGCCTTATACATGAGCTGAATGTTATAATTTCATCTAGAGATGTGTTGTTTTTCAATGGCTTTTTATTTATTTGATAAAGCTGTGTAATACAATACGATAAAAATAAAATCGAATGTAATAGGTAGATACATCAAAAGCTATTCAAAAAAGAATACCGATGGCAAAAACTGCTATAAAGGAAAATTATTTATGGCTATTGAATTTGTATCGGCAAACTTTTCTATTGTTATCATAATGTACGGATAAATAAATAACAAACTAGCGATGCTTATAAAAATACACAGTGATGGAAGTTTCCGCGCTTTGTGTTATATATTAAAACTTTATCAACGACTCTTAATGTATTCCAAATACATTTGTGTTTCCAAGAGCCCAAGTACGTGTAGTGCCGCGGTTAAGGGCTAGGGGTCGTACAATAAAACTGCGGATGTCAAAGAGACGGGCGGGTGTAACGAGCACGCGGCCCTCGTGCACAAACTCTGCACTTTTATTGCGAACGCACCCCTCCTGCAGCGAGACTACTCGACTGCGAAATACATAATCATTACAGATAAAGGATCCCTTCGACAATATTGTGGCAAGTGCACTGAATTATTAAAATTTTGTTTTAATAATGTGATGAAATGCGACTGGGTACATTAATTATGTTTGAAGAACGACATCATCAGTAAAACTATATTTGTATGGCAAATAATTCGTATACCTAATCAACTTGAAATCACCTGAGAGTGAGATTCACAGGTTAAAAATCATAAGAAAAACGCATGACTCAAACTCTATATCATCGGTTGACTAGCAAATACAAAAACTTGAAACCGATCTATCGTTATAGTTACGCAAATAGTAACACCCATTACTTTTAATTATGTTTAAGTCTGCGCCCAATCAATCTAATTTCTATCAAATGTCTGCGGCAAACGGAGTTTAACAGAGTATTAAGCTTAAGTAACTATTTTTAGTTCAGAATACTAAAAATAAATCGATTGGTAGGTGTGATGATGAGTAGTCCATTAGTGAAGCGAGGCATGCGCCGGTCACCGTCCGTCGTGTTTACAATGCAAATCATCGAGCATCGCCTGCGCACCTCGCTCGCGCAACTCGCATCCAATCGGCCGACATGTCATGTGGAGCGAAACTACCCACTATACTTTCGTAGGGTAAAGACATTACAGACGAACAAATCATATACACTTTCGACCATACGTACTATAAGAAAGTGTAATAAGTTACTTGTGATTTAATGAACATATTAAAGGGCTTTCTACTTGTTTGGTTGTAAATTCATAAAGGTAAGGTTACTTACACACTTTACTAATCGGATCTCAAAGAGAGTCTATAGGATTATTAAGGTTGTTTACTGCAAATTGGAAATCATTTTAAATGAAACCTAATGGAACAGTGAAATAGTTACCGCAGAAGTATTGTAAGACCAATACGTTCCGTTTTATGGCACGGATCTGTTCTACTCTATGGAGGATAAAGAAAGGGCCGTTCTTGTCTACAATCTCCAGCCGCATGCTAATGAGCTCGCAATAGTCCACGGCTAGTTTGGCATCTAGGGCTTACTCTCATTAATCAATACACATTCTCTTTTAAACGCTACGTTTATTTATCATTTTCTTTTGGTAATTCCAAGTCATTTTATGCGCTAGTGTGTCAGACTGTAATTGTTCTAATCGCACAATTATCTTTATTAACTGCATTTAGGCCGGCAGTTCCTGTAATAACCTTAACGACATCATGTCGCTTAAAATGTAATATGCATAAATGTACGTGTTGATGACATGGCAACGACTTTAACAGTAAAAGGTCAAATGTAAATCAATTTAACGTCTGTTAAGAAAAATTGAGATAGTTGATGAAATTGATCATTCTTCAAACATCAAAACCAAAACTATGTATGTGGTATTCTGCTGTTAAAGTAAATTTTTACGGTCCCTTCGTAGTAGTAAACATACCTACTTCAGTATCCTATAAACGTATTTACTATAACTAATTAAGATTTAATTTAAAGCCTATAATGGACTGCAATATGAGCTTACTAGCCAAGTGAAGGATTGCCCCTGGCATGTATACAACTCAACAATGCAGTCCCTTTCGTTCACTTGGATACAAACTGCGAATTTACGATGTAAGTACGTGGGATGAGATGAGACTGTCCGAGGACCTAACCTAATAACAACTCTCGTCTTATCATCAACAATAGGCTTGCAAAAGTTAATGAAATTAATGAATAGTTTTACTACAGATGTGAAAGAAAATATTGTAATATTAATATCACGAAAATGAGCCGACTTGTCATTATAAAACGATACATCCGTATCGTCTGTTATTCCTAACAAGATATGAATGAAAGTTGGCAGATAACGAGGAGTTGTCCAACAGTGTCAAGGTCACCGCGTGTTGGACCGCGGTGCCAACTAAAACTAATACACACAAAACACGCTGCGTCCACGCATTCGTGATTTACAAGAGCAAATAACTTTTGTTTTACTTTAAAAATTCAACAAATATTCAACATTCTTCGAGTAGCGAGCGTGGTTTTAGTCGTATTAAAGTAAATAATGAAGCTGCGGTCTATTACAACAATCTAAGATCAATTAGCGGATAGATGTTTAGTTAATAACATATTTAAACGAGTACAGACGTAATAAACATATTTTTTTTGTAATTCGTGTAAATCGCGTACATCGGAAAGCAGCGGACTTGGTGATAATAATTTCATCAATTTCATAAGCGTGTACGTTTTCCAACCAGTGAACTATGCTAGTAAAGGTAGAGTGGCATCAGTGCGTGCTTGTCCACACAGCGTATCAATCGGTTATCGCTCAATCAACATCAACACACAATGTTATCAAGTAAAGATCGCCACGACACCGCACAGCGGCCCGTCCTATTCAACCGCAGACGATTTACACCCAATTTAGAGCCCGTTGTCAACTCAGTTATTTAACTAACACATTGGCAACACATAAGCGTCATTATTATGATTTGTTCAAACAACCCCGCTAATAGCTAATGTCAACATAAATTCTCTTACATGACAGCGACTATTAAGTTTCCACGCGAATAGTATTGCAGGCGGAGAAAGTGTTGCGAGTGGACTTACATCTGACCAATGACACAAAAAGCCTACCTCACTGGACATAGGGGTCAACTGTAAGCTTTAATATTTCGCAATAAGAGCTAAATTAAAATGACCAAAATATGTCTAGGGTCTTAATCCAAAGCCCCGGGGTGTATTAGTGACGAGTGGCCTCCCCCATTTGAATACACAGCTCACGACAGTTTAAACATTTAAATCTCTTAATCCAATGAGACGGGTCTACTGTCCATCGAAGTGGAAAACAGAAAGGACACAAAAGGATTTGAAATTCGATTACAAGCGTATAAATCATTCGGTACATACCAACGAACTAAAATTAGCAAGGAATGAGATCATAGATTTCTGTTCTTGAAAGTTAATGACGGCGAGGATTGATTGTATGTAGCTGCCTAGTAGCCTACCTCTACATTATCGTCAACCATTATTTCCTGTTCTATTTTATGTTATCTTATAATTGTAAAGCAATAGAAAACTCCTATATTAACATACGGTTAGAAAAGTAATGATTAGAAAGGCTTCGTATCGGTGTCGGGGGAAGGCGGCGGCGGCGCGGCCGGCAGGGCTGCAACCAGGGGGCAAAACAAAGTATCCAATTTCTCTACTTCCCCACTTCCGACGCAATTACGACACAGTATTGTGGGGCTGTGGCGGCGCGGCCTGACCACAGCCCGACTGAAATCTAGGCACCGCAGCAATCTCGTTACGGAACATAAAATACACTCTTATTGTTCGACCGGTTTTTTCGCAAGACCTATTCAAACAAAGACTTGAGCACGTACCAAGTACTGCCGTGACCTGTACAGATGTTCGCTTTACGTTTCAATACACTTCAACAACAATTATGGTTCACAATCATCTCCAATCGTCACAATTGGGCAACTGCTTAAAATGAAAAGTTAACACAAAGGATTGTTTGAAAGCGCCGAGAAAATTAACGTGACATTTCTCCAGAACTTTCTCATGTCTCATATTTTAAAAGAGAAAAGAACGATTAATTTAGCAAATTAATAATGTCTGTCTAAGTTATCTTTTATCATATTTTAACACAACATTGGATCAATTAGTAGGTTTAATGGTTCAGGACAATGCGCATAGAAACCTGACAGTTGGTGGACTCGAGGGGACCCTCCATTATGAAATGCGATGATAATACCTTTAATGCGCAGGTTGATCGGATTGTGGGAATAGGAATACCCACTATATTATTACACCTTTTTTACACATCGTTGGATATGTTATGACAATTACAATGTGGATCTTCATTCGAAAATGAACTATATAACTCTTTCCAATTCAAAACAGCCTGATAGGTTTATTTTTTGTCCCCCAGTGTATAACACATCGAGAATTTTAAAGCAGCTAAGAATATACACAGATAATTTCAGCTGAAAACACATCTTTTCCACTCACAGCAATTACTTACAGAAAAATCCCACAAACAGAATCCGCAAGAGACGCAATATAAACTTTCATATTTACAAACAAAAGAAAATTCTTTTGAATAACGAGAAAGCTCTTGTCTCGGTAAGTGTCGCATTAAAGATACTTCACAGAGATTTGAGGGCGACAAAGTTATTGTTCTAACCATAATACTTAGACCCTCCCCGAGCCGAGCCCAGACTGCTTCATCGTGCGGGAGAGAAACACGGGGGGAATATGTGTCAAAGATCTCCACTGAATGTTCCGACGAGGGCACTCGGTTCACGAGCGTACGCGTCATAATCATGTGACCCTTTGTGACAACATAATCACACTTGATCCGTGCCAATCGATGCCGGCGGCCAAATCGCTTTGTTACCTGATCTGTTGTCATTACGAGACAAAAATTGAACATCAATACAGCACATTAGGCGTTTTCCAACAATCGAATGTTATGCTAATATAGCAATTCCGTGAACAGCTGAAACGAATCGACTCGGCAAACATTCATAATGTGAGCACTTGAAACCTTGCAGGTTGCTTGTTTTGACGGCTAATTGTCATTTTATCCTGTCTAGTGAGACGCCGTGACTCACGGTATTGTGTAAGGACTGGGCTCAAGGTCGGCGGCGCGATTGATACACAACAAGTCAAGCACTGCATGAACGTAAACAGGCCTGTTTCACCCGTTAATAATATTGCACACGTAAATGCACAACGCTTGCCAAATAGTACTTACACGGTGTTAGCAAATGTTAAATTAGGGTAAAGATAAAATCAGTGCAGTCATGTATATAAACGGCGTCGTTAGAGGTTTGCGTAAGTTAAGCCATTACTCTTATGTTTATGGTTGTCGGAGAGGATAATTTACAGTGACTGTTTGACTGACAAAAACAAAATGATCTACTGATCATTTACACATAACCTCCCCAATATTACTAGGCTGTTACTGACAACTGTATCTTCCACTTACCGGGATCAGCCGCCAGCTGTCTGTACACTGCAAGGGCTACGTCATCTTCACTGACGAAGTCCCACAGACCATCACAGGCCACCACCACAAAGTCTTCGTCTCCATCTAGTTCAACCGTCGCGATCTCAGGCCGCGCCGTCACGTAGGGCTTGTATTGTGCGTCACCTGGACAATAAGAAATTAATGTGATGAAATTGGTGCTCCAAAGAAGTCTTTACTTTAAAGTGAAACCACTAGCGGTTTAGCTAGTTAGTGCTATTGAAGCCACTAGCACTTTGTTTCAAACTTTGGAATAAAATAAAACAGATGTGACTAAAACTTACTTTTGTTAATGTAACTTACACTCAGTAAATAATAAAGATTTTAAGAAATATAGGTACTAATCGATTTAGTAGCTACATGAGACCTAGACTAGCTGAATGTATAAGAAACAACATGTTACACCGGACTTATTAGCTTATCGCCTCGCGCGCCACAATAATGGTTTCTAACAACTTAAATGTGTAGTAATAGTAAACCACGTATTACGTAACTACAGCCAATCGTAAAATGTTCTTTAATACAACACTACAATAGAAAGAATGCTAAAATGGACAACAAAAACATTAAACCAAAAAATAACTGAGATGTCAAATAATGATAAAATGGAAAGGGGACTTGCCCTAGTTACCCAAACAAAAAGGGCTGAAGCTTGTACGCAATCGAGTAATTATGGCGATGGAGTAACGAATTCGTAACTACATACAATAGCAAGTACATAATATTGTGCCCACTTAATAAAAGTTACAGATAGATAGGATCCTCCTTGTGGCAGCAATATGGACATCCGAACATCCGACACAAGTCAATCGGCATCAGACTAATCTTGCATGAAAATCTGTCGACAGCTTTGACGATGTCGGTGCGTAAGGGGATATAGTAAACGTTTCGCAGCCTAATCTCCCATGGAACGCGAAATCGATGAGTTTATCCCGATACGTGGGGCTCTCGGGCGGAGCTGTGAAGAAAATGTCAACATTATTATGTTACTATGCCGTTGTCGCCCTTTCGTGTCCTTGCTAGTGATGTGAATATCGATGCTACTCGATTAATGAAGTCCTAAGCATGTGGAAAAGGTGGGATAAAAAAACTAAGCTTCTAACAAAATAATAGAACGAAAATGACAGTTAAAATAACGAATAGTGAAGACAGTGGAGTAAGTTTCAAAGTAATTGGTTTAGCGCAATGAAACTTAGTTAAGTAATGAAAAAAAAACGGTCATTAATTTGATCCAGTAAATAAAACGTATGAATAATAATAAAAGAAAGTTCACAGGATTTAATTCCAAGCATTTTTTTTAATTATTATCGATATGAACAATGCAGTTCCTTGCAGTTGAGTGCATCCCTATGTGGGTGCGTGTCCAAGGTGATCGATACAGTGTGCAGCCCCAGTGCTGGGGTTGTCGGGAAGGGAGTGCTGCGCGAGGGGATACCGGCCGCCCGCGACACCGCGGCGCCACCACTCTCACACATTCATACCACTTACTTTTACAAAGAAAACCCAAGGTAAAAAACGAAGGGGAAAAGAACGAAAGAATTTGTCTATTGACCCAAAAGTTAAACTTTGATTCTAAGAAGTGATATTAAGTCAATGGGACAGTGGATTTCTATCCTGCATTCCTAATGTAAACTGTGGTATAAGTTTGTAAGTATGTTTGTAAGACAAAAATTGCTGAAGGAATTTGGATGAAATTTTGCAGTTATTATAGACCCTAACTTTTTAGTGAGTACGAATGGAGATTTATTTAGTGAGCATTTACTAAATGGGAATGTATAGTTGTCAAATTGTGGGATATTTCGTTTATCATTTCCAACATCACGTTCAATGAATAATTATTCTCAACGCACAAATCATAAAGGTACCTGACAATTATATTCAAATAAGACATGCGTGACATTGATATCATTTTGACTTTGATGAATCATAATTTATGAAGTATTGTTCCTTCCAATACCTATTTAGATGTTATATTATTGTTCCTATTATTCTCCATGCAATCACGGTCAGCACTCGAGGCCGCACTTTCGATAACTTACAATAAAGTAGTTTTATTCTTCTCTTGTTACATGTTACTTGACATTATCATAATTAATTGTTTAGAGTTAGACATAGAGATTGATTTAGAATCTAGATTAGTAGCAGTACCAATACCAATGTCAATCAAAAGTCTAGATATTTTGTAAAGCTACTAATTGGTGTCCAGTTTTAGGGACAATAAAAATGAATATACGCCCAACTCAAAATCCTTATCGAAAATGCTAAATACTAGTTATTTATTTCAAGACAAATATTAACTCAGTATTTACAATTGATAATAAAATACGTACAAAAAGGTACCATCCCTTATTACGCATGAAATTGAACAAAATCCTTGTCGAACCCTTCGCCACCTTGTTAACAAAACCACTTCATAGAAAACAATAGAGCCGAAAAATTAACAGCGACCCGTCAATTCATCACAATCGGTGGCATCATTAGCGGTGTTTTACTGAATAAAGGTCCGTCCCGACACTCCTGACTGCGGGGGTCCGACTAACAGCTTAATGATCGGCACACGCCAGCCTCGCATCCCGGCACCCGTGAGAAATGGCTTCGCCCGCCCGCCAATAACAATAAAACGACCTATTAACTTTCCACTCTTACGCCTACAAAACAGCTACTACCAAATAAACCCTTCACAATGTTTATTGTATCTGTTTTTGTAATGTAACAATGATATTTTGACACATTTTTTGTTTGTATTAAACATTGTTTAACTTCTATGGATTTAGTTGTTTGTATTTTTTTTTTGTCTTTACGCAAAAAGATGCAAAAACTATATGAATGACAAAGCTATAATTTGAGTGACGACAGATGGATAATGACTTTACTAATACCTATACAACGAATGATAATATATTTTACCATAGTTTTACCATGATAATATAAATAATATTCAACGACAAGCAAAGCTTCTCACGGCCAATTAATTTCATAAACAACCAATTTCCAACTAGCGCGAAATGATACGCATCTTGTACAAATAAGTTTCCTTTGCGTGAGGTCGCATGAGAAAAGTCACATGATTAAAAATAATGAAAACAAAGCTAAGTAATTATACATGGAGTCATTTGCGTCAACGGTCGAACATAATGTTTGTTCGAGCTCTCGTTAAAGGAGGACGTTGAAAACATGGCCGGTACTGTGAAACTTTATGTTCGCCATAAAAGTTAAATAGGCGACGCGGCGCGGGGCGCTCTCGTGAAAATGTCGTTCGGGACATAACGCAGCACTTTATAGCGTAAAAATCCATGTTCGGTCGTAGTAATGATACGTGTGAATGATGAATGTTTTAGTTACTTGTTACACAGTCAAAAGACCTCAGGTTCAAGAGAAGTCGAGTGAAACATGGTTTCGCTAATAAGAAATAGTATTTATAGAATGAAATTCCTAAAAATATAACCATTTGAATGTATCTTGTAAATATTTTAGTTTTTTGCTGATATTGTTCCTAGTGCTGATATAATAACTAGAATAGTCATAAAAAGCGCCTGACAGAAATGCCTTCGAATTACGTTGATGCGCAACTGCCTTATATAAAAAAAGCTAAAGTGCAGAACAGTTTGATAAGTACTTGAGATTGCATTGTATAACATATTTACTTAATTTCATTAATAATAAAAACATTTATTACTAGAGAAGATCGAACACATCGTTGGGTAGAACTAATTCTCAATTTCTCTCTTCTTCAATCTTCTCTCAATGATCCTATGAGAAAACCGCCAAACAAAAATCAATATTTTCACATCATCTATACTAATATTATAAAGAGGAAAGATTTGTATTTTTGTATGTTTGTAATGAATAAACTCAAAAACTACTGAACCGATTGCAATAATTTTTTCACCATTCGAAATGTTTTAAAAACGGGGGAAAAGTATCGTTTCTGAGGCCTTCCGTGGCGTGCGCTGAGCATATAGTTAAAGTTATACAAAAATGTTCTATAGATGAATTGTTTATCTTAACATTATTTTTAAAAAAGTCCGCGAGAGCATATGTCTACCTTTTATAGTTTACCCATAACAATCGTTTTAATGAATGGTTCAATCCTTATAAAAGTTTGCTCTAGATAACTTTTGAATTGTTCAATCGGTTACCTTAAAACGCGACATCGACAACGGAGGGCAGGTCGCTAAAATAAAAACTGAGAATAAATATAAATAAAACGTAAAACTATGTAAAAAATCTTAAGTCCCCCCGTGCGAAGCCGGGACGGGCCGCTAGTTATTAATATTGTTGAGTTACTGTTGCTGTTAGAATATGCAGTTTTGGAACGCAACCATTTTAGTTCGTTTTTCGTCACTGGTATCGCTCTCTCTCTCTTTGAATCTCATATGTAAACGGTCGTACGAAATAAATAACTCTAAAGTATTTTTTTTATTGCTACATCCACGCTAAAATCCTACAGTTGCTGCTCATGATTGTGTGTGAGCATGGCTTGAAAGTAGAATTCCTAGCCGAACAGGTGCGTATGTAATATATGCTGTAATATAAATATTTGCTCTGCCTCGTTGCCCGAGTGGTCGCAAGTGCGACTGCCGGGCAACGGGTCTTGGGTTCGATTCCCGGGTCGGGCAAAGTATTACTGGGTTTAAAAAAAAAACTTAGTAGTAGCACGGAGTCTGGAACTGTGCCCGGTATAGGCTCACCCCCTATTACATGGGACTCATAACATAAATACTGAAAAGTGGGTGTTACATTGTACAGTGGCATAATGTGCATCTCTACCTACCCCTTTGGCTATAAAAGTCGTGATGTTATGTATGTGTTGAAATATTTATCTTAATAACAAAATGGACTCACCGATTGCTCTAGAGACCGCCAACTGTCCGTTAACTCTCCAGGTACCCCAGTACATTACTGTGCCGCCTGATGATTCTATTCTGTCTCTTTCATCCTGCAAGAACAAAAAACATTGAAATTTCTGTCTATATTATGGTTTCATCTTTCAATTTATGTTTTTCCATTTAGTTTAAGCCTTTCCCTCCTAACCCTAACCTCTTGACTGCCGGTATATAAGACACAATAAAAGGTACACGCCGGATCTGTGTTACGGCAAACGACGGGTTAATAGTCAAAAGGAAAAAAATGTCTTTAAATGTGTTTATTTATTTATATTATAGAATACAATGTTTCTATATTAAATTATTAGGTGTTTCCAAATGGGCACAGTGACCAAGAATGGGTTAATGAAAAAAACGTAAACGGATCAAACTGAGCTGACGATGGATCACACATCACTTGATGGTAAGTGATCAGTGCCGCAAATGAACCACCAGCAATACAAGAGGATTTACTGAGTGACTGAACAACAATATGTAGTTGATTCTAGTGGTCGTAGAAAGCTAAAAGGCACATAGGTTCCTAAGAACAAGTAAAGGAGCCTTAAAATAGTAAAGAGGTTCTTTTTTAAACCCGTATACGTTTAAAATCGCAAGGAAAAGTTTAAGTTTATAAATAAAACATATAAATATACGTAGAAAGCAGGTGACGTGTAACAATAAACTGTTGCTGTTAAATTATTAGTGTTTATTTCCGTCAAGGCGGTTTTATTTCACTTTACTACGCAATTATATTTATTTAATCTATGTATTCTGAGTAAATAGTAGGTTATATCTTTATTATTATGTATATGTCCGCGAAACTTATTTTATAAATAGATCGCAGTACGTAAGTACCTACTTACTGAAGACTTTTAAGAACATGAAACAACGATGTTTTCAGCACTAAGTGTCATTTATACGTGGTTGAAAACAAAATTGAAGGGGAAAGGGTCTAAGGGTCACCAACCTTTGCTTATTCAGGGCTAGGTTAGATTTCAAAAGACAATTCTGATGACAACACACAAGTGTTAATCGACGGCATAATTCGCGTATCTACTATCAGACGATCCTTACTCTCTAGCCTATGCCTATTGGCACCATGGTGAATCAATAAGTTTAAATGAGAACAATTTGCTTTTAAAGTTGCCGTGGCCAGTAAGAAATTGGGCAACACAGTGATCCACCTTCAACCATGTCCTCTCCAGCCGCTCATGCACGGATGGGAAGAACTGATATAGGTGGCGGCCCTTAATAGAAGATGCCCATCTATCCTGCCATTCAGTTATAAGCTCATCCCAAACGTCCGTTATTCGCTTAAACAATCTAGCAATTTGATTTCTATCACGTTGTGCTAGAAAGCTTGCTGACAAATCAGGTCTCGCACTGTAGTACATAGCAGCACGTCGCTGCACCTCAAGATCCACCGGAAGTACGCCCGCAAGCACAGGTAGGGCTTCAGTGCTAACCGTCCTATAAGCCTTACACAGGAAAATCAAGGCAAAAGTAGTAATGTGAATGTTACCTGTCGGCCGGGTTTGTGCGGTCGGACCAGCTGCATGAGCCGCATGCGCTTGGCGAGCAGCGCCAGCGAGTCCCCCGCCCAGGCCGCCAGCAGGCGCCGCCCGCGGACCGACACCGCCACCGCCGTGCTGCCGCCGCACGCGCGCTGCACGCACCCACACATACATACCAATACAATTATGTGTACTTCTATTATAAATTACGTTTGAAAATTCGGCTTCAACCGTCTCTTTTTGTTGAAGTTTGTTAATTAACTCGTCGAGTACCGGTTTTATAGACACAATTAAAGAACAATAAATAGGTCGCGGTCACCGGTGACCGCTTGGTGTTTGACAGTTTAATCTAAATCCTTCTCCTACGTGTAACACACAAAAAAGCATCAAAATCGGTTCAGCCAATCGCGAGATTGGCACACAAACATACATACATACATGCATACAGGTCAAACTGAGAAACTCCTTTTTTTGAAGTCGGCTAAAAAGTCTTCTGTTACTATGTGACTGACAAGTTGTCTAGGATTATCTCCTATATCGTGGGTGCGTTTACAAACATACAAGTTCACATACACATGACATCCAGACCCGAAACAACAATTTGTGGATCACACAACGTGTTGTAACGTGCGGGAATCGAACCCGCGACTCGTTGCACGGCAGTCGGTTGCCCAGCCACCGCACCAACCGTGCAGTTGAAACCATTAGGCCTAGGAATAGGAAACTGTTTAACATGCTAGATAACAACTAGTAACATTTAAAAACTATATTCTAACACTGGTACTTCCTAAAACTGCAGTCAGCATTCAAGAGACGGGCATCAGCGTTCCCTTAAGCCACATGCCAAAAGTGCATGGCAAAACTCTTCAACTTGATGATGAAAACACAATAACACTAGTCAAGTAACGACTATAAAAAGTTAGACAAAACATATTTTTACTGTCGATCTTTTGGTTAGGTGAACACAACTGAATGTGATATCTTAATTATGAACAGATATCTATATTATATTATATTGTCAAACAAACATGGTTTCTGAAATCGACTGAGTTGAATACAATGTCATACTGTTCTTAGAATTAAAATAAAAAAGTATTCTGTAAGTGCAAGTATGTAAGAGTTGTGATCAGTCTTATGACAGCAACTTTGTGTATTTTACTTTAGATATCATGTTACTCGTCGTATCAATAAAAGTTCTTCCTTGAGTTACAATTTTACGACCAATATCATTGTATCATTTTATGCATACTTTATTATACCCGTCCATACTTCGTATCTAGATCCATATTTAAACTAAACATAGGCATTGTTCCTTAAAATAGCTTAGTATCAGTGACTCAAGTTCTAAATTCATTACTACCTATCAAGTTATACATACAATTTTATGTCCATACTTGGGCTTGGGTATATATAATAATGCAAAACTATAAATCTCATCCACAACAATATTTTATTGAGTACATTTCCGCGTCCCTACGCGACAGCGATAATTTTATTGTAACGCTATAATATATTCCAAATGTAAAGTCGAGAATAGAATAACATCTAAAATAAAACAACAACAAGTCGACTGTGCAGAGACCGAGTTATTTCCAAGAACACAAGAATCTTAATCAATTTTATGCGAGTTTTTTGCTATCGTTGCATTTCAGCGGAGACTGTAACGGTTTTTTTCAATGATAAACAGAGGTCGCCCCGTTCATTCGGCATTTCCATTTTGTTTCACAATTATATCTGTGTATGTAGGTGTTATTACTAAACTGTGTTATTCATTTTAATTTTTGGTCTCATAGCTGTGCAATTATAGATATACGAGCTCGTATAATTAGCTATCCTATGTGTTTCATATAGATAGAAATGTTAAAAGTAATTCTTACTTTATTAGATTACTTGAATAAGATCCACAGATATGATTTCTTTTAAAACTTTTAAATTAATACAGTATTTTTCTTATACCTACGCCCTAAGATTGTAGTACCCAAAATCTACACGAATAGTTCAGCGTATAACTTGCTTAACATATCAACTCATTCTCATAACACCCTTTCTTGTTTCTTTCTTATTTCAATTTTACTGACATTCCAAATTCACGCGAACTTCAGATACCAAGACAGTACACCGAATTCCCAAAGCCATCCATGACAACCAAAAGGTTTATAAATCCTTGACATTTTCAAGAACCAATTACCTCCTGATTACTCTTTCGTATGAATTCTGCATCTGTCCTGAGGAAAGCGTCCCTCATGGCTCTACGGAGGTCGGTGGTGAAGTGTGGACCTTCTACCAGGTACTGGTGTAGGTGCGCTGCGCAGTACGTCGCCGCCGCTGAGCCGGCGTGCCCGTCATACACTGCATAGAAGCTAGTCGATTCTGTCGCCTGGAAATGTTAAATGCAGTAATATTAGGTACTATACGGACATAGAAAATTATGAATACTTAGTCTAGAAGACCCAATATAGGCTAATCCTCGTCTCCGCTAAGGCCGGCAATGCACTTGCTTCTGGTATTGCCATAGGCTAAGACAGCATACCATCAAGTGATCCGTCTGCTAGTTTAACCATACGTCATAAAAATACTGTAGTGTTCACCTCAAATAAAGGATCATATTAATATGCTAACCTCATTAAAGAGATTCATTAATGCCATTCATTAAAGGCCAGGTGCAGACGTGCGGAGTAATTTTAACTGGCGTGCTAGTATGACCAGATGTGACGGAAGAATTATGTAAGGACATAGCAGGTGGTGCTGAATCGGTTTTACTGTATGCACATGAACATTGTAGAGAGTTTATAACATACGGGACGATTAGTAAAAGTAAAAATAGTGAACATTTGAGATGAAAAGTGTGTTCTGAGACGAGCTGCATGGACTGCTCCAACGGATATACCAAATAAATATTCTAGTTTGATAAAGATATAATAATTAAGTACTGAGCACGTGTAACATGACAAACATACCATTGCATCGTCGTCCGCATCACCGTACGGTACCTAGCCCTATACAAAGCATACCATATAACAGAGAAGCATACGCCATTCATAAGTACCGGGAATTCATAAACTTATACAACGCCTGTTCCGGTGCCAAATGTGTAGAGAATATTGCGTGATGCACTTACGAGGCTATAATCCTCATGTTATAGTGATTTTCTTTTGATTTGTAGTAGGCACTTAGCACTACACGGGTTGACATGTTTAGGTGTTCAATTTAATTTTCAAATGGCATTAAATAAAATCTATGCATAATTATTGACCAGTCACTGTTCTTCAGGCGTATAAATAGATAATCCTTACTATAATATCATAAATCGGAAAGTGAGTTTGTTTGTTTGTTCCGCTTTCACGCCGTAACTACTTAACCGATTGTTTTGAGTTTTTGCAGAAGTAAAGTTAGAAGTCCGGATTAAATAATAGGGTACTTTTTATCCCGGAAAAATTGATATTCCCGAGGGAAAACAAAAGTATAGTATAGATGGCGCTGCGTGTATTGATATTATCACATTGGCTTTTTATCCTTTTGTGACGCGAGCGAAGCCGCGGGTAAAAGCTAGTATACTATAATTAAAAAGATTTTCAAAATTATTGATAGATAGTTTTGCAACTTTAAAGTGACCTTCGTCTGGCTAACCGTGAGATTCATCGGATTTAAATAATGAATTTAGTAAGTCCACCTACACTATCAAATGAAATGTTACGAATCTCATCAATGGCACTTACATCAATTCCAAAAAGCGCTTCTAAATTTCCGATTTCCACATGTCGGTCTTCCATGACGCGTCGTGAATTCTTGGTGGCACATGATACAGTCTTTAGGTCGCGTTGGTCGAGAGGCGGTGGGGGTGGCAGGGTGTCCAATTTCGAGTTGTCTAAGTACCGGAGGCAGACGTCGTTGACGCGGGCAGTCACTGCTTGCATCAACCGAAGGGCTATGTACACTGGAATGGGGAGAGATAAGAATTAGGTGATGATTATATTCGGTATTGTTATAAATTATAATAGACATGTCCTTGCGAAAACTTACCAACAATGATAGTGTAAAGTAATTGTCCTAGATTTATAAAATCGCATACAATTTTATGAAAGCCTTACATTTATTGAAATGGACTGCCTCGTTGGCCGAGTGGTCGCAAGTGCGACTGCCGGGCAAGGGGTCTCGGGTTCGATTCCCGGGTCGGGAGAAAGTACTACAGGGTTTTTAAAAAATTCTCAGTAGTAGCACGGAGTCTGGAATTGTGCCCGGTATATGGCAATAGGCTCACCCCCTATTACATGGGACTCATAACATAAATAGTGAAAAGTGGGTGTTACATTGTACAGTGGCATATTGTGCACCTCTACCTACCCCTTCGGGGATAAAAGGCGTGATGTTATGTTATGTATGATATTGAAAATTATTGATATTGAATATTTAATTATTTGGTTTAAGTCATTCACGCGTATTCATGAATAGTTAGGTATATGACCGTTATTAGTAGATAACTACACTTTCTGTCACCATTCCACCTATTTATTAGTTAATTTTGCCAACCTACGTGGGTGAATGTCAAATTATAAAAATAAAGTAAGTAGGTATGTATAATTCCTCATTCATACAATCTCATATATGTAAGTTGTCACTAAAATTGACATGCATTTCTCTATTTAATATTTCGTAACAGGAATTTCCAAATAACAATCATAAAATTGTGTCTAATACTAAAAGCGATAGCCGCGCTGAGAATAATATCGGTATGAACCAAAGGCAAATATTGAGGGAATGAATGAAAGCAGGAAAGGGGCCGATCCAGGAAAATGTTACGATAACCTCTAACTCTTGTTTACAAAAGGGTCAGAAAGTACTTGGCATGGTTTTCATAGGCTTCTTCCTAACTAGACGTGTGATGAAGGACCGCAAACAAATTTACCCACAGATCTAAGTAAATGAGGCTGTTTGAATTCTGCCTACCCCAAAACTATATCACATCATATGAAATGTATTAAAACAATAACAGTGAGGTACTATAGTTTCGCTTGACCAATAGGAAAATATCAAACAACTAAATCAACGTTATAAACGACTCCAGGAAAATGTTGCGTGGAAAATAAAATACCATTAGTAATAGTAAATAGGTACCTACGTATTATGTATTTCTAAAAAGAATGGCTAAAATTAACGATAATTATAATTATAAAGAATTTTAAATTTGACGATGATGACATAATTGTAAATAAGTTTTTCTCCTGATTTTTCCAGTTGTACCGAATGATTGTCGAATGTCAAGTTCAAACATTTGGTTTTAATACCTTAAGGAACTTATTTCTTTACACTAGGTACCTACCAGAAAGTTGGCAAATGCCAACTTTTCTGTAAAATTACAGAAAACTAGGTAGATAGATAGATAGAGATGTCCTATTGCGATTTATCTACATCGTTAATTATGGATATCGATATAATATCATTATTTTCTACAATAATAAAAGTCAATCCCAAGAACGAGCGTAGCAAATTAAATAGCGGAGATGTACAGATTTATACTGTCATCGATTAAAGGCGTCGCGCCGTCATGGATATCAGATCAGTGACACTGTATTCTAATGCAGCACTAAAACCTTCATTCAAGCACCAGTATTGATATTCCTATAGGGTTCCATTCAACTATTGATACGTCGAAGCTTTACAAATGAGGCTAATTAATACAGGACAACAATGAATAAGACTCAGGATAAACAATGACTTGAGATTACATTCATTCTGTCTTCATTGGCTTTCTTGCCATCACCTTTTCCATCGTATCCAAACGACCTCTTTCTTCAAGTCTATGAACGATAGAAGTGCTAAGTGCATTTAAAATTAATCGAGTGATATTCGATTAGATTATATTTAGAATCGAGTTGAGTGTACCGAATGACGTAACAGAATCAACAAGAGATTGTATGATATCATTCTCTGCTAGCGTTCGTCTAGGTAGTAGGTACCCTAAACAATAGCAACATTACACACTATTCTATGTCTATGAGATGGTCACTAAAAGCGGTAACGTTACGCAAGTAGGTACACACAAAAGTCTTGCCAAGTGGTTTTGTTCCTCAATCGATACAATTATGTTCATTGCGTCAGAGCATTAAAGTGTTTGATGAATCGTTACATAACCATAATAGATCACAAATGGCTACTGGACTCCGAGTTGTTCCATAAATTGATTCACAACGAGTATAATCCGTATGTATAATTTAAATTCAATAACTAAAGAACGATGTTATATTATTTTTATACGGTCAGATTTCCCATAACTCATTGATTACAATGGGCTTACATTCTCTGAAAAGAGCCAAGAACGATTCACTGAAGTATCGTGAACTAGGACAAGTGATAAATCGATATTTAGGATACTACTAGCCATTACTTCACATCGGATTCAAGCGGACGGCACGGCGTTGCGCATGAAATTGCCATAAATAAGAGAACCTACCATCCTGCGTAGAGTAAAATATGGGGCGCGTTTATATCTGTCTGCGGCGATGATTTCAAGAACTATTAAACTGAAAGGGACTATAGGCATGAGCATTATTTATGAAACAGAAGAAATGGTTGTTAGACACAAATAGGTATATCCATAAAAGGTTTAAACGCACAGACTTTTTCCGTCGATTTCATCAGACGTCAAGGCTCATAGAATGCCATTTATCTAGATTCACCTATGGTAGTATGTCGCAAACTTCTAGTCACTAATGACATATATCACATAGCCAGTTTGGTTGGAATATTTTTTTTCTAAAAAAGGTGATGTTACATCTATTTTTGTGATTATTAGTCCGTTAGAAAATAATAGATGTCTTATTACAACGGTGTTAAAGATAAAAATAGTACAACATACCCGATTCGTCAGATTTGTACCCAAATTCATTGGGTTGTTTCTTCGATGCTACTCGCACCTCGTCAAGAATAATCCGCCGCAGCGGTGTCATCAGTGTTAGAGGACATTGTCTGTAAACAAAAAACGACAACATTATTGACATCACGAGAAGAGAAGAATATCAGACACATTCCTACCATACGCAGGTATTGCGGCGATTATTTCATACGATAATAAGAATTCAAAATGTGATTTTGTTTGGAAATTAACTCGTCGAGTACCGGTTTTATAGACACAATTAAAGAACAATAGGTCGCGGTCACCGGTGACCGCTTGGTGTTTGACAGTTTAAACCTTCGATGTTCGATCGACATAACGAGAGCATTAAATTACTAGAAAAGTGACCTTTTAAATAAAAAAGTATTTCAATAGTCTTTTTTTAAGGGACTTCTCCCGCCTGGGTGAGGCGGGAGGAAGTGTCAGACTCTTACTGACTAAAAACCACCCCGTTCCTTCTCCTGCACGTCGAGCCGGAGCCCCGGTTAATTTCAATAGTCTAATAATAAATATTGAAATAATACCGAATATACTCAGGTATGTCCTAAAACTGAGCCCAGCCACCAAGAAGTGGTTTGTAGCGTTCTACTTTTTGGTAACCTAATTGCGATCCCCAAATCGTCTGCTAAGCGTTTCTAAAATTATGGCAAGCTCCTTTAAAGAAAAAGTAAACATAATGCAGCTAATTTTCGTGACATTAGGTTGTATACTCTGGAAATACCTTTTAAATACACTATAAATCCAGAAAATGGGTAAAAATCAGATGATGATCCCAATAATGTCTGCGTAAGGCGAAGTTAAGAAAAAGCTTGTAAACAAATAAAGGATAACAAAGAAGTTTGTTTATGACAGCGTAAAGATAAAAATTCATTAAACAAATGAGAATAAAAAGGAATGCATGATCAATTGTTCTCTTTTGCACTGTAGGTACAAGAGATAAACAAAACAAAGGCATCATATTTATAAAAGGAACTTTGCGTAAAATACTTTACAGATTATCTTAAGATATCCGATTCCGGATTTCCAGCAAAACAATAACAACGAATGCGACAACCTGATACAATGATACCGTTATCAATTCGAACGATAAAACAAATATAATAAAAACTAATTTAACAATTCAGCCAATAACTTCGTTCACAGTCCGTTAGTAGTCATACATACAACAGCAAAACATTTTTTGTCCACAATGGGCTTTTTATTTAGTTAAAATGAATTTCCGTGAAGCCAACAATGGCCAAAAGTGCTAACAGCTGCGAAAGGTAAAAAACGAGCCGCTAAATGCGTAACAGAGTAATTCAAAGCATAATTATCAAGTCCACATCTACGTTGCTAGTTAAGCTCTTTATATGGGAGTCGACAACCATAATAATTTATACAAATACAATACACAACATAAACATACAACTGAACAAGTTAATTTAGATTCAGTAACTACAAATTCAATACAAGTCACTTTAGTTGGCAAATGACTAAAAGCCATCAACAAACACTATTGGCAGATGCGTTCATTAAGGTGGTTAGCTCAATAAAAACATCAAATAGATAGATTAGTGTTTATAATCAGCACGTGTTAGACTTGATCGTCTACGTAAACATAGCGTAACTATATTATTTCATTGCAGAGTTACAGAGGAACTTTGTGTATGTATGATAGACATAGTAGATCATTTGATAATATTGTCGATTTTTTTATGGCAAAAGCCGGTAAACCAACAGACGGATCAACTGATGGTAAGCAATTGGCGTCGCCCATGGACACCTGGAACACCAGAGGCGTTACAAGTGCGTTACCGGCCTTTTGCGGATTAGGAGTTTGAGGATCGTTGGGGATTCAGGAATTGAGGAGATTGGGGAAGGGGAGGTTACCGGAGGCCCAATTAGGTTAACAAGAGGCCTCCGGTAACCTCACTCACACGACTAAACACAACGCAAGCGTTGCTTCACGTCGGTTTTCTGTGAGGCCGTGGTACTCCAGTCGAGCCGGCCCATTCGTGCCGGCTCTATCTAATAAAGGTATGCCGTGTCGATCTAATAAAGGTATATGAGAATGGTATAAGTGTACAATTTTTTTATCAAGCAAGCCTGCTGTGATTCAATCTCATGTCATCTGTAAAACAGTGAATGCAGTCATAGTCGTTTTCGAGTATTGAGCGTAGGAAATAAGTATTCTGATCTGACGAATATACTGCAATAAAATAGCGTGCGAAACTCATTTTAAATGTAATGTTTTGATTATATTAAAGTCGGTCTCAAAAATAGACACCTATTCCGCAAGTATACAACCCACTCTTCCAGTTTTAGGCGACTTAGGCGAGACAACTCATATAGGTGAATTCATTATTCATGCACCGCCTTCAAACATATCATTTCAAAGAAATGTGTATTTTCATGTAGTTTATGATTTTATCTCGAGTAGCTAAATCAATATTTGTAAAACAAGTGAACCTGATACGAAAGTACAGATATACATACATGAATACGTAATTTAATGTCTAGTTTACAAACGATGAAAGTTGATAAGATAAAAAATCTTTTTAAAACAGTCAATACTCATTTCCAATCTGAGGATAACCTTTAAATATCTAATAGACTGCAAGGAGTATGTTGTGCGATCCGAATAACAGTGGGATGGGTTCAGAGTTAAGAAATTCTGCCAATTAATAGAGCAGGCCATCTCTTCCTTAGTGAACCGTGTAAAGCGCAAAGGCGACTTAGGAATTCAGGTAGACGACGGCCAGAAACAGCCTTCTTAACTTTGCGAAAACCTGTTTTTCTTTATGATTGCGGAGTGTAGACGACTGTTGGACCATACATCGACAATAGTTCGCACAATTATATTAAAAGTTGACTAGCGTTAAGTATAAAGCCGGATATAGAAATCCATTAGGAGCTAAAGATTCTGCTCCATGGGAAGCTTGTCGCCCGGAAACCACCAATAGTGTAAAACTAAAATACAAACTTGTACGTCAGGGCGCTTGGGATAGAAAACAGACTGGCAACAGCCGAACTAATAAAGCCGGCTAGAAGAAATACATTGTGCAGTAGACAACGTAGAATATCGAATCAATGAAAGCGGTTGGTAAACAAACCAGGCGGGCGTTCACATCACAGGAACATATGTTAGTTTCCCTCGGTTTCGATGCCGTTGTAGTTATAAAATAAAATGCGGACGTGTACGTCTGTCTGTACAATACATAAAGAGGTCGATGACCCTGTTCTTAAAACGAATGCATGTACTTCTCTCTGAGTTGACACAATATTTCAGGCATAACTGTCGTATACCGTAGATTATATTTGTTCACAAGGACGCAACGTGAGTTTGGCTGGAGCTAATTCTTAGTATTCCGCTTAGTAAAACAAACTGAATCGTAGTAATCGTATGTGAATTAATAATTTTTAAAATACCGTCAACATTATCAACAAGCAAACAAATAGTTCTAACATTTTTTCAGGCTTTTGTTGTCGTATCGTCGCAGGAAAAGGAAACTAAAAATTGTTTGTAATTTTATAAAAGCTTTGTTCAGTCAGAGACCTTTTACTAATTGCCAAATAATTTAACATTACAGAGTTGTCGGTACTTTAGGACCCGTCAACTTTCTTCACTTTTGTATGGAAAACAAATAATTTCGGCAAATTCCTTTTGAAAATGAATTGTAAACATTTGAGGAGTAAACAGTGCACAGAGCGTTGACATGGGTTCGCATTACTATCACGCGCATCCGCATCTACCCACGCGGTCTCGCGCGCCAATTTATGCATCGAGGGTACCAATCCTACGACCTCAACCCACAGGCCCTAGAGAAATTATGTTCGCTCTATTACAATCGAAATCTTCCTCAAGAGAAAGTATAATCAATATTTTCTAGCTCCGTGCAAATGCAAATGCAGACGGATGATTCGAATTGATGACCTCAGTCTTCATAGATTGCCAAGTTTTGCAAGTCTATTTTAAGCTCGCTGCAAGATGCTCTAGACGTATTAGGTCAATCGATATTTGAAGTTTTACAAAAACATTAATTTGGTTAGTCACTAGACTTTGCAAAGTCGACAAGAGAGTTCATTGTTATGATTGCTTGAACCCTCGTCTCACGAGTTTAGAGTTTCAAACAAAGCCTAACGAGTAAATGCTGACGTTTTATTGATATGGCATTCAAACGGTTTTCTCACGAGTTAGCAGTCTCCCGTGGTGTTAAATTATTCTGTCTGCTAGAAAAACTCAGATACGTGTAAACAAATAGTATTTACTTTATATTATTCGGCACTGAATAAGATATTCTTCTACGTTACTACAACTATGTTTATTGGAAACATTGGACCAAGTTTTGCTTATTGGTTTTTGGGAAATAAATTTTATATCCTGATATATTGTTTGCCTGGCTTCCAGCACCATATTTCTTACCCCTTGAAATAAACAACTGCGTACGATTAAAGTTGTCTAATACATACATACATTTTGTTACATTATATTCGATCTTAAATAGGTTTCGTGTACTACAATATCCTTGCCATGAACATCATCGGAGCTGAAGTTCACTCTGGTTATAAAAGTGAAACATTGATTTGATCAACCCAATTCACACCGAATACAATTGTTAGAATGGAAAGAGCAGATCAGCGGATTAATTTCGCGATTTAAAAAAATAAACAGTTATTACTACGAGTGAGTAGATTTGTAAGTTTATTACTAATTTACGTAAAACTACTGAACGGATGGAGTTAGATGATTTTGCATAACTACTGATAAACCATTGTAATAGTTTGTTCCGATAGCAATAAAGTATAAATTACTTTGGAATATCGGAATATGTATGTAAAATGTACCGTTTGTTTCGGTGTATGAGATATTATGCAAGACTAAATGGTCAGCGGCACCGTAACACACAATTTACGCCGTGTTACAGCATACGCCGGGTTAAATGGAGCGTCCAGTGAATTACACGTTAACTATAAGACAAGGCGTCAGTTGTGAGGTTCAAGTAAAGGGCTCGGCAGGAATGAATCATTGATTCGGCGGTTGTAGCTTAGTTAAATTTATAATCTGGCAGATAACTAGACACCCGTCCGTTATCTTGTTTCCTAATTCCTTGGTAATTGTGTATTACTAATAAGAATGACTACAAAGTAGGTAACTCCTACGATGAAATACCGACAATTGTAATATCTTTCTAGTCTAGTTCACCTGCAGATGAAGAAACAATTAACACGTAATAGTTATTCACGTAATGTAAATTTTGCAATATGCACACGAAATATTGTTTACTTTCCGACCTGTTAAACGACGGGTAATTTAGATATTGAATGGGTAAATTGTGTGAGATACAAGAAACCATACAACCGTTTGAACACGTGTGTTACTTGTATGTATAGAATTGGTCATACATTACGAATACTTCTATAGTTAATACATAATATAGTCATAGGATACAAAGGCGTGTTTGTGTGACGAGGCATTACCCATATATTTTTTATGTGGGTAACCTGACAGTTTCCGAAGTGATATGACGCATCGTCGTAGTTTTCCGCGTTACCTAGTCGTAAAGGTGCGTAAGCAGGTACGCGGTATACGTGTGGTTAGTGTTTGATCACACTGCCACGCGCCACGCGGTCGGGATGAGTAACGCGCCCCATATGACCCGCCAACCATAAAACTGTTAAGCAAGCAGGAATTATTTTTTAACCCACCTCCATAATTACATGCAATAATGACCACACAACTATTATTATTCATCTGATATCACGAAATATTTGGTGTTGACTATTGTATGTTTTGTAAACAAAAGGCATGACAACAAAAAAGCACTTGTTCAAATGTTTAGTGTACAGAGTCTAGAACAAAAGGTGGTCCCGGACCTTTTAAGGTTAATGGCCTATTGACAATTCCTTGTTGTATTACAAGCCTACTTACTGTGATAAGTGGATAGACCATATTGTGTAAATAGGTAAACTCGTATATATATATATGGAATTACATAATGGGGTCATAATACGGAAATTAACAAATAAATTAGGTACTAAAATAAATTTTAGTTAAGACAATAATAAAAATAAAAAAAACATTCAATCTTAATTAGGATAAGATATTCTAGTCAGTTATAAATAAATACTTAGCAGGTTAGCAGGCATTTTTATGAGGAATAGAGCTTACAACTTTTTTTGATAATATTGAATGGACTATTGGATTATATCGGACATTAATGCCAAGCCAAATAAATAAATGAAAATCTTAATATTTTATAAATTAGGATTTGAATGCTTTATGGTTGTTTTTTTTGTAATATAGCATGTAAATAATTTCCACCACAGATTACATGCTACATTGTGGAAGGCAGGCTAGGGCACAATCAAAATAACTTAATTTTATTTTAAACAAAGGCTTTGCGGCAACATAGACAGGTCTTTAGTGAAGAGATTTAGCTAGATATAATAATAATATTATTACAATTTACTTCCAAGGTAGGCTTCCCATTTTTGAAGGTATTATAAAAACCAATTGGAACTCTCTATTCTTATAATTTTGATTCTTATAAGGAGATCCAATTGGTTAACATAATACCTGCAAAAGTTAATTTATGTTAGAAAAATAAGGTAGACCTAAGTTATAGTCTGTACTTAAATCTTAGATGTATAGGTTAAACTCAAGGTACCATATCCAATTCCAGTAAAGAAGTATTATTCTAATTAGGATCTCCTACACATCAATAAGAGTAATAGGATGTTTCAGTTCCTATTTGAATTTTAGTTTTTGCAATATGTATCTTGGTAAGGTAGGTAGTTGCATAACATATACACAGTATAAACAAATATCAAGCCATTTCTTTCCCTATATCTTCTTATCACTATGATTCAACATTGCAGTCACAGCTCTGATTGCCTTATCTAAGTGGTTCTAGCAATCTAACATACAGCCCTAACACAGGAACTTGTATTCTTTCAACTATGTTACCAATAACTACTCACTTTTCACTCAGATATTGAGTCGTCCAGTAGAGAACTTCACCGGGTAGTTCCGATTCCGTGATGGTATACCCTGCGATATGCACAGGCAACTGGTCCTCTGGGTTAACAGTAGCCGCAAAGTTTTCAAAAAACACTCGGTACGACGTCAAATAATCTTCTTTCTCACCCATTTTCGTTAATTCGTTCGAAATTAAGAGCTAACTTAATAATATCGTGTCAATAATCGATCAACAAACACTTGTAAATGATTACAAGCTAAATTGGAGCAAAGTCGGAGCCTTCCTAGGAAATATAACTATTTAGTAAATATGAAACACTCTTTCACTACAGGAAAATTTGTCACCACATTATAGAAATAACTTATTTTAATATTTGCACTAATCTCAACAGTATTTCGTGATCAAAACACAGAAATCATCACATCTCGTTCATACTTCTACTCTTGTTGTCACATCCCATTTAGAATAAATAAATTATCTGTTCCACCAAAAAAATCCACACCCGATAACATTCGAAACATACGGTTTCACGGTTTCATAATTTACATTGGAATTATATTTCTTATTAATCTTATTTAATTTTGTGAAAAATTATCTATCAAGACAAATATTTCATTATTAAAATATTGTTTTATTGATATACAAAATATCAATAAAATATTTTTGAAGCCGAAAAAATTAATAAAAAAATCAAACATAGTTTCAGGACGAATTTTTATCGACGTGAATGTTTGACAGTGTTGCAAACACGATAACCGAACTTTGGCGCTATATTTGAATTTTATCTGTCCGCAAAAGAGCGAAAGTTTGAATCGAAAAAGGAAACAGAATATTTTCGCTGTTTTCCATTCAGAACTCTGTAAGTAAAGTACTATGCTACGTTATCACTTCTCTGTCATCCACGAAGTAACGAGGTCAAAAGGGTTTATTTTAATTAGCTTATATTTATATACAATAAATTCTCTGAACTCTTAAGACCTTGCATTGTGAATATGTAATTAGACAACCCGTATCAAATGAACTTTTTTTAGTTAGTTGCTTATCACTCTTGTTTTTGGTTTTGATAACAATAGTTATTGAATTTTGACCTAACGACAAAATAAAAAATCTGTTATGTAATTCGTAAGGTCACAGTGTTATCGATAGATTCGTATAAACCACGTAAGTTTCACTTCACTACCGTTATTGATGTTATTCTGATTGTCATGATGACAGTTCAGTCATATTAATCTGATTGACAGTTGACAATGCTTGTAAAAGCGGACAAAGTAAATTTTCAAACTTCGCATAAATAAATTAATTCCTTGTGTAAATAATTCCACTCATTGTGCAGAGTGACTGTGAACGAGCAGGTACAGTCTAATCTCATTATTTCTTTGTCGTTGCAGTAAGATCTTACAATTTAACCGTATTTTTCTCGTTTGCATCATTGTTTCTTATCACAAATGCATTATCAATAAGTACCTATTTTCAGCGTACGTGATTGATAAATTAGTTTGATAAGATAGTAATGGTAATTAAATCAGATTTTTCTATTTTTTTAAGATCTCAGACAGTTGTTGGCAAGGGAAGACGTTACCAAAGTAAGCGAAGATGATTGCCGGAAAGTATCAACATTACAAAAATGAAGACATCGACGATTATTTCAGTGCCGTCGGTGAGTGTTTTATTATTTTATGTGCCTAATAAATGTGCTAAATCATAAATCTATAAATAAGATATTTATTTGGCACCAACCGCAAAACATTTGATCAAACTGCTATTGTTTTGTTAATACAATATAGCTGCATGTTATATTCTACACCAAATCCAATAACAAATATTTTTATTGTGACAGGTGTACCTTACATGGGCCGCAAAATGATGGCAATGTCATCACCACTGATGGAGATATCAGTGGATGGAGAACAAATGACAATCAAAAATGTGTCCCTAATGCGAACAGTTGAAAACAAGTTCAAACTGGGTGAGGAGTATATTGAGAACATGCCTAATGCGAAAATAAGAGTAAGTTGTGTTGACAAATGTGTTGAAATATCTCTATATTCAGACTTGAAATATAAATTGTACATCATCTAAACTTGAATTAAAATGAGTGTAACATACACTAAAAATCTTATTGATTTACAAATGGAAGATGTGCATGTATGACTAACATTTAATTATTTTTTTTTAATTTCAGAGTGTAACAACAAAGGTTGATGATAAAAAGATTGAAACTAAGTCAGTAGTGGAGGATACAGGTGCTGCATGTGGTCGCCTCTATGAGTTCACTGATGATGAGTGTGTAATTGTAAGTGAAGCGAACATTTTTAGTGTGTATGTATAAAGATACTGGTTAACTGTTTCTTATCATCAAATGACTATTTAAATGTAAAATGTAATGAATGTGTTCTGTAAACAAAGATAGCATTTAACAAAAATATTACCAAAGAGTATTTTACAACAAAATATTCATAATGTTATTATATTTCAGACTCTGACCCACGAGAAAGCTGCCACCCCTGCCAAACGTTACTTTCGCCGAGTCAAATAAATAGAATCACAATTTTCTTTCTTCCAATAAGAACAACAATATATTATAATTATACTTAACATATTATTATAAATGATATGTAAATGCTATAAGAGAACTGATATTTTTATTTCTTTTTACTTTTATATGTTATTTTAAATAAATATATTTTTATAAAGGTATCTTTTTTATTAATTTATTATTCCAGTTTTCGACCTTCGTATGAACTTGAAATATTATACTATAATTTGTACAATAAGCCCTTATCTCGTATTTCGTCATTGAAGTTGTATCATTTCTATACAAAGTAGTAGTTTAACTATCCTTTTTTCAACGTCCTTGACCTATACAGTTTGTGGCTAAAATGTGGGACGATAGCGAAAGCTTTTATTTTTATATTCTAATGAGACTGCTCAAACTGAACTTGACCATGACGAAAATACGCATAAATGAATTAATAAATATAAAGTCGCTGATAGTGTAAAATACAAATAAAGATGCATTTCTCATTACCGCATTTTATGTATATGTGCCAAAATACCAGGTGTTAGGTTATAAAATTTTAAACTGTCGATGTCATGTTCTGTGCTGCTATCTAGTTGTCTGGAGCTGAACTCATTTCTTTATTTGACATTATGAAAATCCGACTAACGTAAAATGTATTGTCATTTTGCCTTTCCCTTTCTAACTTGAAGGAATAACCATTGCTTTTTCCGATTGGAAGTGTCGTCAGAAAATACCACGATTATATATTCATTCTTTCGTACGGTTTCGATTGATTTGATTTTATTGTTTTGAAGGTGCGTTGAACAGTTTTATAATTTTTGCGAATCACCCAGAGCTACTGTTGTGATATCTACAGAAAGATTTATACTGCCAAAATGCCAGACAATACAGTTGCCCAATACCAGGTAAGTGGAAATTAATGAGTCGAATGAGAAGTTCTTATTAGCACAAAGAAAATAATAGCGTCTTCATATCTTCATTGACTGAAAACAAGAAATCTGTCTATTTTACGTCGAAATGTTTTTTCAAAATTGTTTAATAATCATATTAAAAGAATCGGACTCGTGCACAAAGGCTACCGTACCAATTTATAAAAAAGAGCAAAAGTTAGTTTGTTGTGTGAGAACCCCCACTTGAAATCTGTATTTTATAAATGATAAACCTACTACCTACATTAATTACAATACGGAACCACTAAACATGATTTTTTTCTTCAGGAGCAGCAGGTGAAAAAATTGAAAAGGTTCTTGGAAGGTTGGCGAATGGCTGTTATTCCATTAAAGTCCATAATTTTGTGGGAACAACAATGGCATCCTTGTGCTATAGTTGGATCTGTTTCTTTTCTATACTTTCTTATTTGGCTGATGGACCTAAACTCTCTTGCAACATTCGCCGTTGTTGGCTTATTCCTGAATTTTGTGGACTTCATAGTACCTGTGGTCTGTAATTCACTCTATGGATCAACTTCTTGGACAGGACAACACGAGAAAATGTATGAAGATATTTGCAAAAGCATTGTAGCGAACTACAATAAAGGCTTGCATAATATCCAACAATTCTATTCATTGAGGGAAACCAGCCCATGCATGGTAAGCACTTTCTTGCCATCATTTAGCATTCAATGTCAGTATTATTGTGTTTTAAACTGTCAAACACCAAGCGGTCACCGGTGACCGCGACCTATTGTTCTTTAATTGTGTCTATCAAACCGGTACTCGACGAGTTAACTACAAACATAAAATAGACAGGCGTTTTGAATTTTGTATTATTTTTTTTCTTTCAGTACTACATACTGTCCATCAGCTTGCTGGTGACATTTGCATGGGTTGCATCATCCATAAACAACATATTCCTGTTATACATGGTGTCTACTGCCATGTTGTTGTGGCCCGGAGTGCGGAACAGAGGCATTTTTAACACCCTCTTGTCAATGGTCAACATGGGACCAAAAACTATTAAATCTGAATAAAACATTTTTTTTGCTGTAATGAGTGTGTTTACCTAAGCAGAAAAGTAACAGCTGGAGTAATATGAGTGGCGTGGCTTTTTGGCATTAATTCAGAGTAAAAGATAACTATGAAAAAGAAATTCTAAAAGAATTATAAAAATGTATATGGGCAGATTGCCTCTATTTCTGCAAATTAGTGCACCAAAAATAAAATTTTATTACGAAACGGTGCAATCTTTAAACGTTAAAGATGTTTGCATTTGCTCATATCACTTTAGGTGCTACTTTTTTGCTAGGGTAATGTACGCATATTGAGTAGCTTTTAATATTTAATGTGATTGGTCTGGTCATAAGTTTTAAGTTAAGCTTAGCTTATTGTGAGCTTTAAATTACTGTGTATGTGTGATATTATACTTTATGAAAATAAACAGCCAAAGCCTGACTTTTATTTAATTTGTATTTTTATAGAATGAGTGTTGTATTGGGAATATTTAGACTTAAAATTGTGGCTTAGAAAATATAGACGCTACATATATACAAATAACTAATAATACAAATATATACAAAAATCTGCTTCTTCAACAAGAGTCTTTACCCGGAATACCACTACACTTATTATACTCTTTGGCGGAATACAAAGATCGTTTCATTTGTGTAAGTTTGGCGACAGTGGGTTCTCATAGTCAACTTTTTAGACATTTCCACTAGCTTTTTGAATTCCATGAATAAAATTGTCGATGTATACATAGATGACAAATCATTCTTTTGACCAAATTATAGTAAGATCTTGTGCCAAGCTTTTATTTCTCTTATCAAAATTAAACTGTCAAACACCAAGCGGTCACCGGTGACCGCGACCTATTGTTCTTTAATTGTGTCTATAAAACCGGTACTCGACGAGTTAAAGCGGAAGAGGTATGTAGGAATAGTAGCAATTGGCGTTCCATAGTCTCTGCATACCCCAAAGAGTATAATAAGTATAGGGGGCCTACCCCTCATGGGATCAGGGGTGAAGTTATGTATGTATGTCAAAATCGGACCAGGTTCAAATTCTCGTTGTTAACTGAAACACTGAATTAATTTTCAAAATGTATTTGTATTTTACTAATTAAGTCGTACGAAAACTTAAAACAGCTTAAGCTTTTACGTCCTAGCTAGATGATAATGTTATCAAAATGTACCTTCTGTAAGTACTTGACTTATACTATTTTATCATCTTAAAAAAAAAGAAAAGTACTATTTTATCATTATATAGTTCAAAATACCTAATGGGGCAATATTTGTATAGAATCTCAAGTAAAGAAAATAATTTCCAATTACATGTGGGTACCTCAGAAAAACAATAATATCGACCCAATTATTTTATTATTGAAACTTTGAAACAATACGTGCGTCCACGCTAACTTGTCTTCAGTAGTGAAGCGTGAATGATATCACTTTCATAAGGTAACTATTTTTATGATTTCCCATTATTGCAGCCAACTTTTCTTAACTACTGTTTAATTTACGACACTTAACCATTTTTGAGATAATTACGATAATACACGTAACGTGTACATTGAAAATAAAACCCATTTATTTCTCAATTATTTTATTTCATTTTGATGTAAATTCTTAACTATAATACATTCAATATATCAATATCTTAACATTTTTAGAAAATTGTATTTATTATTTTGCGCACAATCAAGCGAGTTGGTAATGCAAAAGAAGCACTATTATAGAAAATTATTGATTCACTACACTGCCTTTGATTCAGTCATATTATATCTATGAACACATAACATTGATACAATTATATTTACTTGAAACTTCAGCATATACAAACAACTAATTAACATGACTGTTAACTATAATTACAAAACCTATTCATTTTATTTTTAATGAATATGCAATTAAATATAAGCGCACAGGAAAATAACAATAAAACCATCACAGCAATGAGTGTAAAAATTATAAGATAACTCGAAAAACATACGACAGTAGACACATGTAAGCACGGGGTACTTATAAACGGCGTTTGCTCTAAGCTAGCGAGATTGTTTTGATAATACTACACTGAATGCATTAATACTACTACTGAAACTAAAACACATATTAGATCGCCATTCGCCACACAGGTGACTCGTCTACAGGACAAATGTAGTCCAAATTTAGGCAATTCTGTTGGATATTCTAACTACTTTCTAAATATAAACTCAAGTATATGAGAGTTGTACTACTACAGTTATGTTTCTGACACAGTGAAGCCTGGTTTCACGTTACTTTTTTTAGCCTTCGTGACCGACGGCATGCCTGGCTCGTTACCCACCAAGTTATTAGTGCTGTCGGTAGAAGTACTTGGCCTTAACAGGTCGTCTGTCACTAATGTAGTTTTGAACCTACTGCCTGAGACAGTCGCTTGAGAACTTACATTACTTTTTTGTGCACTACTGTCACTGTACCTTCTACTTCCATTGTTTAGAATTTCATTCTTTATAATCTTGTTTTTGCCGTCTTTGCTTTGCAAATTAAGCGAGTCTATGTTAGTGACAATCTGAGCGTTTTCTTTAGAAAACTTTTGTTTAACCTCATTGTCTAAGTTGTAATTTTTGCTACTAGATGGCATGTCTTTATGAAAACATTCTTTAGTTTGCTGTAAGCTTAGCCCGAAGAATTCAGTGGAGCATTTACTAGTGGACGGCTGATTGTTGTCCAGTCTGAGGGAACTGGCTGCGGCGTAGGTTTGTGGGCTCAGGTCGTTCTTGATCATCTTGACTGGCGACCCACACCAGTCTACTGAAAGCGTTCCTTCGTCGTCTTCGCCTTCAGTACTCTGCAATAAATACAATTTTAATTGTATTATAAAGTAATATAGTATCTTAACGTTTCATTACAATTACGGATACCTATCAACAAATATTATTATCGGTACCATAATAATTCATACCAATAGATCGTGATCAGTGATGGAGCCGGCGGTAGCCTCGTTGCTGTTGAAGTCCAGTTCGGAGGCTATCGACACCGGCGTCACGTCGCCGCTAATAGACGAACCTGTAACATTACGCGCAAAACGAAGACAACCATTATTAATTAAACTACGGGTAGAAATAAATAATAAGGACTATATTGACCACCCACAATGTTTTAAGAAACGTTTAAACTCTTTAGCCTTTTTAATTCCTTTCATAGTTAAGCCAGCCGTCAAAGAAGCTTTTTGTCTACAGAAAAGACTGTATAAAAATTCTCAGATATACATTTTTTTATATTTCGTTAGACTGTAATCAATTTCTTAACTTAGAGTTTAGTTAAAATTGTAACTTTGCCAGTCAGTTGCAAACTTCTCTAACCCCAGAAAAGGTTTTTTATCCAACCATACCTACGCCTATAAAGCAGTATACTCAATAGGAACTTACTTTGTATAGTCGCTTGATATTATACATAATTATTAATGTTATAATATGTATATAATATAAGCTTAATATTAATACATACTTAAATATGAAAAACATTAAACAGTAAAACAATTCATGCAAATTCTTTTTTGTTAGTAATTTTTTTGTCTGATAAATTTAATCTTACTAAGGTATTCAATCATTCTCAAGAATTATATAACCTTAGGCAGCAGAGAGTGCAGCGCATGCATGCATTGTATAAACATGCAAAGATGAACCATAAGTTAATAAATGTTAGGTTTATTTTAAAATGGAGTATCTTTGTTACAAGCGACGATATTGTGCAACGTTTAAACTGTATTTATATATCAGAAGATCAATTTCGCAACATTTAACATTTCTCAACGACAGCTAAAAGCGCACGGCAGGCTTGTATATTACACGTCGTTATACTGTTTGTACAAAGTAAGTTGACCAGTCGGTGCAAGGTGTGTAGCGCACTGAGCCGGGCGGTCGTGGCTGGGTGGAGATAGAGTCGAGTGATGCGTGAGGTACCTGCTACGTTGGAGTGCGGCATGAATGGGTGCAGGCTCGAGTCCAACGCGCACAACGTCGCCGCCTCGCCCTCCCACTGAGGGAGCTTGCTCGGCACATTTTTACTCCAATTGCTACTGGAATCCATAATGTTTAGTTACCAGCCTCTGTTCGGCTGCGCCTCGGTCCCAACAATCCCGACAATGAATGATACAAGCACCGACAATATGAGCTATGAATTACTGTGAACTGTCGCCGCCACACGTGAAAACAGAATGGTTCCGTATAGACTTCACAAGTGGACGAAGCGTTTTGCACGTTTGGTCCACTCGCGGATTAAGTATTGGAGAAAGTATGATCAAGTTAAAGAACTGTTCAAGTCTCACTTTCAGGTGAGATGTAACGATAGTTCATTAGATTACATTTAACAAATAACATAAATCAGAAAACTAACATCAAGCAACATTAGCAGACATAAGTGTTTATAATACAAATCTAGTCAAGTGAGAGCGTTGTAACCAACAGAAATTGAAGACATCTTCCAGAACACGTTACCAAATTAAAACCAAAACAAAATATTGTACAGAAGAGTAGCACTGACTCTAATGTTCGGAAAACGCATTCAAGCTGGTTAACATTTCACTAAGTATTCAGCCGATGCTAGTCATGTGAGTGTTATACCTTTCCGTGGACGTGGTCTTATGTTCCGAATTGGAAGCGTAGTTAGAGTTGGGCGAGGAAGGGCCCGCAGACGACAGACCGCTCGGCAACTCGCCCGACGACGACATCAGCGAGGACGGACCGCTCCATCCCACACCTGCGGACCATAGCGTCAGTACGGGGGGCGCGCGGCGCGGGGACGGGGGCGGGGGCGGGGGCGGGCACTCACTGTTGGTGGGCGACGGCTGCTTGTGCGGCAGCGGGGCGGGCGGCGCGGGCGGCGTGCCCAGCAGCACGGGCGCCGCCGTCACTCGCTCCAGGAAGGCGTCCAGCTGGCGCAGCGACAGCGCGTTGTGCAGCGTCTCCAGCGGCCGGATGGCCGGCACTCCGCCGAACCCCTCCACCGCGGCTGCGAGGCAAACACTGTCAGTCGTAGCCGGATTGATAGGAGCCGAGACCCGAGAATATGCTTACCGTTGCTGGACGCTGCCGTAGGGATCATGACCCGGAGGTTGGGCGCAGAGCTGGACCCAGAGATGACGGCCGTGCTGAAGAGGCCGGCGGCGGACAGCTTGCCCCGGGCGCCGAGCCCCAGCATCTTGAGGTAGCTCATCTGGCCGGCGATGCTGTGCCGCTGGCGCCGCCCTGCGTCCCGCGGAGTGCTACACTGGCTGCCGTCCGCCAGACGCGGCCAGGATGCCGTGCGCGACCCGAAGGGGATGGCGGACAGCGGGAGCTCGTTAGTAGAGGACTCGACGCCGCCCATGTTAATGAGGGGGGTTAGTGGGCTCTCGGTCGGGCTCGGGCTCGACGCGAGCGCGGGCGGCGTCACGGTCAGTGCGGGGAGCGGGGCCGGCCGCGCGACTGCCCCGGATGGCGGCGCGGTTAGTGACGGGTTACACGAACAGTGGGGTGACATTATGTGGAATGCGAGCGTCGTTAGTGGACAGGGCGGTGATAGAGAGAAAAATAAATTAGTGATTAATATAGATAGAATAAATATATAGATACTTGTCAAAGCGTGCTCGTAGTAGCGATAGAGTTGCGATATGGAGATCGCATTGGACATTGCACTACACAGAGGGACCCCAACCAGCGCAGTAGTTTGACGATCGTTCGTTGGCCCCGGGAACGCAACCCTCGCGTGCCGCGTCTCCTGCTGTGTTCACAAGTGCATGTGATCGTGGCAGGACATGCGCACCAGAACGTTACGTCAGCATGGCAGTGGCCTGTATTGCTGCCTAGATATCACATTATCATTAGTGTTAGTGAAAATCAGTATCACAGCATGCAGGGGCAAACAATAGTCAGACGTGCGCACACACGCGGGGAGCGAGAACACAACGCAAACACACACAAGATCGCCGGCCAGAGTGAGCTGAGGGCGGCAGCGGCGCCCGCCGGGCTACAACTCAGTAATAGTCAGGTAACACACGACACGCGACCGTGCCATACACATCAGAGACTTAACGCTAAACGGACACACGTACACCACACACTAATGTTACACTTACAACACTGTCTGTTACATATTACAGCACTAGCTAGTGTCATACAGTTTATCGGTACCTTACATGCCACCATGCTTGCTTACCTGCGGAGATATTCAACCCATTGACGAGACAATGTACCCTATACCGGTGGAAGTAGGACGCGCACACATATAATATTCAGGAGCTGAACCAAACCACCCAAAGTTGTGAATAAACAATAAATTTTATATTATCGACGCTACACATTGTATATTATTTTCTCCCACATTTTACTAGGCTGATGAATCTATTAAAATATTAATTCCCTTCTGTGAACATGAGACATTTATTTAGAACACAGAACATAGTTTGTTACCATAAGTTCCAAACTTCTAATTATTATTTTTTGTTAAAACGCTATTAATTGACTTCTCTAGACATTATGACATATATTTATACACAGAACATTGCTATATTATGTTCCAAACTTCCAATCATTTTAATTAAAACCCTGTTAATCTCCTTCTGTAGACGTACATAACACATTTATTTGAACTTCTAATTATTATTTTAATAAAGCTCTGTTAATTCCCCTTCTGTGGACATTTATGTAGAGTACGGAACATTATTATCATATTATGATGGTCTAACCATACTTTTATTATTAAAGCTCTGTTAATTCCCTTCTGTGGACGTGAGACATTTACTTGGACACAGAACATAGAGCCCGACTGACCTTCCCTGGCGACGTGTTGCAGACTGGTGTAGCGCGCGCCCACCGCGCCCGCCAGCGCCGACTCCGACTCTGTCGCGGCACATCACTCTCACTCACCACTTACACTCATACTTTACTAACTAATTTTTACTTTAAGTCACTTATTTCCAATCAAAATTATTTCATTGACGGAAGCCTAGAAGTTATTTGATAGCAAAAATATTATATGGTCTGATTTCTGAGAACTAATTCAAGCTTCTAACTTAGACTTGTGCTTGAAGAAAAAGCAAAAAGAAAATGTATCTAAACAGTTTTATACTGCAATCTATGTACGAAGCAAACTATTAAAATATTGTTCGCACATAAAATACGATTCTGCTAAATCTACTTTATGTTATTACTAGTAATATAACCAGAAGTTTTTATACTACTAAAGCTTATAAAAATAATTATATAAGATAACATACAGTAGCATACACCCCACTAAATGTCATATAATTTTTTATAGTACTTTTTACATAAAGGTATCCAATTACGAAACCAATTTGTTCATGGACCTCTAAAAGTATTAACGCACAGATTATTAAGAAAATGGAGTCAATAATTACATATCAAACTTGTGTAATAATTTTCTGATAAGTTTAATAATATCGCCGTGAAACATTGTTAGCGTTTTTGATTGCTTAACGTATTAAACATGTAAGTGAAGAAAAGTATTCAATTATGTTATTCAATAACGAATTTTAACAACCTAAAAACAAATATTTATCCGTGCACTCCATTATCTTACTAAACCATGTGAAATACGGTAGTTTATTTTTTAATTATACCTTACGTGTCTCTTACTAACATAGCTCCCGTGTAGTTCAATTCAATCACCTCTGTAGACCCGGATCAATGGTCCACAGGAGTGAACAATGCGAGGATGTCTCAAAATCCTCGTGACGTCACAACATACATTTATGTACAGTAGTCACTTGTACTGGTACACGACACTCGGGACACACGCCCGTACCCTTAGTTGTATTTCGATAAAGGCCTTAACACACCTTATATTTATTTGGCAGTATTTTTGTCGCCTTTCATTTAGTTATTTCCTGTTCACTTGGGTAATAACTTTGACTTTGAGTTTTCCGAAGTAACAGAGGGCGTAGTACAAGTTTGTTTTACGTTTAAAGTAATCGAAACGAGTACGCGTTCGGCGCTGTGATTGGTTGGTTCATTGGAGCCAGCCAATCAGAGCGCCGAGCGGGCTCAGATGACGTTTAATAATTTTACTGTCGTACAAAAGCACTGCTTTATGTTATTGAATTTCATCCATCTAATTAGATCATTGGCTTGACAGAGTTTTCACCAACTACTAAGTTACGGGCTAGCCGATAACAATAATATTAGTATTAATTCACTGTTTCATAAAATGCTAGTAAAAGAACAATTTCGTTCTAATAATTTTATAGTATAGTAGAGTAAGTTCTGTACAACTAAGAATACAGGCGTCGGTATTAGTGGGTCGTTATTAGTGCAGCCATGCGTTGGTCCGCGTCTGCTCGCATACTTACCGTTGTCGTGGCTCTGTTTATGTTGGTCGTAGGAACGAGCTCGGGGCGGCGCTTCTTCCACGTCTTTAGGTTCCTTTTCATCACCCTGATAGTGAAAAATAAAACATTATAACAGTTAAAGATTTTGAATTATTTACATGACATAACGTCACGCCTTTTATATCCGAAGGGGTAGGCACAGGTGCACATTATACCACTGTACAATGTAACACCCACTTTTCACTATTTATGTTATGAGTCCCATGTAATAGGGGGTGAGTTTGAATTATTAATGTGTCATTTGTCCACTAATGATTAACGACATATTTTTCATAGGTTATAACAATTGTTTTTCTATGGGAGTGATATCAACCTTACAAAAAATCGGTTTGAAACAACGCTTGCAGTGTATTTCGCCGCATGACTGAAGTTACCGGACGGAAGTCTAATCCCTCAACCACGAAGCCAATACCACACTGTTTTGCAGACCTTTGGAAGGGAAAAACAGACCGGTGGTGCTGTCGATATCCATTGACAGCGACTGTTTTGCTGCCTTTTCCCATAAAGAAATGCATATAAGTGAATTGTAAGCACGGTACCTGTGTATCACCGTGTGCGGGCGTGTCAGCGTGCGAGCGCGCCCGCAGTTCCGCATTGAGTCGCGCCGCCAACGTGGACGCCTCGTGCCCGCTCACTGTATAGTGCAGGTTGCTGCGGTATACAACATTCGGGATTTATATTATTTTACTACAATGCTAAATTATCACAATAACTGCTTTTTCATGAAATCATTATGGTTAAAAGCCTGTATGGATATAAGTAGGGTCTACTATTAATTGTGAATGAAAAATTTAGTTATTTATTTTGTTTTTTTTTGCATAAAAGGCTTGTGTAAAAGCCCATTTTCGCTGAGCTTACATTTAACCCAAAGGTTGACTGGGAGAAAATGCCATATGGCATTAAGTCCGCCTTATGTACCCTATTTTGTGTGAATTAAAGTGTAAATAAATAAAAATGGCGATAAACTGTGTAATCAATGATATAATGAAAGATAGAAGTCTGTGATATAAAAAGTGCATGGATGAAGATATTAGACCTCAAGTAACTTCGAATAATAAGAACCAATAGAACAAAATTGTACTCGAAGCCCATCGTTAAACATTGTATTACTCACCAAATCGGTATAGGATCAGAAGGCCTGATCTTTGACTTAGACAATTTCTTCGGCGAGAATGTGTTGTCTAGTTCTTCGGCATCCTAGAAAGCAATAAACTATATGACATAATGTTAATTAAGAACATTCTCATGAATGTTTAAATGTACCCTGAATGTGCCATAACATAACATCACGCCTTTTATACCCGAAGGGGTAGGCAGAGGTGTACAATTTAACACCCATTTTTCACTATTTATGTTATGAGTTCCATGTAATAGGGGGTGAGCCTATTGCCATATACCGGGCACAATTCCAGGCTACGTGCTACTACTGAGATTTTTTATGAAAACCCAGTAATAGTTTGCCCGACCCGGGCATCGAACTCGAGACCCTTTGCCCGGCAGTCGCACTTGCGACCACTCGGCCAACGAGGCAGTCCAATGCAGGCCAATGAATGTGACAATAGGCCATAAACGGTTCATTGTACATGTAGTGACTTCTGTATACCACTTCGAACTTAGAAGATATTATAATATTTCTACTCACCGGTTGCAGTGTCTCCTGACTAGCCATGTTGTCATCCTCACCTTCCTCCTCGATACACTTCACCTCGTCAGACGAACTCTGTACAAAACCATACCGTAACTGAAAACAGGGGGAAATTGGGAGGGTACTAATGGGGATAGGATATTATAATGCAAAAGGAAATTAAGATAATTATATCAAATTAAATTTAGATTTACTACTTTTACCCACTGTGACATACACATTTATGTATTTAGTATGAATGAAGTCAACTTTGATTGTAATTGTTACATGTATGATATGAACATCACTAATTAGAAAGTAGTGGCCCCCTCACTATAATGTGTTATATAAGGTAGAACACTTGTCATTAACGCCGCTGTCTACCTGTCATAGTCTGGTGTGTGTACACGTCGTGCGCCCTGCACATTATTGTAATAAATCCAAGTATTATAAATCCGTCTACAAATTATTAATCCACCAACGTAACAGTAATATAAGTTTCCTCACATAACTATGAATTCCAGTATAACTTGAAACAAGTTCAGCTTTACTCAAACAGTTGACGTGAATAAGCCGTGTATTTTAATCAAATCCTTATTCCCAATAGGCTTGTAACGCAATTGTAAGACCTCTGGTGTTCCGAGTGTCTATAAGCGGTGCCGGTTGCTTACCATCAGGTGATCCGTCTGCTCGTTTACCGTTTTATTCTATATCTATATATATCGGACAAATGGGAGCCTCGGATAGTAAAAAAGAATCGTAGTAGGTGACAATGGTGAGTAGTTTATATACCGAGTTGTTGGTAGTGGAGTGATTCCGACTATGTGGCCTGAAGCCAGGTCCAGGCGGTAAGTTCTTCTGTACACAGCAGTTCACGCCCGGACTGAAGTGGAGCTCTACGTGGAACCTGGAATAATTACGTAATTAGCTTATACTAAAAGCAATTATTCTACGCCATACGAAGGTATAATGTGGAGTTCAATACTTAAGAACAATCTTTACAAGATTCTAGTTAATTCGTCAATGTTGTCAGTATGTAGGTTTAGATTACAGCTGATCGACTTCAAAATCCTCTAGACGTGATGTAAAAAAAGTACATTAAAATAAAAAAGAACAAAAGGTACACATCTAAACCACAGATAGGACTAATAACATTTTCCAAAACAATTAATATTATAACAAAGTTACTCACCTCTCCTCCGAATAGGGATCCTTGGTGGGATCCTCGTACAACATGACCACAATCTGCGACATGTAATTCAGCTCCGACACAGTCGACACGTACTCCATCGCACGACGCCATTGCTCGTCTTTTATTACCTATGAGTTATACAAAAACAAGTATGATTTGATGATATTAAAGGAAATTAATTGTTATTATATTAGACATAGAGTTTAAATTGTTTATTTTAATTTGTAATTTGATGTTAACTCACAAAAGCATTCAAACCATTTATGTTAAATGAACATATACACTTTACAAATATCAAGAATGGAATTTCCCATCAGATTCAGTAATGTATCAAAGAGATTGTAAAACACATCGTTTTTTAAAAGAGCAACGAATGGAGTTTCTTGCTCGTTCTTCTCCATTGAGCACCTAGCTTCACTGAAGGATAGACTAACAGACTATTATTTATTTTGTATTCATTGATATTTCAAAAGTACCAAGTTATGGTTTAATTGAAATAAATGCTATGACTTTATCTCTTTATACCAATAAACCTGCTCCCAAAGCATAGATTGGTATGGAGAAGTTCGAATAACAAGGAAAACTATTGTAGTACTATTTTTTGTTCTTCAAATAAGCTTATGTTTTTGTACTTACGTCAAGTAATCCCCCGAAGCGCAATACAGTGAGCAGCGAGTGTACGTGACTCTCGCTGGTGAAGTACAGGCGCGTGCGCACGTGGCGGCCCGGGGACGACACGCCGTGACTGTATCTACGGACACAGGCACCGTTACACTCAAATCTTACCCTCATCCTAAATCCCAAAATTCACAATCACATAACGATCGACATCGGCAACGTACTTGCAACGCCTCTAATGTTGCAAGTGTCTATGACCGACGCCGATTGCTTACCATCAGGATTGCGTCGCTCATTTGCCGCTCCATACCACAAAAATAAAAACCATGTAATGCACCCCATTCTGGATCCCCAATTCTACCTTCCATGCTCTTGATAAAAATATTTAAAAAGCCCCCATGATATTATGCTCAATCCAATAATGGGACCCGTGAATCCTCTTGCTCCGCTCGATATACAAAGCGAGTTCATCTAAAAATACTTTGTCCAATTAACTAAGTAGCCACATGTCGAGATACTCCAACGTTACTCAATTTTAAGTTGCGCTTAAGTATAGTTCTAACATAACATAATAACATCACGCCTTTTATCCCCGAAGGGGTAGGTAGAGATGCTCATTATGCCACTGTACAATGTAACACCTACTTTTCACAATTCCCAAGTTCCATGTAATAGGGGGTGAGCCTATTGCCATATACCGAGCACAATTAAAATTAAAAAAAAAAAAAAAAAAAAAAAAAAAAGAAAAGAAAGAAAGAAAGAAATTCCAGACTCTGTACTACTACTGAGAATTTATAAAAACCCAGTAATACTTTGACCCTCCCGGGAATCGAACTCGAGACCGCCGGGTCTCGAGTTCGGCACGATATTTGAGTACAACTTAAAAATGAGTAACCTTTCAGTATTCGGGCGATTGTCACACATTTTAAATAGCATGATTATTTGCACTTTAAATGATTTTGGTCCTTGTTAGAATATGAAACACATAGAAAATAGTTAGTATTGTTTAATGAAGTACCTGGGATTTAACCTATTGACTGTCTCCTCCCCCGACTCCTCGATGTTCCGCTGCAGGTCAGCTCTGATCTTCTTCAGAAGCGGCGTGCAAATGCCTTGTCCTATCGTTAGCTTTTCTTGCATCGTGAGACCGTATTCCTGTAAAACGAATTATATTTTGTAATCAATTCTTTAAGAAATAATTTAAAGGAATTGATGTTACACATGAGTAGTTTTTAGATAGGTTTTAAAAAAAATAATACTTAATTAAATTGATAGATTGATTGAGAGTATAAATTTTATTTCAGTTAACCGCCCTAATCTAATATATAAAATTCTCGTGTCACAGTTTTCTCCGAAACGGCTTGACCGATTTTGATGATTTTTTTTGTGCTTATCCGGTATCTATGTGAATCGGCCAACATCTATTTTTCATTCCCCTAAATGTTAGGGATAGTACCCCTAAATTTTTTTCAAGATTGCGCGTACGAAGTCGCGGGCCGAAGCTAGTGTAATATAGAAATATCACCACTCACTTTTGTCTGTATCAACACTATAAACTTAAAAACCGAATAGATTTTCATAAAAAAAAATATTATTATTAATGAGAATGGGTCTATTACGGGTTTAATTGTGACGGGTCACAAATTAAAGGATATTAACATTTTCAATTCTTACCTGAGGTATCACAATATCAGCCAAGTACTTGGCATAGATGTAAAGTTCTTCCGCCAAGTCAAACTGCAACGTATGTTGGTTGTGTTGCAGATCATATTTTATGCAGTCGTAGATATCCGGTATCTTCGATATGTCATACGTTTTGTTCTTTGTACAAAAGTCCTTCTCTATTTTACCCCATCGCCGACCCATTAGTTCCCATGTCTCGCCGTGGTATAATATTGTATCTAGAGACAAGAAGACATTTTAGATAAAGATTTTATATCCAAAAATATGTCTAATGCATTGGTAAGTCCCTAAAGTTATGTCATCTGATTATGTTAATAAACAAAGCAATGAACAGAGTTGTTTCCAATCATTTTTGCGTTCCTTAAATGGCGCCACTAGCGAATTAGATACCGCACTTAACATTATAATTCTTATTTCAAAATGCGATAGATTCAAAGTTAGCATAGCTATATAAATACGGCAAAAAAACTTTACCTTTAGTCTTCGGGTCGTCCTTCTTAGTGAGCACAATATGCACGAGGTGTTGTATGAGCGTGTGCACGTGTGCGCAGCACCGCACGGGGTTCTTGACGAACTCCATGGCGGCACTGATGCTCACCGACTCGCACGGGTTGATGCGACATCGGTCCTCCTCGGTGAACTCGCGATCCACCTGCATTGCTTCGTGTAAACGAGCTTTTGCCCTGTAAGTAAATAATATGTATAGACTGACTGGTATGAAGATGATGGGACTGTCAACGCTTTTTCATGTTAACTACCGAATATATATCTGTTAGAGATATTTGGTCTATGTTATGTAACCTCGTTATTTAACTACTGTGTCAGCAAAGTTATTGCTTAAATTAAAATAGTACTCGCGTAGGTAGAAACGAAACAGTCAAGGATAAGAAACTTCCTACATACCTAGGATACACCAGCCCAACTTTTAACTCATTAACTATTGATGAAGACGTGCATACTCACATATTTTGAACTTTAGAAGAATCACAGTCGTTATCGAGTAGTCCATTTGTGTTAGCAGACTTGACCATTTGTACTAGTATTGGAGTCAGTTCTCCTTCTAACGCCAGCAATCCTTTAGCAAAGGCAGCTGCCGTCATCTGCACGCGACCCTCGTCTGACGCGTATATCTTCAGGTCGTGGCGGAAGGTGGAATGTAGGCGGAGTAAACCAAGGCCTTGGGTACCACCTTCACCTAAAGATAAGTCAATTTAAAGTGGACATTTTTGTACTATCTTGACTTGAACGTCATGTTTATCATGTTAGAGAATAACAGAATGGATGTATGGCGATTTTTAGAATATATATGTGCATTGTTAGTAGATTTTTTAGGCGAACGTATTCCATTATTTTACTCGTCGAGTACCGGTTTTATAGACACAATTAAAGAACAATAGGTCGCGGTCACCGGTGACCGCTTGGTGCTTGACAGTTTAACGAAAGTTACTAAAACTTATTCAAATCCTCGGTATAGTTAAAATTGTCTATGATGGGATGCAATTGTTGAAAGTTCTTTTTGGTAAAAAAGTACCTAATACTTTGAGAAAACAAACAGGTGTCATGTATAATGTTTAACACAAGGAGTATAGTAGGTCTAAATGAATGAGTGTGTACATACCGGGTATATGTCGTCCCTGTCCCCCCGGGTACATACAGCGGAACATCCGTCCGAGCTCCTCGGCCTGTATCCGTCCCGCCGGCGTGAGCTCGCCGCCCCACTTCAGTATCAGCACCAACGACGGCTCGCCGCCACCGCCTACTATACAACGACCATTTTAGCACAACATTACAATAATATAGAACAGTTTTTTTGGATTTACATACTCATATTATAGTTCTATAGGATCCTATGCCATATTTTTACTTAGATATTAATTTACTATTATTATTAATAAAGCATGGATCAAACCAAGGTATGAACAATGTTATTGTCAATCTCTAGCCATGTTCGGTTTGAGCCATACCTTCAGGCACAGCCCTATGTAGTATCCTCCTTTTGTTATATACTCATATCAAATTTAATGGTGACGTAGTATGTGTTTAAAAGTGAGTAAAAGTGTTGCATATAACTAAGGCATCTTTAAAATTGAAGTGGGAGTGTACCAGTGCAAAAATGTGTTCCAGACATTTATGTTCGACTGAATATTCAGTTGTAAGTAAGTACTTATAGGTATACTTAAGTTGTAACTAAGTATATACCTAAGCTATAACATAGCGTATTACATTTTTAATGGTAGCCATGTAAATTTTCCATAGTTGGACCACCATTTCGTTTTATTTACCAAATAAAGAACATATTATGGATCATTGATCTTACTTTGTTATGGTGGATTATGAACTAACTACAAATCAATATAATAAATACAGTGTATTTTCAACATTTTCATATTTCTAGATAACAATATGAATGTATTATAACTTTCGTGAGACCTTCGATCAACAATAACAACTAGATATCGGGTCGGCGCAAGAAAATCGTCTCGACAAATAAGAGCTCTTATTTTGTTTAGTATACTCCAAACATGGCCAACGTAATCACGTCTCGCGATGCTGCAGTGCGTAATTGCAAGTTGCAAAAATAATAACCAAAAAAGCAGTATAACGGCCGGAGATTCTTACTTTCGATAAGTACATAAAGTATACGTTATATTTTAAGCTTTTAAATTAGTAAATATTATCAAATTAGACAAAATTACCAATTATAAACCAACGCCACCAATGTTTGTGCGTGTGTTGGCGATCCCTTGGCCAAGCCTCGCCAACACGCGCACAAACATTTGTTTAAACAGAACAGTGGATGCATGCATGGAGTCAATTTGTGTTGTAACCTGATTGGAAAAGAGTACCTAACCTATGGAGTTTCTTGCTCGTTCTTCTCCATAGGAATCTACACCTTGGAATGAGCAAATAGCTTCACTTTTAAATTTATATTGTTGACGTTCAAAAGTGCCTTCCTGGTCTAACTGAAATAAATGTATTTGACTTAGACGTTTAATGACAAAGTAAATAAACATATGATACACAAAAACGTACCGCTTATAAAAATAAGTGATGTATACTAAGATCCCGAAAATAAAATTATTTTAGTGTTCAACGCGACTCCATACATACCTCCTGTAGCGAAATTCAAAATTCGAAGATGCAAAACGAAACAAAACAAAACGATTTAGATCACAAGGCAATTACGGAAAAAATATTTTTATTTGTTCTAGTTTAAGGTTGAATTCAAACTAGATATTGTATAACTTATGTCTTTTAATTTCTACATGACAGGAGTAAGATAATGCTTTTCTCGTCTTATGTGACGAATGGTCATAAGTATTAGATAATATTTTGACGATTTATGACTTTATTATTAGGTGTCATGGTTGTTATCAGGTTGAACTTAAAACCATTTTAAAACATTTTTCTCAGTTTGTTATTTTTTTACTATTATTATTCACACGGACAGAACTGGAGCTTGATTTTGTACGTAACCTAGTACTTTATCTAGTTGCTATTGTTGATCGAAGCGTGAGACATACTAAATATATTATTATGTTTTCGGCTTACTCACGTAATTATTTGACGAGGAACTCGACTAGTTTCAAGCCATACTAGAGGCTCATATGCCAATTAACTGGCATGCGACGACCTGTGGGTCGCGAAATGCTGCTCATGAATATGGGCCTCTAGTATGGCTTGAAACTAGTCGAGCTCCTCGTCAAATAGTTACGTGAGTAAGCCGAAAACATAATAATATATTTAACAATATGAATCCCAAATCTACACAAAGCATTAGTGGCTTCTGCTAGTTTATATGTTTAAAAGCCATGCTAAACCGCTAGTTACTGCTTTGCAAACAGCTATAATATACAGGACAAAGCTAACACGTTTCGGTAAACGATGTTATCAACAAGGTCGATGCAAACACGTGTTAATGTTAGAATTATCTACGAGTACATAATTTAATCGAAGCTGTTATGTTAACTATGATGTCACTTATATAATGAACTATGTCACTTATACATCTGTGTGAATAAACTTGACCGTAACATATTTTACCGCGGGCAAAAGCTAGGTAAAATATAATACGTGTAATTATTGAAAGTGTCAAAGTGTGTTACACAATCTAGAACTTTATCGAAGAATAGTATCTCATTTCCGCGGCTTTAATGCAACCAAACAAACAATCTCTTCCGCTATATCATGTGTGAGTCGATATATAACATAACATCACGCCTTTGACGCCACTTTTCACTATTTATGTTATGAGTCCCATGTAATAGGGGGTGAGCCTATTGCCATATACCGGGCACATTTCCAGACTCCGTGCTATTACTGAGATTTTTAAAATACCCAGTAATACTTTGCCCGACCCGGGAATCGATCATGGCAGTCGCACTTGCCACTCGGCCAACGAGCCAGTCGAGATATAAACTTTCTATTAATTGGCAAACGAAGCTCAAGTGTATAATGGGTACTAATGGCATGGGTAAATCGTTCAACTATAATTATTACCAATCCAAACCATATCATTACTTTTATCAGAATGTTACTAATAAAATTAGAAAGCTAATGTAACTGCCTGTAGCTTCTATGCACAACTCTGAATGGGGCAACACTCCAAACTAAACTGTACACGAGTGTTATCTATACTTAGGCTGGTAATTATAAATACAACACAGTACTATGCATTGTGATCATATTAAAAAAAAAACTGTTTAGTAATAATGCAATGATATTAAAGTATAATGGTAGTTCACTGTATATTATAAGGAAAAATTCGCGGCTAAGCGTGTCTTGTCATAATCATGTATGATAATTTTTGTCCGGCATTGTTTGTCGTAAACAGTTTATTATTATGAATCTTACTAAAAATAACATGTAATTTTAAACGGGATAAGAAGGGCGGGCAATCCCTTTTTTAAACTAGATACTAATTTAATCAGAAAAAGGTATCATTAAATGACATATTTTTATAAAGAAATCATCAATTTCTTAAGTGTGGGAGAACCATGCTTCGGCCACGGATGGGCCGGCTCAACCGGAGTACCACGGCCTCACAGAAAACCGAAGTGAAATCACACTTGCGTTGTGTTTCGTCATGTGAGTGTGGTTACCGGATCCCCAATTACTCCCCTCTCCAATCTCCCCAATTCCTGCATCACCAACAATCCTCAAATTCCTTATCCACAAAAGGCCGGTAACGCACTTGTAACACCTCTAATATTTCAGGTGTTCGAGACCGGGGCATTTTTATCATTTTTGACACTACCATTAAATAGTTATTTATTTTAAATTATATAAGTGTTATATATCACAATGCATGACACAATAAAGCAGTGTATAGTGCGTGAAGCGGACCGTGATGCGGCGGCGGGTTACCGTCGTCCGAGCTGGACCCGCGCGGCCGCCCGCGTGGCTGGTACTTCATCTGCACCTTGCGGTTGATGCCTGAGAAGTGACCGTACCTGGGGACAAACACATATTTTCAGTTGTTTGAATATTAAGCTCCAGGTGTGTTGCTGGTGGTCTTGAATAATAAAAGACTTCGGTATGATCAGAAGACTGAATTTGAAAAGGTATTGATTGTAAGGGTCAACCAATATGTGCGCACGGCGTCGTGTCGGGCGAGCGAGTAAATGAATGACCGCCGATCGCAGCGGTCGCGGGCCACGTATGGTGGTGACCCTTATGTGACGTCAGGAACATCAGTATAATATGCTATAGAGGCATATACCATTAGGAACTCGCGTAGAATGGAAAATAGATTCGGAGGAATTTAATTAACTTTGGCGCAACATGTAGGTTTCTTGACTTTCTAAATCTGGGAAATGTTGCCAAGTTGAGTGCTTGCGAGTGCAAATGCCAAGGAAGATTCAATATCATGTTGCGTAAAATATTATTCATATATAACTTCTAATATAACCTAGGGAAATTTTAGAATTCAATTCATGTTTCTTTGTAACCCGTCTAAGTAATTTTTTGGTTGATAATTCTCTGAAGTGAGATCACCTTGTGAAAAGGTTTAGAAAGCAAAAATGAACGATAACTTACATTTCCAGAACACTCTTGAGTTGTTCTAGTTTCCCTTGCTTCTCCTCAATTTCAGGATCGGCGTGTCTTGTCTGTATGTCTGACAGTAACGCGCGAGCGATGTCCAGGATCTCTTGCAGTTGTTTCGGCTTTTTTAACTTCACATGACCACGCTTAAAACCATCGTATTTCTCAAATATTTCGAAGAATCTGTGAACAATAGGGTTGTTGTTGTATTTCAAAAGTAATTTTGAGTTAGAGCATCGTTGGTGTTTTGCAAGCAGTCTGAATTAACAATAAGAACAGTCTTGCTTACCACTATTGGGTGTTATTGATATGTTTAAGTCTTTATTTATTTGATAGAATATACTCGTATAGCACAGAGACATGATGTGAAAAACTTAACACACGAAACCCATCTGTATTGCTAAGAGACGGAAATGGATGACTTTAAATTATTAGCATGTTTGTTTACTGATTTTTTTTTATCTACGCTCTGTACCTTTTTATTTTTCTTTATTTTATCTATGCTGCATCGTGCGTGTCTGGTGCTCAATAAATGATTTTTCTTCTTTATTTCTAAATTACTCCAATAGTGTAATAATAATAATCAGAATCTCCACAAGATAACATGCAAATCTGATGATCCTACCTCTGATGTCGAACTTCGACCTTCATCTTCTGTTTAGGAGTCCTATCCCCATGTCTGATGACAGCAACCACGCAGCGTAGTTCCATCATCTTCCCGAAGGTCGTGGGTACAATGGGCGGGTCGTCCAGCTGGAAGGGCACCGACCATGGAATGTGCAACGTCGGCGCTAGCTCCCGCAGGATCATATTCCCCAAGATCTTGGCACAATCATCGTAGTACTTATTCGAGTTCTTCACAAATGAAAATCCGTTTACATCACACACGAAGGACTTGCCGTTTGCTCTGAAAAGTTTATATGAATATTTTGTACACAATTTTTTATGACAATAATCAAAATATAATTGTGGAATTTGTAATAACGACTTTCAGCTACTGTGTAACTTTATACGTATCTAATATTTGCTACAAACATTAAAAAAAATACGCGTTTTAACCGTCTTAGTTTTTTGACTAATAAAACCTAAGTAATCATTGAGTACGGCACTGGAAATAGCCATAACCATTTCGGTACAAGGTTAATTAAAAAGTAAAGCAATGACGTAACTTATAACCTTCATGGTGGTGCTATCGATTATTTCGCCTACTTTAGAACACACCTTAGATAATTTAGGTTCTATGTTCATAACATTAAGGTCATATTTCAAAGTGTTTGCTAAGTAATCAATTGGTCGGCCAGATACCTAAAGCTACATCATAGTAATTTCTATAGAGCGGAATTCCATTAGTTAGGAAGCGGCTAAAATGTCTCAAATTCTATGAGAATGGTTACAGAGCGTTCTAAATGTACAGAAAACACTTACCTAAGTAAATCAAAGCCACAAACAGTTTGTTTGAAGGCAAGACAAACTTTCCTGGAGATCAGCTTCTCCTGGTTAGACAAGATGACAGGATACCTGATCTCCTTGCCTTCCGAATCCCTTTCGACCTTGCCGTCTAAAGCCGGCGACTTGCGCGCTTCTGCGTGTGCGTAGTCAGGACCCACTGTGTATACTTTTACGTCCGTACCTATCGAGGCAAACATAACAAAATGTAGGTAGTAAACAGATAACTGTCCGCGTCACTTTTCTATTGTTAATACCAAAATAAGCCGAAATACAGATACACGTAGCTGCTGTACTTCAAAGTTACTACAAACTTCTTTCACAGATTTTTAACTTTATCGTTTGGAGATAAAGTCGGAAATCTATTGCAGAAATTAGTCTGTTTGGGGTAACATATATCATGCTGGTCCTGTAAAGTTAACGGAACTTTGGACGGTCTTTACATCATAACTAAGTAAGCGGCATGAACGGCGTTAAAAATTCTTAACGTTTTTTATCATGCCAAGGCAAAACGATCTCCACACGTTCACAATAAAATACAATTTAGCAGCACAACTCACCATCAGTTGGCATAAAGTCTTCATAGATAAACGACCCTGTTTTCCTGACTCTCGATTCTGGTGAATATATACTACTTCGACTTCCAATCTGCAATGGAAGACAACGCTCATTTAAACTTATAACTATTTCAAGGTATAGGAACCAACTGGTACCTAGAAAAATTGACGAAAAATAAAACTAGCGTGACTGTATCGTCGAAAAATGGGCTACGAAATATCTGGGTCAACACTAAAATCTCCCAAGTGTACAATTTAAGGTATTGTTTGTACACGGCACACGCAATGGTTCGAGTAAAACAAACTTACCTACTTAATTTACAAAACTGTCTAAATTCAGCTATCACTTGGTCTGTTGAGTCAAAAATTATGGAAGTAAAGTATAGCGTGTCAAGTAAAACCTCACGATGCTTGTTCGAAAAGGTTTTTATTCAATGTTCTATATTAGTTCGCACAAATAAGAAATTTATGCGTAGACATTGCATATTACTTTGTACTGGGTAATACTGGCATGTAGTGATAGTTTAGTTCGATCCCGATCTCACAAGTTGTAGAGCCAGGAGTCCAGAGTCGCTAGCCCCGAGATTGATGATAATGACAATTTGTTTTATTAGATTTTTAACCTCAACCATTTTTAATAAAGTTGGAATTTGTAATAGCCTAAATCTACATTAATTCTACGAAGCAATTTTTAGATTTATTTTTTTATTATGTTGTATCTATTTAAAGAAATTAAACATGTCTATCAATTAGTTCTTCAGTTCATTCGTTTCTTACCTTCCGAAAGAGTCGTTGGCTGCCGCCACCGGCGGACGTGGGGTAATAAATGTAAATATTATGATCTTCAGCCGAAACCGGCTTCTCCACGAACGGCTTGTTGAACACTACGCCGTTAACTTCAACGTGGTCTTCTGACTCCACCAGCTCGTGATCTGTAATTAAACTTTCTATAATCCCATTATGGTAAAAACAAAGATCCTAAAGCATATCTATTTGTGATAAACTCGAAATCTTCTGAAACAAATTTATCACCAGACAGAACAGAACGGATTTCTTTGCACTGTCCACGTACTGGGTACTGTACGAGTATTCTTCTTGAACTTTTAAGAGTAGTAAGTTTAAAAAATATAAACAACAGTTTCTCAGTAATCTTCTTCTAGTCCCCTAACATCACGGTCCTGCGGACGGCGAGCATGGGTAGCTCGCCGCCCGATCAGAACCAGATCCAAGCGTGCGGTGCGTCGCGTTCCGTGCGCGCCTCAAAGAGCCATCAGACCACCACGGATGGGGCCCAATAGGGCTGATGCCGATACGGTGTCGCAGAGGAGTTATCGGGTTGCCGGGGCTCCAGCTCAGAGCACAGGGCAGGAGTTGGAACTGGGTGGGTTTTAGTTAAAAAAAGTCATTAGATGATTTCCCCCCATAAAAAAAGTCTTCTAAAATACATGCCCCTTAGTACGTTTTTTGATAGACTGTTAAAAATAAAGTATCTTATTCATTTATATTTCACGATATAACATCGTGATTTAGGCATAATACAAACTGAAAGAGTTTTTAAACTATTCAGTATTAATTCTTGTACTCAGGAATGGCGGCATACACCTAAATGGTTTCTGTGAAAACATAACATGGAACATTCTAGTCAACAAAACAATTCACGGAATACTCTAGCGACACTTGATACACATAATAAGGACTTACGTTTAGGATCCGGGGAATCTCTGTCTAATACAGCGTACCTGGGTATCTCTATACCCTCACCCTCCAATATTGCGTATACTTTTCTACGATCCTGTAAACAATACGAACAAGTATCAAGTAACCGCACCTGACGTCAAATGGATCTACTTGCAGTACTGCACCCACCTGAATGTCATACTGCATATGAAGATTGTTTATAACATAGGGCTTCCGTAATTTCTCATATTGAATGGCCTTGTCCAACGGGAAGCCCTTTGAATGAAAGGATATAAGACAATCGCAGATGGGCCACTCCTCTACTGGTTTCTGCAAACATATAACATGTTATATTAATTTAATTATAAAATCAATAAAACTTGCGAATTAATGCAACAACGACGAGTTCAAGCACTTCGGGCACGTCTTACGCTTTTACCAACCGAAGGCACGAATGCACGAACAGTGAAAGACTATGAATACAACCATTACTGACTAATTCGCTACTTGACACCAACCACACAAACAAAGCTAGTGTATGTGAAGCCATTCAATGGAAACAAAACATTACAACATGTAAATGTTAGTACAGAGTGCATGTATGTATGTATGTATGTATGAGTGTTACAAACGATTAATTAACTGAATGAAGAAGAATCTAACAGTTGTTAGTTATGAAGATTAATTGCGTGACAAATAGTAAAACAAAATATATCTAGTGTGTATCACTCTCAATCTCAACGTGGGAACATCTTCATGACAGTACTTCTATTATGTATACTTAAGAAATTGTTTTGTCAAAGTTTCAACATACACATATCATTGTCACTAATTATGGCTTAAGCATCAGCAGTCGACTTTAAGCATTATTCGGAATTTGCTGACAACACAATAATTGAACTCTTTATACTCAGCCAATTTCGTCGTCTACAGAATATTTTGTTCCACTAGATGTGTTAGACAATGTGGAGAACCTTAAGGATAACCTCCTCTGGGAAGACCAGCATTTTGATGTACTCGAACTCGTCGAGCCGCGTGAGGATCTCCTTCATCGGCTTCGACTGCGACTTCTTGGCCATGGCGCAGACGCCGACCACCACTTTCTTACCCCCGCCATCGCTATGCGGGTCCAGCGACTCGCACAGATCCAACTCGCCCTATTATTTAATGCACACAAAACACTTTAAAATTATTTTATTATAATATATGTAACTCAAACACCTTTTATATGGGTTTGATGATGTGTTAAAATTAAACTCTTTGCACTAGACTTCTAGCAAGTAAAGTAGTTTACAGAAGATAATGTTTTCAAAGAAGCCTAGAGTAATGCAAACTTGTAAACACTAGACTGACTATCATGTAGCACAACAGGAGAACAATAGAAAGGCCTGACACAATAGGGGTAGTTCCATTATTTATTAATAATGAATGTGTTATATGATATCTAAGTAAAATCAAAATACAAATTATTTGATGTCATAGAAAGTATTTGCTTCTAGTAATGTAACAACTAAACTTTATCAGTATAATTAAAAAACAATTAAAGAAGTACAAGATTATTGTTTTGATACAAATGAACTTGTTATGATAATAAATTGTATGATAAAATATGAGTACTATATCTATTCTCTAGTCGTTATAAATGTTATATTGAATTTATTTAATGTTGAAATATAAAGTAAAATGTAAAGGTAAGTAGGAAAAAAGTTAAAATAATTATTTTGTTGACATGCAGAAATATATCAATAAAATTCTATAAAAAATACAGGTGTACCTATATTTTTACTGCTCATTTTCAGGAAGCTAAAAGTGTTTTATTACTTTTAAAAAGTTTTGTATACCACTTTTTGAAGATCATCACACATTCAATTATTTTTAAGTATTTGCAACACACATCAAGCAACATCTTATTATTGTTATTGCTTTACTCAAATTGCAAAAATAACAAATTAATAATATTGAAGGAGACATTAATAAAAACAAAGTATCACTTAAAGTATCCACAATAAAGTATGGTAGAAAAGATTTATGCAATTAAATTTAGTTAGAAAGGAACATTAGCATGCTAATAGAAGCCTTTCATGTCAGTTCTATGTGTTTAATGTCTTTGTCCGTTCACACAGTGGAATAAATATAAATTAGCATAAGTATGCTAATAGCTGTATAGAAGCCACTCATGTTATACAAACACAATATAAAATTTAAATTTTAAATCACACAAAACAAAAATTCTTAAATTTTGTAATAAATTTATTTTTAATGAAACGATATAATAATGAGTGACATAACAAAAGCCACCATCGTCTTACATCAGGCAGACAGTCATCACAATAGCATATGTCATCATCACTCTGGCCCTTCTTGTCCTTCCTCCATCTTTTGAGACGCCACCAATCTTTAAGCCACTGCCACTCCATCACCACACACTATCTATACACTTGTTCCCTATCATAGCATATGATAAGCACACAGCCAACCTTGCCAACGATTGGTTGACACTACTTTACACTTGATAACTAAGATAAACTTGACATAAATTAACATACTACATTACCTCACTTGTCATTGTCAGCATGTAAACCTATAAATATTATAATCTATTATGTCCATACAATATAGGATAATTAAGTGTAGCCACTAGCCGTCCAGCACTCAACATGCAAGCAGTTATGTGCTCACAAGTGTTATCAGTGCTGTATTAGTGTACAATGGACAATGATAATATTAGCTGACTAATATTTAGTCTGGATTCGTTTCACTTAAGTGACCTCACTACTATTTGTGTTTGGATTGTTATTTTATATCTGGTTTAGTTTACATAACACTATCTCTATTTCATACTACAGTGCAAAAGGTCATTGCTCTGCAAGTATCTACGTCGTTCGAGTTCGATTGACAACAACAACAGCTACTTCAAAATGTGAACTTACTGATGATCTTATCGGTACAAGATTTCCGTCATCTCCGACATAAAATTGGGGCTGAGTAGCTTGCCGCAACCCTTGATAGCCATGTTCGAGCTCAGTGTATGACATTACCTACATACACCTGCCTATTTCAGAATTTTAATTTATCAATATCATTAAGCAGATCCTAAACACCGATAGAAAATTATGAAAAACTAAATTATAAAATAGAAAACAAAAATATAAAAATATTTTCAAAAATATGTCCAGCACAGATCATACATGTAATTAAAAAAAAATGTGACACATCTCATAAGATCAGAATATCCTGGACCCTGAACTTTTGAGATATTATTTTATGAAAAGTATTTTGTTTCTCAACAGAATAAAAATGAACAAAACTATACGTTAATTGGATAGTATTGATCGGGACCGTCGTATTTATCATTCATTTTTCTAATAGATTATAGATAATTGCATTTCTTTCGCAATTTTTGAACGTACTATCAGCCGACTGACAGCAACATTCATACTGAAATCGTAAACAGGAAACAGCTGATATTATGTCATTTTGAATTCAAGAAATTAAAGTTCCAAAGTTTCGTCAGCTTACAAAATAAATATATATTAAAATAATATGTAACAATAGTGATTAATTTTTGTTCTGGTTTATAAGAAACGTTGGAATAATGACAGACATTTCAAAAACTTTAGATACTGCGCTGGCCTCGGATTCTTTTTGGGAATCAATTAACATTTTATTATCAAAACCTCATGTAATTAATAGGAGGTTATGGGGCAGCAAAATATGGTTCAAAAATCCTTGTAAACCTAAAAGTACTCCATTTATCATGCCAGCAATTTTACATCAACTAAATGGTCTTGTTACTACTGACAATGTTGAACAATATAAAATTCAAATACTCAATGAACTGAATGTTGAAAATGTATTGAGTAATACCACTGATGATGAAGTTCAAGTTGAAGTACTTCTAATGGAATTGCTTCCTAAAAATTATTCTGATAAACAAGCATACCAAGTTGGCTGCTTATGGAAGGATAAACCTTCAATAACTTTCTATGATGTTACACCTTCCAACCAGGAACAAAAGTTATGCCCAGATTTTTCATACACTATACACCTAAATAACAGCCACATTCTACTTACAGCTAAAACGGGTTTGTAATCTTTTTATAAACAACTGATAACAATTACACTGATAAAGTAGTTATATTAATCTTATTTTTTATTATAGATGAAAATTCCAAGTCGTTTAAATGGCTTAGCAATACTTTGCTTCCTCAGCTTATCAAATGGGGAACCGAGTCAAAAAGCCACAGCACCAAGACTAACATGTGCAATGAATCCTTATCACTGGTGTCCCAAACTAAATATTATGAGAAGTATAACGATTTGAAGGTGAAATATGGTAAAGAAATGGTTAAGGTAATATTTGAACTTAAAATAAGTGGTTGAATTTTAATAAAATACTGCTTTGGTTTAATTTAAATTTTATAATTACAGATTTGGCCAGAATGTACAGATGCTTCAAAGTTTGTATATGAAGATGTTGCAATAGCAGCTTACCTTTTACTGCTCTGGGAGAGAGATGAACCTAACAAAAGCATATCATTTGTAGACTTAGGATGTGGGAACGGGTTATTGGTATACATACTCACCCAAGAAGGTCATACTGGTATAGGCATAGATGTCCGAAAAAGAAATATTTGGGATATGTATCCTCCTGGAGTTGTATTACAGGTATCTTATATTTATTATTACAAAAAAAAACTCACAATATTTGTTGAATTGTTTATTTTATTGAATATGACATGAGACATAATTTAATACGACGGTTACAGGAAAAAACTATTACACCTACAGATACATCATTATTTCCTGACATAGACTGGATTATTGGAAACCACTCTGATGAGCTTACACCATGGATACCAGTTATAGCAGCTAGGAGTTCATATAAATGCAATTTTTTTCTACTTCCATGTTGTGCATACAATTTTGATGGAAGCAAATATCAGCGCAAAAATTCATATAAAAGTCAATACAATGATTATTTAGACTACATAAGACAGTTATGTGTTACATGTGGCTTTAATATAGACACCGATAGACTAAAGATTCCTAGTACTAAAAGAATATGTTTTGTTAGTAATAATAGGATATATCTAGAAGAAGAACATACACAGTACAGCAATACAATAGATGATTTAATAAATAAGGATTCTACGAATACATTACAAAATATAGAAAAAGAATTTAAAGCCCGAGAACCAGTGGAGAGAGTAAAGAATTGTACACAAATAGACAAGTCTATTGTAAATTCCATAGTTGACTGTATAAGTAAATACCTGCTCGAGGGTTGCTTAGAGTCAGAAACCACCTGGTCGAAAGGAAAGACTGCAGAATTTAGTGAATTGATACATCTTATACCTAAAGAACAGCTAAGTATATTGAAATCTGAATGTGGAGGTATACAAACACTACTTAAGAATAACCATAATATATTTGAAGTGCAATCTGGTAGGGTTGGGTTAAGATATCCAAAAACTATAAACGAAGTTAACCTTGGTACCAGAAAAAGAAAATTTAATAAACAAACAACTATAAAAGTGCAGCAGAAACCATGCTGGTTTTATAATAATCATCCACAAGGTTGCCCATTAAGTGATTCAACTTGTAGTTTTCTGCATGTAAAAAAGAATAAATAAAAAAATAAATACAAAAATAAAAAATGTTTATTCATTTTCAGTCCCATTCCATTAAAATAATTTATCACCCAATTTGTAATATTACAAAATAATGTGGAAAGTATTGAAAATTTAATAATCAGTTGCTATCTTTACAAGTCAATTGGATACATTTTATATGTATAGAAAATAATAGATACACATTTCCCAACTCCAAATAATGTGGTTACATTTTATTCAATCTGAAATGCTTTATTCAGTTCAGTCAAGTTCCTCTCATCAATTAAAGTTGCAATATCATGTTCTCCCATAAAGGCACACACCATCCGCAAAGTTGTCCAAATTGTTGAAGAACTAGTGTCAGTAACAACTGATTCTGGAAACATGCTCTTAGCTTTATGTTGTTGGTTGAGTGCCACTAAGAAATGCTCTGCAGCCTCTTTGTGAGCCCTAAATTCATACATGTGATTCCAACATTGTACCTAGCTCGTATAAATCCAGGTTCCAAACCCAAAGCCTGGCGATATGCATCTACAGCTTGCTCTGACTTGTCACTGTTTGCCAAAGTGGCTCCTAATCTGTTCCATAGCTTTGCATTATCGCTTGCTACCATCAAAGCTGTCTGGAAACAATCAACAGCTTTGTCATATTCTTGGCTGATATTGAACACTACACCCATAGCATTCTGGACATCTGGGTCAATTTCATTAGCATTTGAATGCACTGCTTTAAGATATAATGACTTTACATGACGCTCCAACTCCTTGACCTCCAATTTCATTGGATCTATATCTTCAGGCACAAGATTAGAATATTTTGGACTGGCCTTTAACCAGTTAATTAAAGAGATGTAAGCATGCTTAGGCATGTTTTCATTGGTATATGCTGCTGCCAATGTAATATATCCTTCCAGTTGTGTAGGATCAATGTGTAAAGATTTTTTCAAAGCTGTTATAGCCCAAGGATCTTGTTCATTTTCAGCTTGTGTTGTACCTAGAAGGAACCAGGCCTCTGCTGATTCTGGTTGCTGTTGTACAGCAGCTTCGAAACACAAGACAGCTCCAGGAATATCACCCATTTTCAATTTTTCCTTTCCAATGTCCAAAGCACTTTTGTTTTCCAGCATAACATTACCTTCAGTGAAGGCATATTCTTTAGCAATCCCATTTGCAGTTTCAGAGTCCCAGTAATTATTAACATCACTAAGTTTATCCCACTCTTCTTTGTATTTTTCACTCATTTCATCTAATATATCCTCTCTGCTCATTTTTCTTTGTGCCTGATCTGGGCCAGGATCTTCGCCTAAGCGGATTTCTCCAGCACTTATTTTTTTCATAAAGGACATGAATTCATTATATTCCAAGTCACTGTCATTCTTCATAGTATTAACATACTCTTGAGCTTTAGCTTGAACATCAGCACTTGCCATGTTTGCAACTGCAGCTTCATTGATAAATTGTATTTGTGGATTGGGCATTGCAATTGCTTGTGGGAGTATCATAGGTTGCTGCAACATGGGATAGTTGGGCATGACACTGTGTGTCATATAAGAAGGAGACGGGCCTGCTGTCCATGATCTGTTCATGTGAGTATTAACGTTTGGAACGTATGATGATGTCGAGGGACCAGGTGTGGTCTTGGTAGCTTTCTCTTGAGGCAAATTATTGAGAAGAGTATTCATATTAAAGGTTTGTGGTGTCTGAGAATTCTGTGCCATGAATTCGTTAACAAACCTGTCAGCTTGTGAGAGTGGTTGTTGTAGAGCAGCATCACGACGCACAATATTCGATAGTTGCACCAAAGAATTGTTCCCCCCACAGTCTCCGCCTACTAGTTTATTTAGCGACATCTTCTTTAAAAAGTGGTATCACTTCCCGCTGATACTGGCTGCCTTATCCGAATCAAAATTCTAATTCGACAACTTAAAAATGTACAAAGTTCACATAAACAAGTCGTAAAATATCGTTTGACTGGATAGAATCAAGATTGACGTTTAAATAACCAGTTTAGAAACCACACACACAGCAAAAATGATAAATCATCTTCTATGACCATCACATTTATTCGAAGCCATTTGTAAAATAGGTACGCGTTAGGTACTCTCTTCTACTTGCATTGGATCAATAAACATTTTGATAGGTACCTTTATAGGCTACCTATAAATATAGGTTTTAGTACTTGTAGTGGTGCCTGATTATGTTTCTTACTTTTTCTAAATAACTTTTGTAACGAATAAATAAATTACAAGTTTAGTAATTAAAGTAATACGTAATAAACGTTCTTTAATGCGTATAAATACTACACAGCCAGTATAGTAGCCTTTGTACTATATAATCTAACTTGGCATCATAGATTTACAATAGCTATGCAGACCGAACATTAACTCCCAGACGTACAATAAATGATAGTCATCATTCTTTATCCTTGTTCTGTCAAGCATCAACCTAATAATAGCGTCTCGTTCTTTTACCTGTACCCACACTGTTCCACACACAAATATTGATAATAACCAGTTTTTCCATCCCGCCATACTGATATGTTTTTACCTACAACTGTGTCAATCCCGTTATACAAGAAAATAACATAACATAACATCATGCCTTTAACCCCGAAGGGGTAGGCAGAGGTGCACATTACGGCATTTAATGCCATTGTACAATGTAACTCCCACTTTTCACTATTTATGTCATGTGTCCCATGTAATAGGGGCTGAGCCTATTACCATACACCGGGCACAAATCCAGACTCCTTGCTAACACTGAGAATTTTTAAAAACCCAGTATTACTTTGGCCGACTCGGGAATCGAACCCGAGACCTATTGCGGCAGTCGTACTTGCGACCACTCGGCCAACGAGGCATAAAAGAAAATATTAATTGTTTATACCATTAAACGTTTAAATAATCTAAAATAAAATGGAAGTGCAGTGCGTACCGATTTGACAGCAATAGTTTTAAGAAAATACCCGGAATAACCTTTCATCGGAAGGTTTTTATTTAACTTGTTGTAGAATAAAACAAATTGACGATTATTTTGACTATATCAACTGCTTTGATAATGTTTAATCGTTTATAATGAAGCCTTATCAACTATCACACCATTTGCCCATAAGTTTACTTAGAATACAATTTACAAAAATAATAAATAAAATCAACTAAATTCATTCATGACATGACAGTTCAAGTACTTGCAGAATCAATAGAGGACGGATTTAGTGTTCTGAAAGGTTAGACTAATAAATAATTATTATATTGTTTTATTAATAAAAAATATTACTAAAGATTGGATCAATGGGTTTTATTTGAAAAAGCAATCTTTTATACATTTTCTATGTATAAACGATTACTATATACGTTCCTACATATTAAATAATATATAAAACTATATTTTTTACAGTTCCTAAATAATTAGTCCCGGAATTATATTTACATTTCGGTAATACATACATAAAAATTATAGTAAAAATGAATATTTATTCAGTATTTAGAAATATTAGCAATTTATGCCGAAAACACGCTTGTCGATATAGATAGCAATATGGTGGCACGCGAAAAACTGGCTACATGTCAATATTTGTATGTGTAGAGCAGTGTGGCTACAGGTAAAAGAACGAGACGCCATTATTACGTTGGTGCTTGATAAAACAAGGACAAATAATGATGGATATCAAATACGTATAATCTAGGAATTTATGTTTGGTCTGCTTATTATGAGTTTATGTTTTTAGTAATCTACAGTCTGCACTATGTGCTTTATAATTAATTATTAAGTGTTGAGTATTTTTAATAATTAACAGTATGAGATTAGTTCCGTAAAACGACTATACAAATATTTTTTTAACCAATTACCACATTCACAAAGTTACCTCATTTTTTTCAAAATTCACTACAATACAATAAATTGTCACTGTCAAGTGTAAAATCAATCAAAGTCAAAATTTATTTGGTAAGTAGTGTCAGTACGTCAGTACTGCCAAGTGCCAGTGTCAAATCAGACTAAATCAAATCCTCAAAGTCAAAACAATCATGTTCCAAAGTATGAAAATGTTGTGATATCTTTCCCTTTTCTATTTATATGAGAGCAAATGAATTAGCTTTTTAGAAAACGCTCATTATAATTATGTCTTGGATACCTTTGTATCTTTCTATCAACAAGATCAAAGTTTAAATTCATAAGTTTAGAGGTTATGTAAGCTTGATTCGAAGGTTGTACTAATAGTTTGATTGTTGGTTATTATTTATATATCGAAACATGCCAGAAACCACTCTTGACATCAAGGAAGAGACTGAGGAAACAGCAACTGTTAACTCTGAAGAAGATAAAGAACCAGAAGACAAATGGGTGGTCTGTATCAAAATCGGAAGAAAAACTTTTAATTTTGTGCTGCTCGAATATCATTCTTAATTTCATATATTATTTTAAAATATTTCATTGGTTGAACTAAGTTTGGTTCCGATTTCCAAACCAGACCAAGTATTCGTATATCGACACTATTAGGTATACAAAATGTATACTGATAGTATTTTATAATTATCAGTATAAATTTTGCTGCCCGGTGAAAAGAGGGTGGCTCAGTTTATCACATAAGTTGGTTTTCCCATCTAGATTAGGCCTATGTCAGTATACTACATGATGCTAATACTATACACACATTTATGTTCTACCATTAGCATTCAATGAATTTGTAATAAGAATAGTTAGTTACTCAGAAAATTTTTGATTTCAAATTACTTAATTGATAAAAAATAGTTTAGGTAAAAATAAAAACATAAATATATATATAAAAAATTGCTGACCAGGCAAACTCCTAAAAAAATTATAAACCTTCCCTGGACTTGCACAAACATTTCAAGACCAAAATTAGCTTACCAATTAAGCTGTTTTCAAGTATTAGCGAGACTAACAAATGGAAATTTATTTAGATAGATTGATAAACTTATTTCTGTAATGTTATAAATACTGGTAAAATTTCTTCCAGATAAGGGAATGTGAACTGTACAAGGATGAATATAAGGATTGCACCAGCTTTAGAGGTCGATTTCAACAATATTTTGTTTATGGTGAGACCCTAGACTGTAACCAGTGGAAAAAGGATTATGATAACTGCTGTAAATGGCAAGATTATAAGGATATAAAGGCTGCCGTAAGTTCACTGTAATAGAGTAAACTGTATTCTTAATTCTTAAATCAATGCATATCAATCTACTTCATGTTATATTGCAACTACAATGACTAGATGTCCACAAACCCGTGCGTATGGAACATTGCGTTCCGCGCGCGCCTCAAAGAGCCATCAGACCACCACGATGGGGCCAGATAGGGCTGATGCCGATTCAGAGTCGCGGAGAACCTAATGGGTTACCGGGGCTCCGGCTCGAAGAGCAGGAGAACAAACGGGGTGGTTTTTAGTCAGTAAGAGTCTGACACTCCCTTCCGCCTCACCCAGGCGGGAGAAGGCATTCGATGATTTTCCCCCCTTAAAAAAGAACAGATGTCCAAAAAAATTTAACAAAAGTACACATGAAGAAGACTCCAAACTCAAAGGATCATTATTAAAGCTACAAAACTTCCACTATCTGAACATAAATAGGCCTTCCTCAATGACAATATCTATACATAATATAATTTAACTGTAGAAATTTAAATTCTGTACAATAAAAATATTAAAAAAAAAATAGTAGAGGGTGTTACTATTTTTGTCTGTTTGTCTGTCTGTTTGTTCATGCATCACGCAAAAACTATCGCTTCAATTATGATGAAACTGGGTAATTTTTATCCCAAAAAAGTATATACACGAAAAAACAAACTTAATTGTGCGGCTCAATCCCTAGACACATTTACTGTACCAAACGCAAATATAATTCGAATGTTACGTTTCCCGCAGTGGACTTTACGCTGTAATTGTAGGACCGATGGTTGAAATTAGCTTGAACTGATATTATAAATGTAGAAATATGCGAGTTTGTCTGTATGTTTCTGCTGTATGTTTATGCTGCTTTTACCCCTGAGAATGTGAGCAAAGCTGCTGGCAGAAGCTAGTATCATAATATATTATGAAGACATCTTGTATCTTATATACTTATTATGTAAAGCTGAAGAGTTTGTTTGTTTGTTTAAACTCTCTGGAACTACTGGTCCGATTTGAATAATTCTTCTTTTGTGTGATGTTGATTTATCGAGGAAGGATATAGAACATCAGCTATGAGTAATAGGAATCGAGCAGAGCGGATGAAACCGCGAAAATAGCTAGTCAAATAAATATAGTTACAACATATAATATTTACTCATTCTTTTTTTCAGAATGCTCTGATAGCTAGTGAAAAAGAAAGACGTATGGAGAGACTTAAAGCACATTATAGGAATGATGTATGGAAAAAGCGGGATTCACCTCCAGACGACTGGGCCAAGCCTTTACCAGAGTGGATGCAGAAAAGAGATGAGAACACATACTTAGCAATAAAAGCTAAAGAAATGAGAGAAGGAAAAGAAGATACACCTGAAAAAAAGTTTTGTTCCATAATGTGACCTAGAATGTATGGTTAGAACTATTAGCCAATATTGTAGATAATTTATTATTATAGATTTATTAATAAAACATGTTGTTTAATGTTGCTTGTTTGATTATTTTTCTTAAGACCTTAGTAATCTTGGTATGAGAGTAATTCCATTGAAAGTGAATGTTTTCTTATCTTACTGTTGTTCTTGCAGTATGTAAACTGGCAGATAGTTTCGTAATGATGTTTGTTTTTCGTATTTCACACGTCTGATAACATATGCATGTAACTCAAGTAATTCATGTTTTGAGAGACCAGTTTACTTTGCCTCTACTGTGCTGTTCACTGTTACAAAGCTGTATAGCGCAACAAAATACTTTATCTATTTTCACAAAACTACAAAGTTAACAAATACTGAAAATAAGGTGGGTCCCAATCTCATTACTTACAGCAAACATTTTTTTTGTCATATTTACAGATACGGAACCCTTACGCGACTCGTACTTACCGGTTTATTGCAATGCTCTGTAAACAATAAGTCCCGTATATTTTCCTAGAAACTAAAATGCCCATTATTCATTTAAAAACTTCCACCAGAATTCATAATGTTGTTGATTTAGGTAAGTAGAGTCAATAACATAATACAAGGACAAATTAACTACACCATGATAATAATACTGTTTCTCACAAACCGATTGGAAAGAGCTATCAATTACTGCTGACCTAGCAACTGACTTTTTATCAGTCAGATAAGACGCAGTTGTGCCTTTAATTGTTCACAAACATGATAAAATTTGTTTACTGCATATCTCGCCATTTAAATGTTACATACGTATTATAAGACAGACTGTAGTGAGCGACGCACAAATGAGTCGTGTGCTGTGTCGAAGTGTGTTGTCCCTGCGGTTAATACGAGTTCCCATGGCTCGCAACGCGTCCTCTTACCTTATTGACGATCCCAAATACTCCTTCTTGAAGGAACTGGGACTGCAAGAGAAAAATGTGGGCGTGTTCAACGGTAAATGGGAGGCCAACGGCCAGGTAAGTTACCTAGATACTTTACTATTACAATAGCTACCCATACCCAGCTAGGTACGTAATTACATATTTATTAGATAAAGCAAATTGAACGAAAGTAAAATCACAGTGAGTTGTTTGTCGAGCACTATTAGATAATAAAGTTAGCTTATGTGATATATTAGGTATACCTAATTATGTATACCTACGCACCTCGTCTCTACTGTGGGTACCTATACATAATTCGAGCAGTTACGTTTAACACAAAGTACCAAAGTAGATAGGAACTTACCTATGTAGGTATATTGTACCTAGGCACCTGTGTAAATAACTACAATACCTAATGGTACCTAGGTATCCAAAGATATTATAAACCAGTAGGTACCTACTATAGGGGCACAGGGGTCGACAACCTGCCACATGTAGACCTAGCTCCTTCGTTAGTTAAATACATAGTTTGTGCCTCTCAAGTTCTATTTATCACCAAAAAAGTAATTTTGATTTCCTGTCGATTCTTTTTAAATCATGTTAGGTCAGATACATAGTTAGGTACTTAAGTCCTAGGTTAGGTATTTATGCAATTATCACCAAAACAAGACATCCTCTGTTGAACATAATACCACCCTCCCCTAGGGACTTCAAGATCGGCCGGTTGGAAGTTGAAAGCAACTTGTATCAAGTGGCTGCAATAGCAATAATGCTGCAATTATTATCGAAGTCATTCATTTTAAATACGTCGACAACGGCCTAATAAGTATAATTTGCTGCTATCGAAAAATCGACTTAATCGTCAACTGGCGAGCGCGAATCTCGCGAGCGCGCGCGAGTTGGCACTTTTCGATTTTGCCTACTTTTTTTGTCGTCAACTCGCGCGTCTATATAATTTGATGTTTTAATGTATAGTCAGCTACAAAAGCGTTATAATAAATTTAATTTAGTTAGGTACTTACCTACTATAAATGTATAAGAAACTTTATGAAATTTGATTTTTAAAATAAAACAAAATATACATCGTTTTGAAATCAGTTTATTATAAATCAACAGGACAAAATATAAATTATTAGTAGTATTTCCCTTACTAATTATCAACAATATCACATTGATTTGAGAATTTGGCTTATTATCTCATTATCTAGTATGTAAATTGTAAAAAAATAAGTAAATAATAAAGAAACAACGAAAACACTCCCCTCACATACTCGTATACAAAATTATATGTGAGGAGATTTTCGATAAATCTCATAATATAAATAATTTAAACCGTACTGAATATTGGTAAATATAAAATAGTAAAGCTAAACATAGTAATTGACAACAAACTGACTTATTATTGGTCACTAATAAAATCAATCTTAGGAACCATAGAAAGAGTCTTAGAAACTATAAAATCACAGATCAGATATGGTTGTAAATGATTTTTACAAAAAACGCTAAACACTATCAATAAGTAGATTCATCAATTGGCTAAGTTATTACTGACGACCTACTAATAAAACTAATCACAGACTATAAAATCACAGATCATGGTTTGTTATAAATGATTTTTATAGCAAACGTTAAAATAAACAGACTATGCTAAATTAAATCAAAAATCACAAGATCAAAAGTTCGATACATAAGTCAATATTTATAACCCCATGGATAAATTCGTTAACAGTGTTGGTAATGTGCTCGTCAATAGCACAAGTTTCTTTACATTTTGCAGTTATATTAGACTTCTTTAAGTATAAAGTCTGATAATAATTATCTTCTTCTTTTAAGATGGTCAAAAAATGAGCAATACTTTTGGGTTTGCTATTATTTTTTTTATTTACTTAGTTTTTTACAATTTACATACATACTAGATAATAAGATTAAGCCAAATTCTCAAATCAATGTGATATTGTTGATAATTAGTAAGGGAAATACTACTAATAATTTATATTTTGTCCTGTTGATTTATAATAAACTGATTTCAAAACGATGTATATTTTGTTTTATTTTAAAAATCAAATTTCATAAAGTTTCTTATACATTTATAGTAGGTAAGTACCTAACTAAATTAAATTTGTTATAACGCTTTTGTAGCTGACTATACATTAAAACATCAAATTATATAGACGCGCGAGTTGACGACAAAAAAAGTAGGCAAAATCGAAAAGTGCCAACTCGCGCGCGCTCGCGAGATTCGCGCTCGCCAGTTGACGATTAAGTCGAAAAATCCCAAATGAAACAACAATAATCAGTTGCAATAAACAATTTGTAATAGGTATAAGAGTGCAGTATAAAAGACGTATTAATGTTTTACATTTATATAAAAAGGTATAAGAAAAAAATTAAAACAATACTATAAAATAAAACTTAGGTAAAAATAAATTACCTATAAAACTATAAATTTGTAGATAAGTTAAAATAAACTATATAAAACAGGGTAAGTACATAAATTATCTATCAAAAATATAGGCAAATTCTGAACATCAGATTACTTATTGGCTTTCCCTTTTCCCTTCTTCGTTGGCGGCGGTGGTGGTGGAGCTTCTTCAATTACAGGTTCAGGCTCTGGTGGAGGTGTGGGGGGCAGTTTTTTATCTGGCCATAACCGGAGAATATACTCAACTATTAAATTAAGATTAATAGTCCGGTACTTTGCTGTTCTTGGACCCGGAAATATTTCCGCTAAACCCATAACGAGACTCTCATCTAGCCCTACATGGTCAGCATCTGTACGTTCTTGAAACTCTTTTGTTGTAATCGGTTTTGAGTACTCTTTGGCTAAACTTAAGAGGTACATAGCTGTGTCCACTTGAGTCTTCTTAGACATGCCAAGGTACTGAACTCTTTTAAGAATTAAATCTCTTCCATCGGGCTCCACTATAGTCCAGTTTTGTAAGATAGTGCCAAACGTGCATACGAAATTTTTGCGATTTTTCCTTTTTTTCACTCTTGTCAATAGTGCTACGAAAGGCTTTGATACACATACGTTTTCTAGCAACAATTGATTTATTTTAATTCGAGGCTTTAACATTAGTTGTAGGACGTTGAATGCATCTTGCGGTGTCATGGGATTAAACGAAAGATTAAACGTAATCAACTTCCTAGCTGATAATAAATTGGAAATAATTGTGTCTATAGCTTCTTTTTGGAAATTATTATTGCTCAAATCTAATAATGTCAATGTGGGAATCAAGAGAATATTTTTGATCGCATTAGCCACACGATCTCCTCCAAGTGAATTAAAAGACAACGACAATTCCTCTAAACATGTACTTAATGCCAATTGTTCGAGCATTTTAATTGTAGACGGAATATGATAGAAACAGTTCCACGAGAGATTGAGATGTGTTAATCTGTTCGACCACTCGAAAACCTCAGCTAAAGCTGTAGCTGTCAGTCTGCCCAATTGATTTTTTGATAAATTAACTCGATTGACGGTAGTATTCAATAACTGATCAGCGAAATGTGTTCCGCCAATATCTCCAAGGTAATTATTTTCAAGACTCAAGAACATCAAAGTTCGATTTATGTGTAAGTTACGACCTAACCGAAGTATACCCGAGGCACCTATTCGGCAACCATCTAAAACGATTTCATTTAATGTACAGTTATATGATAACATATGACCAAGATGATAGCAGGCATCATCGTTCAAAAAATTCCCTGTGAGATTGAAGCGATGTACGTGTTTGTTAAACTGTAAAGCCAAAGCCATTGGTCGAACACCTTTCTCCTCGACACCATAGTAACGTAAATCGATTTCAGACTTAAGTAGGCTATTGTAAAACAACCTCACTGGACATATATTAATTTCGTTGCACAGATGTAAATATAAAGCCTGGCCATCATCAGAATAAATTGTTTCTTGCTCCGCCTTAAGTAAAGCCTCATTTATGCCAGGATCAGCAACGGGTGGGTAGTTGTAATACAAATGTCTTAAAATTGAGCTGTTTGATACAGTTATATATTTTGCACATAGTTCTCCACTTCCTGGACTGTATAGACCTTCCTTATACAGCACTTTCTTTTTATTCTCTTCTAGAATTGCAATTTCTACCGACGACCATTCTTCTGGCGGCTGTTCTACTGAAGACTCTTGTTCTTCTTGTGTTACAAAAACAAGATCAAGGTCCTCGTTTGTTTCACTTTCTTCCTCCATGGTACTTAATAAAATAAAAAAGGAAAAGTTATTAAAAAAATAATGTAGATAAATGTGATTTTAGACAATGGGGAACATATTGTCATACTGACAAGAATTTCTTCTAAATGTATGAAGAAGAGTTGTAAAGATGTGGCGGACTCCTTGTAGATAATCTAAACTCGTCAAAACAAAATAGGGCCCACCAACGAACGTACATTGTCTTGAAATAACTCAAGAGGTATTGATTACTAAAATAAAGCATTTGATTATGTAGTCAACAACAATTACTTAATAATGTTTCAGACAAAAGTTTGAACGTTTTATGTAAGGAGCTATATAAGCAAAAATAGCGAAGTGCTTGTAATAAACGTGATATGAACAAACACGTTCAGTTTTTAATGTTCATTTACTGCGTGGGCATATATTTGCTTCTCTTCACTTCATATCCCTAACAGCAGTTACCGTCCTCTGCTGGACTACACGCCTCCTCTAGATAAAAGAGGTTGCCATAATGCTATGCTTGAAGATCGCAGTTAAAAGGTGCGCAGGTTTATCAAAAAGCGAGTCTTTCACACACTTCGTAGCGTTTGTTCCGAAAAGTGTAGGATTATCTTACTGAAAGGCATCAAGACTTTTAAATAGACCAAGCTCCGAGGCTCCCACTATGCAATTATTGCACAACTGGACATCCGGCATCCCTATCCCTTTTCGTCCCCTTTGAATCTTGGTACGTTAAAAGTAGATGGTTAATAGAAACCCCACTCTAAGTGCCCGTAATCCTAAAGATCCACTTGCACCTAAGGAGCATCCTGTCTGATTCTGGCTGGAGATTTGCGTTTTTGGTACCCTAATTAAAGGTTTCAATGGTTTCAGGTTTTAGTACACTCCATCAGATCTCGTAAACAAGTCAGAAAAAAAAAATGTACCTATAGGTAATTTTGTCAACTCTTCATAATATACACATTTTTTCCAGGTAATAAAATCCTTTAGCCCAGCTAATGGCAAGATAATAGCGGAGGTACAAGCAGCCAGTCCTGATGACTACGAAGCCTGTGCGACCGCAGCCCAGGAGGCGTGGCACACGTGGGCGGAGCTCCCAGCTCCCGCCAGGGGAGAGATCGTCAGACAAATTGGAGATGCCCTCAGAGAGAAACTACAACCCCTAGGACAGCTGGTTTCTTTAGAAATGGGTAAGCGTTAACATTGAGAAAGAAAAGTGTAAGATCCTTGTAGCTAGGTAGCAATGATGGCCACAGAAGTTACCAATATTTAGATGAAGTTACCATTAATAATTCTTTTACGTATATAAATTCCGACTTCAACCCCTGTTTTTTAAGTCGGTTAATGAATATTCTAGAACGTTCTCCGAAGTGTAAGAAACAGTCTTCTAAAAACTGCATCAAAATCGGTTCAACCAATCGCGAGATAATCGCGCGCAAACATACATATATAGATCAAAACGAGAATCTCTTATTTTGAAGTCGGTTAAAAATCAATTCCAGTACCGTACTATTGAAGATAGCTATGTCCGAAAATGGAAGACCTAAGGATGATTAAAACCCGAGCGTACGGCGCGTCGAGATCCGTGCGCGCCTCTAAGAGCCATCAGACCACCACGGATGGGGCCCAATAGAGCTGATGACGATACGGAGCCGCGGAGGACTTAACGGGTTGCCGGGGCTCCGGCTCGAAGGGCAGGAGTAGGAACGGGTTTTTAGTCAGTAAGAGTCTGATACTCCCTTCCGCCACACCCAGGCGAGAAAAGTCATTCGACAATTTTCCCCACTGAAAAAAGGATGATTAAGAAATGGTAATAAATTCTGAGCCTTTGAACATAACAACTACGTTATCATTCATTATACCTCCCCACTACTCTCCAGTGCCTATACTCAGTGTTTAATTCAGTTTGTTGACACCAGTTGACACACATAATAATTATATCTTACATCTAACATAGCAACTTTATTTAATATCCGATAAGGAAGATAACAATGGCCATGCCTACCACCTATGTGGAAAATAATCTTGGAGATTGGCAAAATAAAATCAAACATTTTTTTTATATGCGTTTTGTCGACATTTTAAAGGGCATTAATATGTCAGATCTATAAGTATGTAAGGATCCGAAATAAATCAAGTTGGATATGGTGACCATAATTTTGGATGGATTGTCCTAAAAAATTACTTAGGACGCGAAACGAATTCCATAGATTTATTTTCAAACGGTCTTTAGAATTGGTTTCCTTTTATTTACTAGAATAGGACAACCTGGTGAAAAGTGAGTGTAAGTATTCAGATACACGACGACTCGGACATTGATTGGGTTATCCTCTCACTCAATGGGACAAGTTATTAAATGAAGCAATTGTCTTCAGGTAAAATTCTACCCGAAGCTATTGGCGAGGTGGTGGAATACATCCACGTGTGCGACTTGGCCCTGGGTTTGTCACGCACATTGCCTGGCACCATCTTCCCATCAGAGCGACCTGGTCACGTGCTCATTGAGAAGTGGAACCCTCTGGGAGCTATTGGCATCATCACCGCCTTCAACTTCCCTGTCGCTGTGTTCGGTTGGAACAGCGCTATTGCCATGGTAAGCATAAGAAATAATTATGAATTTAATTAAGTAATTCATAAACATTGAAGAGACTTGATCTGTATTTGTTCATTGGACGGATTTTGAACTTTTTCTTCAGTAAATTCCTCATAGAAAACACCTAATTAAACACTTTCTTGAGGTGAAATTAAGGAGAAATGTACGGGTAATTATTTTAGTTTATGTTTATAGCATGGCATAATATGTCAACATTTATATAATTAGGTAGGTATACCGTTCAGTTTTATTTGTATGCCAGTTCAAGAGGTCTTAAGATGTTGAAAAAAAAAACCCATATTTACCTACTCGTAACATTGATTTAACATTCTTATCTTATCTGTTAGACCAAACGAACAAAAATATATAACTGTTATCACAAATAATCACGGCTGAGTTCTCTAACGAGGTTTTTAATTCTAAGGGCAAGATAGTTATCGTAATAATGTTATCTACTACTTTGTTACGTTAGAAACGTAATATAGCAGTAAATTCAACTAGGCATGCAGCTACCTATATTTAGAGAATGTTTAATAACTACATATGTAAAATGAGTTTTACATATTGAGGACTAGATAGGAAGGACTGTATTTATATCTTATTGACTATAGACTGTATTATATTATACCTATAGACTGTATTATATCTCATAGACTTTAGATTGACATAAATGGACCGTTTGGAGTCCAGAATCCACACAATGTAAATGTCCATTCATCAATATTAAGCCATAATCCACAATCTACCACTAAATCTAAAATAAAAATACTTCCAGGTGTGCGGTGACGTCAGCGTATGGAAGCCATCAGACACCACTCCACTGGTCGCTGTAGCCGTCACCAAGATTGTGGAGAGCGTGTTACAGAAGAACAATATTCCCGGCGCAGTTGCCGCTCTGTGCGTCGGTGGCAAGGACATCGGCGAGAAAATTGTAAAGGATGAGAGAATGAAACTTGTATCGTTCACTGGAAGCACAGCTGTTGGACAACAGGTAATTTCGGGACGGGGTATCGGCTCAAACTACGAACATGTCACCACGCCAAGCTTCAATAATGGCGATAAAGTTATCTGATTTTTTTGCATCCAGCAAGAGAGTTTCTAAATTATTATTATTATTTGTCTAAGGTGGGAGTGGAAGTGCAGAGGCGTTTCGGTCGCCACCTGCTGGAATTGGGCGGCAACAACGCCATCATTGTGAACGAGGATGCCAACCTCGACTTATTGTTGAACGCTGCGCTCTTTGCGTGCGCCGGCACTGCAGGACAACGGTGCACTACCACCAGGAGATTGTTCATTCACAAGAAGGTAGGTCAGAAAGAAAATGTAATATTACTTGTACGTCATTGTACGTTTGACCGTGTGAATTGTTTCATACACTTCCCCCCAAGATTTCTAAAAATGGGACTATAGGGTGCTATATTTTTCTAAGTAATAAGTACCAGTTGTTTCTGAGAATAACGTATAACAAAAAATAAATGCACAAATTGCACCTACTTATTTTCAGAACTTCATTAAAAATAAACATTACATTTGCAGGTGTACAGTGAAGTGGTATCCCGTCTATCGAAGGCATTCGCTGGAGTTGTCAGCAGGATCGGAGACCCCTTGCTCTCCGAGACCCTGATCGGACCTCTGCACACACCGGCCGCTGTTGAAGCTTACAAGAAAACTGTCGCTGAAGCTATCAAGCAAGGAGGCAAGATCGAATTCGGAGGAAAGGTACCTAAAATAACTAACAGGCCAATGTCTTGATACTATTGTTCCGTTGTTACGTCAACGTTTACGAGTCCCGTATACATAAAACAAACTGAACATGTATTTTGACGTGACAACGTCTTATAAATTGGTTTGCCGGGTGACACTTCAAGAAACTGCGTTACGCTCCGCTCACGTTATGCGCTCACAATGAGAGCGAGTGAGAGGCACGCGTCCCTTCCACTCGGGCATGGTTAGCCCGCCTAAGAGCGAGAGAGACAGACATAAAAAGTGAAAGGCACGTGAATGAATATTCACATTAAAATTATTTTACCACTCAAAGTCGTTGTCACGTAAAACTTTCGCCCGTATACCGACTTTACAGGCAACCAATTTTTTTATCATCTATCTAGGTAATGGAACGCGAAGGCTACTTCGTGGAGCCGACTATTGTGACAGGGCTGCCCCACGACTCTCCCCTAGTGAAGACTGAATGCTTCGCCCCCATCGTCTACTGCATCGAGATCCCAGACCTGGACACCGGTATCAAGTACAACAATGAAGTGGAACAGGGACTCTCCTCCAGTCTCTTCACTGAGAACCTTGGTGATGTATTCAAGGTAAAATTACACTTACGGTAACGTATAAACGATTATACAATTTGTTGTTTCGAATCTGGGTGTCACGTGACCACCTGACACACTTTAGAAGTCTTGTGTGGCGCAAGTTTAAATAAAATTCTACTTTCATTCGGCTATGGAAAAACGAGTATTTTCGTCTCTATTACGCTCATCTTTTATTATATATAGCGAACATTTCATAACGTTGCCCTAAGAAAGAGTTATGAGTACCAAAATGGGCAATGACACACACCCTTATTCCAAGGTAATAAAGATTGTTTTACATCCACAGTGGATCGGACCTCACGGCTCAGACTGCGGTATTGTCAACGTGAACATCCCAACAAACGGCGCCGAGGTTGGAGGTGCCTTCGGAGGAGAGAAGGCAACTGGTGGTGGTCGGGAGTGCGGCTCCGACTCCTGGAAGAACTACATGAGACGCTCCACAGTAACCATCAACTACTCCGGAACCATCAAACTGGCACAAAACATTAAATTCGGAGACGAATAAGATTTAATGAACCGAAACATAATTTTAAGTTCCCTTTTTATTGTATTTACTGAAAACGTCTCGATGTACAAGTACTCACTCAGTATTTTTAACCATCTGCATATAAACATATAAGTAGCTTTGTACGATAAGACTGACGAATTTAATTACGAAATAAAATAATAAAACGTGTTTTAAAAAGTAATTCATGTATTTATTTAAGTTTTCTTTCTTTGTCAGTCCATTGTTGTTATTTATAAGATAAAAAATCAACATTTTATTCTATGTAAAAGTAAATACATACATACATTTGATGTTCTGTACATAATATAGAGAAATTATAATTAAAACGTAATGAATTATACTATTTTACTAAAAGACATTTTACTTATCGTATAAACAAAGAAAATGGTTTATTTAAGGGGAAGCTAAACTTCGTTCTAATACGCTTCGTCAAGACAGTTATGATGACAAAGTCCCATTGAATTTGGTGCAGTCGTTCTGGATGAAATGCGCGTACATTCACTTCTAAATCTCATATAATATACATTTAACACCAGTAAAATAAGAAAACAGCAATTCAATAATCCCAGTAGAAATAAAAACCATTTTCTTTGTTTAATTGAACTATAGAAACGTAATACATTGTATTTATTTATTGTGCATGATATACTCGCCATATATCCACAGCTATGTTCATAGAATTTTGCTTATGGAACCTGTATGTAGCTGGCAACTCATATTTCATCTCTGCTATGACACTCCCTTTCATATCCCAATCCTTAATCTTCTTTTCTATATGTGTCCTGTAAGTGGTAAACAAGGTAATAATATATCTTATTATTACTATAATACAAAGCTGAAGAGTTAGTTTGTTTGTTTGAACTCCCTAATCTCGGGAACTACTGATTTGAATTGAATAATTATTTTTCTGTTGAATAGTCCATTCATCGATAAAGGCTACAAGCTATAAAACCACGCCACGATCAATAAAGGTCGCGCAGAGCGGATGACACCGAGTGGGAGTTTCTAGTGTAATACAAATTGGATAGTACATTAACCGCCTATTAAACAGAATAATTAAAAAGTGTAGAGTCAAGCATGAAGTAGAACACGGTACTGTTTAGTTTTCAATATCGAGTTTCTTTATAGTATTGAGTATTTCACCTTGTGATCGGCGATATGATCACTGCTAAAACATGTGACTCAACTATTTATATTGTCAGGGAATAAAATATGTGGCAACCATAAGCTTATGTAAATATGTTTAGTATAATTACCTAGTGCTAGTCTTGTGTAATGAGTACACACTGTCACAGCTAAGGAGGGTACCCATTCGGAGGAACTTCATGTCGATACCAGCATTGTTTTTTGTGCCGAATGGCGGGTTCATTACCACTGTGTCAAAGTAACCTTCCCATCTGAAAGTAGTGTAAAATTTTTATAAATATCTTAAGCAGATACAAACAAGTCTTCACATTATTTTAGTTGCAGATTTGTTTTAGGTATGGCAATGTTATTTCAAAGCTATTAAATAAGGTCGACTTTCAATTTCTAATTATAAGTAATCACCAGTCTGCCTTGAGAAAGTGTGGTGATCAATGATTATTCCTTCTTTGTGTCAGGAGAGATCTTTGGTTAGCAGAGAGCATGTATACCTTTAAAAATCAAGTAGAAATAAAAAATAATACAGATTATACACTACCTAGCAACTCTTGGATCTAGAAAGTCACACTGTACAGCATCAACATTCGTCAGTTCCATCTCTTCAACATTTTCCTTGAATACCTGCAAGACATCATCATCGATATCTACAGCTGTGACTATGCTGGCTCCCAGCAGAGCGGCGCCGATACCCCAAATGCCGGGACCACAGCCAGCATCCAGAACTGTACAGTTTTCTATAGATTCAAACTGTGTCTGTAATAAAAGTGCAATCTGTGTAAGTTTTCTGATCCACACTGAACTTGTTTATATACAAACTCTAAAAACTAAAAAGAAACTACAGATTACAATCACATTGAAAGCAACATTTTTTATTGGTATCCAATTACCAATAAAAAAAAATATCAGACATGATCATTTTCAATTTCAATTCAACTAAACAACATTCCCAAGATGGAACAAGTCAGTAATAAAAACTACTATACATCAAGTCTTTCATCATTTAAACTTACAAAAAAGGTGTTGAATATTACCTGTATAGTATAAAGAGCTGTAGCAGCAAGATGGGCTGGAGTTGCATATTGTTCAAATTTAATTTTTGGATTCTCAAATCCATTTAGACCCTCCAAATGACCTTGCAGGGTCTTCAGCTTCATTAAAGCTGACATTATGTCCCCCTTCACTTGTTATCAAACCTGGGTAGAACAGGAAGTATCTGGTTTCCAAATGAGGAGTCTTGGGAGACAAAGTAGCCACAGGATGTGGCGTTTGCGTGTTGTAAGGCTGCTCTGTGGCTTGTATTTACAATATTCGCTTCAGGTAGTTGAGGGAAACCCTGGAAAAATGTTTATAGTTAAGTTCTCAACATAATTATAATAAATGTATGGTTGATCTTTCTTTCTCCTTTCTGAACAGTGACAGATTTAAATAAATATGTTAGTTTACAAACATCAATTACTTTTGTCTCTTGGTACTTACTGCAGTAGCTGAAACTGGAGGGATTGAGCACATAGGCAGCTGACTAACAGGGTTGGGCTGTGTCAGAGATATGGAGGTGGCGGTCAGAGGAGCCACTGCACCTTGCTTCAGCAGCATCTGTTTCTTTAGTTGCAATTCTTCTAAAATTTTCCTATTCGTCAGTTCTGCAAATAAGAATATTATAGGATTAGGTGTATTGACACATTATACCAAAAAAGGTCTTAAGGTTTTGATTTTTTAATATAGGAATTATATATAACTTTATGATAGTTTTAAAAAGTAAAAACTATGCTGTTGTCTTCAAGCAACATAGTTTATACCTATTGAGTGTGTGAGTGTCAACATTGAAGACTTGAATAATATAACTAAATTGTAATACATTACACGATAAAATCACCATTCGCTAAAATATTAGATACTGTTAATATTTGTTATTTTTAGCCATTATGTGATTTTAATATTCAACAAATTAAAAATGAAATTGAGCCAAAACTAACCTCTTTGTGCGTTAGGCTGCGGAAACGCCATCTAATATCTTGCTAATTAATTTATTTCTAGACATAAACAATATTGCCTAGAAAGTTTGGTACAATGAAATAATACTAAAATTACTACAATTTACAAAAAATATACACATAGAAACAAAGTTTACAAAATTGCAATTTGGTTGGCCTTTGACAATGACATTGGTTTGACAAATAAGCTGCGTGACAGTCAGTGTGACATTTTGTCTATCAGTATTTAGGAAAGAGATGCGTATGCGAAACGGAACGTGTTGAATACGGTTTTTGTAAAACAAGTTTTAGTAATAAATAACATAAAATATTAAATAAATAAATAAAAATAAATTTCTATCTTAACTACTTTCTATTCTCTCTGAATATACCCCAACTAAAAACATTGATAATGTGATAAAATTCAGAATTCACTGACCGGAACCAATTCTGCCAACTTATCTACATCCGTTCAGTAATTCGTATTTTCCGCAATTACCGGTTATGAGGTAACTAAGTATTTATTGACCAGCTCATGCTGTGCATTAGTAATACAATTAGAAAACCACTTTCATCAAATGTCCAGGCATTGAACTTTCAACGTGCATTTAGAATCCTAAATATCGAAATATTTTTAAGATTACGTGTCTCCAAAACGTAGAATAAGTTTCCAACTAAGCTTTATTCCAGACATAAAGGTCATTCAACTTTCTGTCTAGTCGGCGCTTCAAGCAGCGTGGTTTCATAATGCCACAAGTACAAAATCTTCAGATTTAACCCATGACCTAGATACTAGATCGTCTAAAATATTAATTTATGGAGATACCTAAGTTTAAATGTTTCTAAATTAAACTATTTACGAAAAATATCTTAACATCACGCTTGTTATTTAGATAACGGAAAACAGAGTAAAATTTTATAAAACTCTCAGGGCGTGTTCAATCAGTCAAGTATCTTGTTGCTCTCGATATATCATTTTGATCGGTAAATCATTGCAAACATTCAACAAAGCATCAGAATATTATTGTCTCTTAAGACTTCGACTGCCCAAAAAAACTGTTGAAGGTAAATCCTCCGCTAACGTCGGTCACCGGTGACCCCCATGGCGTTTAACGTGTTAATCTCCAAAACTGTAAGCAGTAAGGGTCTCTCGCTCGTGTATCGAACTAGAAATCTTTTTACTTGACAAATTGCACTTACGATTACTTGTCATCAAGGCAGAATGCAGCAACATGGTTGCAGCTTTGCTAAAAATTCGGATGGCTTATAAATTGTTACCGAGAGTCACCCTGTGACCTCCAAATTGGACACCGATCCTTACGTTGAAAGTATTCGAACGATGGAGAGTAGGTGAAGTAAGGACATTTACACAATTACAAAAAGCCAGTTTGGATTTTATATAAAAGCATTTATTTTAAAACAATGTAGGTAATAATATACTTTCTGATTCTTGGCAAAACAGTCTCACATAAGCAAGTCAACATTTGGCCTCTCTTAAGAATAAACATAAGACTAACATGCGCTGCCATAACTCACAAATGAATAAACTGAAATATCAGATAAATAATAAAAAAGGACAAATATAAAATTATTTCCATACATCTACATTGCAGTTAGCATTGCATCTTGGTTGAGCAATCTTAGATTAATTTGTTTATTAACGTAAATTATTCTAAATAAAAGGGAACATTAACATTACTAGAATTGACTCACAATATTAGCATATATAAAAAAACCATCTACTGTACCTAATTAACAGTTTTCACAGACGCAGACATTACAGTCCACAATGAGTTTGTGGTTTAATATTGATAAAATTTGATAATAAATGCACAACAAAAATATAATTTAAGTTGCCTTTGTCTTTTAAGTTTATAAAAATATATAACAATTTAGAAATAATTATAACAGTTCATCTATAAACAATTTGGAATAATATTGCACAAGCTCAAAGCTAAATTATTATGTGCATTTTTCATAAATACTATAAATATAACAACAAACCAACACAACACTTCGTAACTCTAAATAATTAGGTTTTATGACTCGTCTTTCAATGACACACTTTATTGTTTAACCATCGACAACTACAATCCAGGACACGGGAACATCAGTAGCTTGCCATTGCTCGATCTGTTACTTAATTTTAGAGGAAAATTAGACCATGACAAATTTCAGCCGCCGTTGCGTAAATCGCGATTATGTTCCTAAAACTAATCTAACTAATAGAAAAATAATATCACAGGCAAACATGTCAATTTCGTAAAGTGAGAAGTTTTCAACCGGGCACAAAGCTTTGCTTGGCCCTTGGGTTTCGTCTCTATTAGTAAACTAGTATTTATTACAACTGAATTCAAATAGGTTGATGGATTAATAGTTGTAAATATCACTTGATAGTATAATACAACGTGGATGGATTGGAACTAGCAGAACGTCACATGGGGCTACATGTGGTGTACGTGTACCTAAATATAAAAGCCCCTCTATTTAGGTAGAATACAAACATCTACAATGATATAAGATACACAATGCTTATCAAATATCTAGTCAAAGTTTTACAATGCGAATGTTCTGATCATAGTTGTCGATCTAAATCTGTAATTTTAGTTTACAATGTGGTCAAATTTCCAACATAGGACCGAATTCATAGCGCCGTAGATACGGCAATTTAATTTCCACAATTGCCCTAGAGTTATTATACCAAATGATATATCTAAGGAACTCCAGTGAGGAAATATTCTTTTAATTATCATACTCTACAATACTAAAAACTAAGAACCGTTAACCGCGAGAACAAAGCGACCACATTGTCCCTCACCACCACCATCACCGAGTGTTGGTTTGTTAGGAAATATTTTCACAGCACAGGAACAAACACATTCTGGACTAAATAAAATCTGAAAATGATAACAACATTTGTTTTTAAAGACTAGCACGTAATTTTGGCACAACGCTGTGTCCTCTCAGAGCACAGTGGCATCGATGTTGTTCTCTTTATATACAAAAGTTTAAAGATTTTTGCTCAGTGAAAACTAAGTGTGGAGTGGACCGGACGCGGCCGGAGACGGGCCGGACTCGAGTCTCGCCGCGCGGCAGTCGGGCCACTGCGCGCGGCGCCCGCTGCTTGCCGACCGAGTGCCGTCCCACCCACTCATCATTAACAATTATTAGGGTTTCACAAAGCTTACTACGACCAAAGTATCAGGAACAATGTTATTAGATTTCAATTATTATTTAACAATAGCAAGCAAAGTAAAAATACATATTTTCTTTATAATATTTGTGCCCAATGTGTCATGTTCGATGTATCGTTTTAAATTTATTTATGAAACCCTAAATTATAGTGACCGATTGTATCGTTCACATTTGATATGGACAGCTGCCATTACAATCATAAAATGCAAAATAATGTATATTAAATTTAGTACAAAATTATCGTAAATAATTAAAAAAAAACTTATTTGAGTAAATAAATTCTCTTGTTCCATTGCTCATTCAGTGCTATAAAGATCAGAGTGTAAAAATAACTGTATTCACAGCGTGGGAAGCTTGTTCATGTAAAAAGACATTACCCTGTCTCAGGTGGAGGTTAGGTTAGTTATTATTTCGATAATTTCATTATTATTTTTAACAACAAATTAAATAAAAGTAGGTATCAAAACTATGCTAGGTTGAAGTTAGGTCAAGTGCTCGGCTGTACGACGAGGTACTTTTATTTTTACACCCTGCCTCAATGAGTATTTTACCCCAACAACACTCTTAAATCCAAACAACAGTACACACCTAACACTTTCCCTGTATAAATATATTATAGTCTTGTAAAAGAAACCTTCGAAACCTCATAGGTCATTAACACTACGTGAGAAATTACACAAGAGCATTAGGATACAATATATTGCTACGAGTTAACTTATCATTTGGCACTAAATTAACATATTGCATCTCGAGCATTCGTCACAAATATATATACTTGCAAATCCTTTAAACTCTCAATTTATCATTTCTAAATTACAATTAATTCATTTACTTTTCTAATGATATAATTTTCATTGGGCCAAAAACTTCCATGTTCTATGTGAATGTGTTATGAACTATAAACGAAATACAAATATTTCATATATTGAGCAATCTGTCCATTCCCTTCTCACTTTCAAATACCTAAAGGTGTTTTAGTAACGGGAATGTGTGCTATACCAAACGTAAAAACACGAAATTAATAGACAAGACGCATTCTCGGCAAGTAAAATTTGGCAAAATTGAGCATTAAGACTTTCAATTGGCATCGTAAAATATTACATAATAGTAAGATTTTACTACGTAGCACTGCGTGACTACTTATATATCCTAACTCTGGTAACTGTAACTTATTATAGGTACACCAATCTCTTACAGTTGACTGCTAAAGATGTGCGAAGTGTACTGTGTAGTGTACACGACTCGGACCACGGAAACGGCAACTATTTGTACATCGACCAACACTACGACCGAGTGACGTCACACCGCAGGGCAGCCCACGACCGGACACCCCTCCCCAGCGCAACCAACAACCACCAAGGCGTGGCCTGCCGCTGCGTCTACTGTCGCGAGCCTTGCAACGGGTTATGGCCGTTTCAGTGATCCGTACATAATGATTATGTTATTTGTACAAGATGTACAAAATAGTGAAAAAACTAAGTATTACAAATTGATATGACGTAAACGTGAGACTTTATCATTATGAGAATTTAGTTATCGTTCAAAAGAACTATATATGACCGTGGACTTCTCAAGAGATCTTTCCAATTTACTAACTACATTTATAACAACTTGGTTAAAATAGTATTTAAAAATGAAATAAATCGTTTCTTTATCAAATAATAGTTATTGCTTTTTTGATATGATAATTACATCTGGTGGCAGATGGTCAGCCAGAGAGGCGCGGGGGCGCGGGCTGCGCTAGGCGCGCTCCGCGGCCCCCGGCGCCCCCCACTGCTACTCTTACGTCACCTTATCATACAGACCGACTGTACAATATTATAATTACGTTATAACTCTTAAATGTATATTTTAAAAATATGACTGCTTTATATCCATCATGATCACAGCTCTCCAAAGACTTTACAATATCCAAACCTTGACGCTCCAAAATAAATTCTTTATTATCATTTACACCTATAAAACGAAATGACTATAATATCTATAAGATAGCTCTAAAAATTATGCCATTTTGATATATTTACTTTGCAATTGCAACGGTCCCTCGTACAGCACTTAAATGCCTCATATACAAATTTTAACGTAACGTTGAAAATGACTCGATTTATATTTAAACATAAAATATAGAAAGCAATAAAACGACTGACTCATGTCTATAAAAAAATTTAGAAATAAAGCGGCAGTGTTTGCGAAAATTGGTGCAAATAGAATCTAACTACAAAACATGTCTTAGGAACCTGATAAATTATTGCTAGAGCTTCGGGCACGACTCCACTCCCTTCCTTACAAACGACAATGCATCCCCGGCGCGGCCGGCAGATACATAACGAGATAAAATCTTATCAGTAGCCAATAGAAAAATATCACCTAAATAAATATGAATATTTTACACGGGCAACTCACCGTCGTCGTTCGTGGTCGCGTCGCCGCGCAAATAAATATAAATCTTTCCAAACGATCGACGGGAGCCCGTCCGCGACCGAGCCGGCGCGCCGCGACCTACGAACGCGCCTCGAGAGCGACGAGTATCTTTATTTTCTCTTCTTTTTTTGGTAAAAAATAACAAGATTATGAAATTGATATGCAACACCGCGGCCATCACTGCGCTTCGCCGTCCTCCTCCGCGCCCGCGCCCCCCGCCCCCGCGCCCCGCGAGTACTCGCCTGCGCCAGACCCCGCGCCTCCTCCGCCTGGACCTTTCGAGGCATCGCTGCAACAATTTAGAACAACATTCAGCATATTTCCCTTCAGACTTAAATAACAGCACCAGTATTAATAGCATTTTTAATAATCACATATGGCAACAATCTAATATAAATTGAAAACGATTGCGTTAAGGTTGAATTTAATGAAGCAAACTTACTAGTTAGAGTAGGAAGAGCGCGCACTCCCGCCGGGCGCGTCGACGTCGCAGGGAGGAGGCCGCGCGGCCGCGCTCAGCAAGTAATTGGTCGAATCGCTGAAACAGTTCGACAACCTGCTACAAATTGTATTACTGCCTCCAGTAGCGCGGTATACAGATACATACATGATACCAGCAGTTGTAAATTTTGCCAATTTTAGCTCTTTAGTAAATGTCCCTTTCTAGATTATAACTGAAGATAATTAATATTTGAATAAAATTTGTAAAATTACTTTAATAATATAAATTTTAGAACAGTTTAGTTTTATTGTCTTGATGGATTTAGTTATTGTAAAAATTATATACAATATTTTCCCATCTATCAGCTCTGCAAATTTTTCACCGTGAGCATACTTTTAGAATGAAACAAACAAAATTGCAAAGTAATATTACTAGAGAAACAGAAATAACAGACCAAGTCGATCTAATTGAATTCTACCATACTAACAAAGGTCAGCAGAACTAAAGGTTACGGACTGATAATAAAAATCTGACCATTGAATTCCATTGATTGTGTTGTCTACAAATATTTTGTAATAATATAATACAGTTTTTAACTTAATACACTGGGACGATCATGGTGGAAAATAAATACTGACTGCACGGTTGGCGCGGTGGCTGGGCAACTGGCTGCCGCGCAACCCGTCGAGGGTTCCCAGCACGGAACAACTCTTTTTTGTGATCCACGATTGTTGTTCCGGGCCTGGGTGTCATGTGTATAAGAACTTGTATGTGTGAAAAACGAACCCACGACACAAGGAAAAACCCTAGTGTGGGGCAACGTAAAAAAACTTTATACATGTATTTTATGTGTTTCTGTTAAATTTAATTACTTACTAAATGTAACTCAGAATAATGAGATGGTGGGTAGAGTTCTATTATATAATATGACCTGAGAAGACAAAAAATCGTGATACCGTAAAGTCAATCTTCATGTCGATGACACACAGTTACGCACTATAAATGAAATGAATAAATTAGTGCTGTAGTACTCAAGCAGAAGCATAAATAAATATATTATTTAAAGAATTCCTTCAAGTTGAATGTCATGGGTCGACACTGCCCCCAACATTATCAGTCGTGCGGTTTGCTATCTCAATGTTATGTTTAGCACAATGTACCAGCATGGCGAAAACACTGTCTCAGTAATGACATATTCCACCGATATCATTATTTATGTATGTCGGTGTCGAGGTATTCTGTGATGTCATGTCGCAACGTACTTATGGCGATAAGCATGGCACACATGGTGGGAGATAACCTCCCTCACATTTCTTAAGATTAATAAAAATTAAAGTGTCTTTATCAAATACTAGAGTAGGTACCTACAGCGTCCGTCAGGTCATTATACCTATCTCTTTAGTAGGCAAATATTCACAAGATATAAGAGCAGAAATGAGCGGTCCCCTACGCATTAATACTAGTAATCAGTTCAAAAGGTTTTCATGTTTATTTTTGATGATTACAAAATATTTATAGATAAGCAAGCAGTCGTCTCATTTATAAGGTGATTAGGGTTTTGTGTTCAGTTCATCTCATGACTGACACTAAATATACAACTTTATCTTTTCAAAATTCATGACTAAGTTCTAATAACAGTTACCATTCATGGTAACTGGCAACTGGACTATAAGTCTCCGCTACATAAGAGGGTTTGCATAATCCTCTCACATGCTAACAGATTGGATATAGCAAATGAAATGGTTCAAGAATATCAGATAGTTCTGCAACCTAATCTGTCTTATGAGTCTGCTTATTTACCTCCTACGACATTCACGGGAAAATGAGGGGTAGTCACGAATGTCTTTACTTTGCCCTGAGCACATGGCACAGAAAATAGGAAATTATCATGTAATAAATCCAGGTGATATAGAAAATAATGAAAAGTGACGTATGGTGTTAAGTGTAAGTTCACCTGGCGGTCCTCATCCTGAGCGCGGCGCAGTTCTCCTTGCACTTGTAGGCGAGCACCTGCTTGATCCGGCTGACCTCGACGTCGGGGAAGTGTCGGCTGACGTAGGAGATGAGCGCGTGCACGCGGCGCCGGTCCAGCGGCGGCTTGGTGGGGCGCGACTCCTGCCCGGCGCGCGACCAGCGCTGCCCCGTCACCGAGCACGTCGCCAGCTCGATGGGCGAGAACAGCGCCGCCGCCAGCCCGCGCGTCACCTTGCGGTAGTCGCCCCACTTCACGCCGCGCAACAGCTCCTCGCGTATCTCCACGCCCTCACCCAACTTTATCTACGAGATAACACAACACATATTATTATAATCTCTTTGCTTTCAAATCTATATTGTATATCTATTTATCATACGATTTGCAAGCATTGATGCTCAAATGCCCTCCATGGACAGCCCCAGAAGAAGAATGGAGAAGATTATAAAGTAATTTAAGTTTTATAACATTGTTTAAATCTTTGTTCGATTTAATGAATGATTTCCAAAATCTACTAGTAATGGTAATAGAAGGATTGCAGAATGTAAAACTTACAAGTCTAGGTGCGGCGGCTCCTCGTTCGTTCTCTCGTTTGATGACGAAGGGCAAGGCGCGTCGGTGTTGCTCCAGCCAGACGGCGTCTGGGACCGGACGGTTGCGTCTACCATCCCACCTTCCTACAGCTAGTACACACACCACAAAACATTACACCAAGTCCAAAAACTTTATGAGGATGAACAAACATAACGATTCTCACAGATACTTGTCTCGTTAGAAAGATACTCATAATCAATGCGTAATACGATAAGTGATAGGCGACCATGCAGCATTATTCAATAACTTGATAAATTTTTAATTCCAAGGTTATAGTTTAATGTATTTCGCTGAGTGAAATATCAAGGTAAACCCGTTCAACTCAACACGACCCATTGGAAACTAAAAAGCACAATTTCTTCGCAATACTTTATTTCTTGATATTTAGTAAAAAATACATTGATGTATGTACACAAGTTTAATAATCTGCACAAAGCGAATGTGCAGACAAACGTAGTAATTACATTTAATTAATTCTCACATTAAAGGTAGACAAAATTAGCAGTCTGTAATTGCTTGCGATACTAAGTAACAAGAATATAACGGATAGTTGGAAACTAGTCAACACAATATATTGAACGTCTGATTGACCATGTTTGAAAGCGGGACGTTGTTACTATCACCTGCAGTCGATCCAATGCACTCACATGTATCGCCGCAGGTACTATAATGTGTTGTTAATTGCACTCAATTATAAAAGTATAATTCTTCTGTGTTAACGACATCAATGAACATTATCATTATATTGATAGAATTTCTAGTTTTATATAATTTCTATTTAAGTCAGCGCTGTGAAGAGATTCATTTCATTTTTGTATATACATTTATATTTTTTTCTTTAATATAAGAATATGACAATAATAAAAGCTGCGCCTTAAATTATTAATTGGGATTAAAATTATTATTTAAGAAAAGTGCTTTTTAAAATTACTATTACTAATACGTATAAGCGATTATTTTAGATTAATTATTTATTATTGCAAAAAACGCTCGTCCATAATATTTTAAATATTAAACAGTGTTAAAAATAAATGCAAGATCGAAATTTGGAGATCATGGAAATAAAATCACTTGAGATCACACATTATTCCAATAAATTTACAATTAAATTTTCAAAAGATAAACTAATATTGTTACTCACAACCCTAATCATACCTTTAAGAAGTGTCCCCTCTAAATGCTTTTTATTACAAAATGACTAGATGTGCTTTTTTCATGGCAATCATTTAAATACATCTACAAAAACATTAAAGAAATAACCGATCGAAATTTAAAGTTCTATAAAAAATATAAAAAAGTCCCTCGTCTATGGTCTACCGTAAATAACGCTGGTAGTGCTGTGACACTGGGCTAGTGGGGAGTATGGTAAGTTGTGGTTCAACAGTACATAAAATATACTATCTATTGCTTATATACTCAACATAACATCAACAGCTACGCTCAGCCTCGTAGCGTTCTAATTGCTTCAATTCTATTATTATATTGTATATGATTAAACTCTTGTTTGTTTGTATATAAATGAATTAGGGTACCGTAGCCACCTAGCTAGGAGGCTGTATACTTTTGTGGCCCCATCGACATATAATCGCTATTGTATAACCTGCTTCGGATTCTCATAATATTCTTTAACTAAAACAGTATTCTTATAAGTACTAGAAACAATGCGAGGATAAACTATAACCATTATATTAATTGAACAAATAATAAACTTGACCTAAGCTAGCGGCACCCTTAGCAAGGCAGTTTAACGTGCATTCGGCAATATTAACAAATAATGATATTCATAATATATTTACTATTTATTATTGTGTAATAAAATCGATCGGAAGCCATTGGTTGAATGGAAATGTTAACTGATCATTTAAACATGGTGAGCATATTAACAATGCACAAGGCATGGTATGGCAACAAAACTGTGGTGTTCCACCCTAAATAACTAATTTATCGTAGGTATGTATCATTTTAATATACGATTTCTGAAGACTTACTATTCATTATTCTGAGATTTTGTACAAACTATTTACCGGGAGCCGTCCAATCACTCAACAATAACATTGTGTAAAGATAAAACTATTGTGTATAAAAATATCACTATTGTAGTTGAGCGCGGACTTATGGACACTCAAAGCTTCGTACATGAGTCCGCGTATTCGACAAATAAAACGGATATGGTCGACACTTTCCGTCGTCTGCAGTACAAAAAAATTATACTCTATTATGAAAATACACCTATTTTATTTATTATTTCTATCTCGGACAGATAGTGTCGACCAAATGTGGATAACGTGTATAATGTCTGTATGTATGTATAATAATTATGTAACCAGTAAATAACCTATGTTATGTAAAATCAGCACCGGTTGCAACAAATGCTTTAACAACAATCAGTCTATTGTCAGAAAGGAAGGTACTGTACGTGTCCCTTAACGAGCTTCAATTAGTCACTTAACTAGAACCCTTATCCACCATGACTCAATGGTCGTACGATCACTTTTATGACTAAAATGTGGGTTTCCTATAGGTATATTATTAACAAAATTCCCCTTACTCCTCAATGACGCAGGATAGAATTTTACAAAATAACCGTCAGAGGACCGGCCACCCGCTACTACATGTAATATGATCAACATACTTCTATTATTGCTATGTTAAACTATTTATAGAGAAAACCTCTTCCTACCAGACAGTAGGAGGTACTAAAAGAAACTCGTTAATGCGACGCATATCTGGCACTCGGTATATTATAGAAAGGCACACAATAAGCGGAGAGGTGTGACGGCAAATAGGCCCCCGGCGACACTCCGATCACAGACTAGATATATCTATTGACAGTCTTCGTTACGACTTTATAAGCCACATCTTCACGACTTCGCCATACGAAGAGACACAACGCTACATTCTTTATACTCTATTCAGTATGTATCATAGCAGTGGAATGCTATAAAACGATTTCGTCGGAGGAAAGAGCCCGACGCGTAGCGCGCGATAAACACGACCACTGATAAATAGGCGTGCAACAGTTATCGCAGGCGCGGCGTCATATCTACGGAGATCGGTAACGGGGGGCAGCGTAGCGTCTCCTCGACGGTAACGACCCGCGAGAGAGAGCGCGGCTACTGCTGGAAGTGCTGGGCGGGCCGCAGCGCGGGCAGCGGCGGCGGCGGCTTCAGGCGCAGGCGCGCGGGCGGGTGCTGCGCCAGCGTGTGGCGGCGCAGGTACAGCGGCGTCTTGAAGGAGCGCCCGCACGTGGCGCACGCCACCGGCTGCGCCTCGTGGATCAGGCGCACGTGCTGGCGCAGGTTGGACGCGTTGCTGTACCGGCGCCCGCACACCGCGCACTGCACGCCCGCGCCGCCCGCCGCGCCGGCGCCCGCTGCCAACAACACCAGTTCGCATGCCGCACCGCGCCCGCGCGCGCGCCGCGCCGCCGCGCCACGCCGCCGCGCCTCCCATCGGCTTGCCGTATTCAAATGCCAATGCTATCGCACTACTCACATCCGCTACCTTCCTCTTTCGACCACCTTATGATGGGATGAACGTACATTGTTTTGTTTGTGATTTATTCTTTGAATTAATTGCAGTTTGGTAGTAAGTACATAATGTGAAAAGATCCTGAGTCGTAGAAGACTGGAAACAGTGAATTGGAAAGAGTGAGGGTAAGTATCGGACGATAGCATTTGAGTAGGATGAGAGTAGTGTGCCTGGGGAGGCAGGTCGGCGCCGGCAGCCGGTGGGAGTGGCGGGCCGTGGGCGCGGCGACGCGGCGCGCGTGCGGTCGCGGAGCGGGCCGCGCGTCGCCCGACACCCGCGCGCCTAGCCACCTGATACACTATACGAGACCGCGCGCTCTCTACTGTGACCGAATTATTATTTTTCGTCAAATCGCTAAAAAAGGAGGTTCGCCGGGGGCGCGGCTGTCCGAGTCGACGTGTGCGTGTGATAATGACGTGATAGTGAACAAGCAATAAGTATATTTACCTTCCGCGTTCTCGTCTCGTAGCTCCGTGTTCATCCCAGCCATCAGATCCATATTACCTGCGAAAATAGTGTAAACCGTCAGTATTTGAATACCAATGGCTTGGAACACTTCCAAACACACATATTGTTACAAACCTTGCAGTGCAGCAAATGGATTCGCGAGCGCGTTGTTCTCGTTGTAGTAGATCTGTGGGAAGTTAGAACGCTCCTCGTCGCTGGCCTCTTGTTCCATTACTTCCATTTTTGGTTCCAGAAGATCGGTTGCATTGAATTCTTGGCATTTGTCTGTTCTTTCAGGGTCTCCAGGGTCCATAAGTATATCACTCTCTTCATTTTTCACATCAGGTGCTTCGAGATCAGTTTTTACCCTCAGAGCTGGGTAATTGGGAGTTTCTCTATAGTCATCATTATTAGGCCTCATTTGACTAGAAGTTTGAAAAGGAGCTTCTTCATTGAGATTGTTTCTGGCAACATCGGGAGAATTTCTCGTGGAGCGACGACTTGTATTTTGATCTTGGTCTTCAACAGATGTCGTCTCGACATTTTGGTTTGCGGCTTTGGAAGAGGAGGTAGAGTGTGACGGCTTGGCGCTGAGCAAATTACGTAGTTGGGAAGGAGGTGATTTTCGATTCACTTTCTGCAACAGAGTACCATAAACAGAGTGTGTTAATATGGAGGAATAACAATAATATGGTGCTTATGAAAATGTATTGTAATGGATTACTTTGTCGTTGTGTTGTGAACAGTCTGTGAGACCTCGAATTTGCAGCGCGTCGGCAGTTCGTAGGAAAGCGCTGAGTTGCGCCTGCGCTATGTTCACTTGTCCCACGTACATAAACTGTAGCAGCGCGCGCACGTGCGACACCTCGCAGTCGCGCATGAATATTATAGGGTGAGGACATGGATTGTTCTGAAAGTAACAATGTGCTTTAATCAACAATAACAATCAATAACAACAGCCGTCATTATGATAAATAGCGCTATACTATTATGCAACTGTTTTCAATTAATCATTTTAACTTTATAAATACTGATTATGATGACTATGACAACCTCATTGATAGACCCATGTTGCAACTGCTTTCATCATGAAAAACATTCAACATACTATTTATTGTAAGCTAAAAATAAAGGCCATTGACCAAACATCTTAATTTTATTACATAATCAAGACAAGACAAGATTAAATAAATAAAACCATTGTTCATAAACATTACAAGAGAACAACAGCTAAACACTATAGCTATATTGCTGTCTCTGTCCTTTGAAAGGAGAATGACAATGACAGGTAATGTTTATCAAATGTTTATGAATGTCAAGTTTTTATGAACAAGGGGATAATGTTTGAACTTTGGAATCAAAAGGTTAACATACAACAAACTAGTGTAGAGTATTCTATTCTTATGTTGCAATGAGAAGATATACTACAACAACTTACTATCTTTGTTTAATAATGGTGCTTGATTAAATTAGCTCATGCATTGTTAGTAACAAGATAAGATGTACATAGATTGATAAAATGTGATAGGAAAAAATGTTTATGGAGAATATCAATACAAGTATAATCTTAACCTAGAAATTAGAATGTCACAAAGTAAAGTTATTTATAGACAGATGAAACACTCAATCAGTATTCACCCTCCCAATTTCAATGGAGATTTCCGAAGAACAGCATCTATTTTGAGGTGATTTTGAGCCTTTGTGTAACATTAGTGGACATTAACAGTTATATTGTTAATATTTTGGTGTTAAAATGTACTATAATATGTTTTTCAAAATCACAAAGCAATTACACCATAACATTTCAGTCACCTCAGATAATATTTAACGGGTAAAAGTCTATTGTTTTAATACAAGGTACTTCAATAGATAAGATATAGAAAGAAAGAAACAAAAAAGAAAGATGACAACTTCTTGTGATGTTTAAGTGTAATAAAATTGGTGTATTAGACTCTATTTATACAAAAGGTAATTAGAAGTTACTTTACAGTTAACAGTTACAGCAATAAGTTTCACATTAGTAAAGGTTTCCCATGAACTATTGATTTTCTAGTCATTATGGAGATGACTGTTGTACTTAGTGGCAATATCTGTAATATTGATTGGACCACAAATACAAGAGTGTGCATAAAAATATAGAAGCTGATAAAATAATGTTACACATGTACTGCACTATGTGTCTGAACAACTTTCATCATTCATTTGGTAGGTCATCTTTGTGGTCATAAAGATTTCAGTACCAATGACCCCAGATAAAAGTGTCTGTTACAAAACCATTTTTAATAAGTATATTAAAATTAGGCAAACATATTCATTAGCATTGACTGTAATGGTTACACTATGTGTATAATGAATTCATTATAGCTTCCAAGACAAATGTAATCTATAGCCCCAATGGTAATGAGTTAATTAGAAATTGTGAAACAGAATTTTAAAGTAGGTACAAATAAATGAAATCACGAGTACTTAACCGGAACGCGAGACATGGCATTTGTAAGTAGATCAAGTGTTTTATACATAACAACTTTCACTAGAGTCATTGTAATGGTGACACATCAAAGTGTGGGGAGTGAAAGATGGACTTACTTTAAATAATTCCTTGAAATATGGACTACATGCCGAAAGAACCACTTTATGTGCCTCCAGCCGGTGCCCCTCACATGCCAGGGTGACATCCACGAAGTCCTCATCATCGCGCAATGCCTCGAATTGAGAAGTTATATTCGCTTGAAAATTGTTCCATCTCAAACAAAATTGCTGGTCGCCACCCAGTTCTGTACCTTCCATTACTTATAGACATAACTCGATTTCCCTGCTCATTTAATTGGTTGATAAGAATAGTTAATTATTGAAAATAAATATATCACAGTAACTTGCAATTTCAGTCGCCGTCTGGCCGAAAATCTTATGAAAGAAAACAATCAATAAAATCTCGTACCAATATAAGAAAAATAAAAACTTTTTAATTTGTCATTTGGATGGTACATTCACTTCAACGTTCCGTTACACTTTTTGATTCGTCACCGGTTTTTTCTTTTTTTACGACAATAGATCGAAATTTGGTCTTATGGACGGTTTGAAAGTCTTCGACTGACTAAATTGTTATTATAAGAAATAATAAGAACGATAACATTCTTGTTTTTATGAGACCCTCTTGCTCTAACAATGACTCATTTACGGTTAATTAAAAATGGTTTAATAATTGGCAACATTGAACATTTTGGGTAATTTTATTTAGTATCATCACATCATAATTTCATCGTCGTCACTCGTCAGCGCCAGAACAGGACTACTAACCAAGGGCGTTAAAAAAGGATCGTTAATTAGTCCCTCAATGTCTATTTAAAAAATTAAAAATAATTTATATATCCAGTTTTCAGCTTTTATAGCACCTAAAATTGCCAATAAAAAAAAGTTTACAAATGGAAACATCCAAGGACATAGAACAAATTTTCAACGTCTTTGAGGAAACATCAAGGAATTTTTTTTATCGGCTTATGGTATAGCTGGTCTGATAATAGGAAATCTAAATTAATAAAGAGCTCCTAGGAATTATTAATCATCATCTCCATACATCATACCTATACATTACAGAAAAGTAAACTGAAAACGAATGAGCCATTTGAAATAGTTACTAGATAACCCAACCAGCCCAGTTCAATTAGTAAGGTGTAGGTAACACACAAAATAGACAATAAAATGAATTCCAAAAACATTCTCTTATTTAGTTTTTGTATTTAAATGTATAAATTAGTACAATAATTTTTAAATGTACTTTCAAGATTGAACTTCTGTTTTGAAACTAGGTCAACAGTTTCAAAGTTAAAAGCTAGCAGTTTTACATTGAAGTTTTAAATCAACAACAAAGTAAAATTTCAAACACCGAATAAAAATTCAATACAAGAACCAAATCAACAATTTTATAATGCTTGTTCTCCTTCAACCATTTCCTTTAAGTTGAGCAGCTCAAATTGTCCAGTTCCCTTAGTTTCTGTCCTAACCAACTCGTCTAAAACTCTGAAGTTTCCCGGATCAATCAGGCAAATGATATTAGCGGTGCCAGAATCCCAGTTCTCTTCTTCTACACTCATAGCAAGTTTCACAACCTTATCCTTTGTTTTTCTAGCTTCTTTGCCAGTAAGCAAGATCCTTACTCGCATTTGAGCTCTCTCTAGCGGTATTTCTTTTTTCAATAGCTGTATCACATCAAGGGACTGCTGTTTAGCACTTTTGTTCACATTCACTGAGAAATGGATATCTTTCATAGCTTTTTCTATGATAGACACAGGATATGGTCTCTTTGTTTCAGGATTGACACATTTATCAGCTACTGTTGTGGCTATGTCCTTGAATAGAGAATCAATTTGTGAATGCCTTTCTTTATCTGAAACTTGAAGTTCACCTTTCTCCAATATCTCTTTGCATATTTCAGTTTGATCATCTTTGCCAAATATTTTAACTAAATCCTCTTTTTTGGCAACCTGTCCCTTGGAAACGTTTGTAAACACTGTGTGTGTCTGCAGCACTTCATCAATATCTTTTTCTCTGAAACAAATTGAATTAAGCAAAGTTAATATTGGTGTAATAGCACAAGTATTCAGACACAATATTTTATACGAATGTCTTACAATTTGTTGCGCCATGATAAAACTTTATTCCTGTAACAAGCTATTTCAAATCTCTTTCCACCTTTTTTTAACCTTACGATGGCTACGTTAGTTAAGCGAATTTGATTTGTTGGTGTAAATATTTTAGACATGGTGAAGAAAATTGATTCCTTCTACTAATTTAAATTTAAATAGGTTACTATAAATCAAACTACTATCTGTTTCTCTAAGTAAATATTTCAATACATAATGTTTACTTCAAAACGCACTTTTGCACTTTTCGTTCGCATCGCAATCAGTATTTTTTTTTAATACAGATGTCATTCATTTCTTGTTTTTTGACAATTGAGTAGATAAAAAATAGTAGTACAGATTATAAATAATTGTCGTTTGGCTTTGATTATAGTACATATGGATACCGGAACAGACTCTTACCTTACTGCTTATACTTACTTTCATGTTCACGGGAATGTACGAACAATAAGATTTTTACATTAAATATTTTTAGTTGGATATTTTCAATTTTAGACATATTAAACCTAATTTAAATAATTTAATTTCAAGGACATTAATTTTCATTTAGTTTTCAGTAATTTTATGATTTATTTAATAAAAATCAGTTATACATATACCATGAAGAGGACGTTTACACTCTATTCTAGTAGTGATAGACCTACTCTAGCTTCTTTCATATCCGCTTAATTCCGCTTTGACGTGATATGATAATTTTAAACGTTATTCGTTTTATCTGTGGTCGTGCTGTGTCAGACGCAACGCACGACGTGTATTTCTAGAGAAGTTGGCCGTCATTTTGTTATATTTGTGTATTTTATCTGCGATTTTATGTGATTAATCGTTAAAATGGCGAAATTAGTTGATATATACAACAGCGAAAAAGAACCTGTGATAAAAAGACGGCAATTGCCGTTAACTATCTACGAAAACCTTACAGTAAGTGGTATCATGCACTTTGACATTACCACAAGCGTAGATTAACTATTCAGAGATAGAAATAACGAAAAATAATCAGTTTTTCTCGATACAAAAAGTAAACAATGCTATACAACTCATGCACTGATAAGTAGTTAAGTTTTAGTTTACCTTTTTGACCAATTGCGGCATAAAATTTTATCAAAAGTTCATTGATTTCATTCAATCTAATGACGTCTTGCAGATGACCTTATTTTGCGAATATATTCCTTTGTTGAATATAACAAAATTTGTTTTTGTTTCCAGATGATCATGGATTTAAACACAATGGGTTTAATTTGTGACAATCCACAAGTAAAAGGTCGGGAGTACGAAGAATTTATGCGCAAATATAGAATTCTAACGACGGATGAACTAAAAGCAGCGCTCAGAGTCGATGCTTCTGATATTTTTAATGTATTAAATCAAAGCATTCCTTGTGTAGGCTGTCGAAGAAGGTACAGTATATTTCAAGTTACAGTTTTTATTAATTTATTGCTTAACTTCAAGATTGAAGCCAATATCACAGTAGTTGTTAACATATACAATATTCTGTTGCTGTACTTTTAGTAGACAAGAATAATAATAATCGAGTTTTAGGTTAGTTGCAACTTAAGATTGAAAGTGCTTCCTTGTTTTATATTCTGTTATATTTGTAATAGTCCAATCTACCGGACTAAAAAACCAATCTTCAGGTACAGTTATAACCTAAAACTTGTTAGATACAACTATTACATGCAATGACCATAATTGCTATTATTTATTAAAGCATCATAGATTGATTTTTCTAACTGATATAGAGGTGATTGTCAACTACTTGACGACTATAGTAATCTATATATATAAAAGAAAGTTGTGTTAGTTACACCAAATTATAACTCAAGAATGGCAGAATAGATTTGGCTGAAAATTGGTATGGAGGTAGTTTAGAGCCAGGAGACCGACATAGGATACTTTTTAAACAAATTTACCGAAAATCACGAACAGGGATGGAAAAAATGGGATTACGCGTACGAAGTCGCGGGCAGAAGCTAGTTTATCATAAATTTTAAATAGTTTGTTGAAATTGCTTGAGTAAATATCATGTAATATGATTAAATATTGTCACGGTTATGTTTTATTTGCCAATACGTCAGTTATTGATACTTGTCTACTCATACTGATGTTGAACGAGTATAATTATTTAAATGCGATAATTTCTCCGGCTATGAATTTTTTAATAATTGGCATATTCGTTAAGTAGCTCAAAATATTGTGTCTTGTATTTTTGTATAGTGAATAGTAGTTATAAAAAGTTCAATAATGAGTTCCCCAAGTAGGAAATTAATCATCCAAAGTCCTACAGACCAATTGGACTTCTGTCTGTTTTTGGGAAAATAGTCGAGAAATTGATGATAGGCAGAATCCAATGGCACATCCTTCCAACTCTTCACAAGAACCAGTATGGATTCCTACCTCAACGTGGAACGGAGGACGCACTCTATGATCTGGTTGACCGCATAAAAACTGAAATGAACGAAAAAAAGACCGTCGTCCTGGTGTCGCTGGACATAGAGGGTGCCTTTGACAATGCCTGGTGGCCAGCCCTGAAACATCAGCTCATAGCCAGAAAGTGTCCGAGAAACCTGTACGCTATGGTGAACTCCTACCTCAACGAACGGAAAGTGAAAGTAAATTTTGCCGGAGCTAGCAGCGAAAAGAGGACTAATAAGGGTTGCGTTCAAGGGTCCGTAGGTGGACCTACTTTTTGGAACCTTGTCCTCGATCCGTTGCTACACAGACTCACAGGAGAGGGAGTTTACTGCCAGGCTTTTGCGGACGACGTGGTTCTCTTGTTCTCGAACTATAAAGTGAGTGCATTGGAGCAATCGGTAAATGGTGCCTTGGAACTAGTAGCAGCCTGGGGGGTCAGCAACAAGCTCAGATTCGGGGCAAGTAAAACGAACGCTATGCTGCTGACAAGAAGGCATGTTTTTGAGCCCCCAGACCTGTTTATGGCAGGCACCAGAATAAATCTCGTAGAAGAGGTAAAGCTCTTAGGCCTCACGATAGACAGAAAACTCACCTTCAGGTCACATATATCTGCCATATGCAAGAAAGCTGCAGACATTTACAAACAGCTAGCACGCGCAGCCAAGGTGACGTGGGGTCTCAACGGGGAAATAACGAGAACAATATACGTCGCGGTCATTGAGCCGATTGTACTTTACGCCGCAAACGTGTGGGCCCCAGTGACGGAGCTACAGGTGATCAAAAAACAGTTAAATGCTCTTCAAAGGGGATTCACACAAAAAATCTGTAGAGCTTATCGTACAGTGTCGCTCACGTCAGCAACAATCTTGTCCGGAACTCTCCCACTCGATCTGAGAGTCCAGGAATTTGCTAGTTTGTATCGAATTAAAAGAGGATTCTCTCTGGACTACTTACCACCTCAAAAGGAGCTTGAAAAGCGGGTCCATTACCTGGACCAGCCACATCCCTCAAAATTAATGTCTATCAACTATGAGCTCCTGGAGAACGATGACTCTGGATCTCCTCTCGTCCAAAATATTGCTGGCCCTCAATTATACACAGATGGCAGCAGAATTAACGGAGGCGTTGGTTCTGCCTTGACTTGGTGGGAGGGCGGTCGTGAGTCCATGTTTTCCACTTTTAGTTTAGACCCTTCCTGCACGGTTTTCCAATCTGAACTATACGCTTTGAACAGAGCGGCTAAAATGGTTCTCGACAATGGAGCGACTAGAGTAAACATATTTAGTGACTCTAGGTCCTCCCTCGATGTTTTGAAGAATCCCAAGATTACCCACTGTTTGGCCAAGGAGATAAAGCAGTGTTTGGAGACCATAACGGAACAGGGAAGAGAGATTCGATTCTACTGGCTGAGGGCCCATGTTGGAACGGCTGGAAATGAGAGGGCAGACGAATTAGCTAAAACCGCTGCCAAACAGAAAAATAACACCACGGCAGACTACTGTAGAATACCCATGTCCTATGTCAAAAAGAAAATTAGGGACGAAACTATCCGTAAGTGGCAGGACAGGTATACCACCTCAATTACTGGGCAGGTGACTAAAACGTTTCTCCCAGATGTCCATGAGGCATATCGAATAGTGAGATCAACAAAGTTGACACCTGCCCAAGTTCAGGCGCTGACTGGACATGGAGGGATCGCTGAATATCTGCATCGATTTAAACTAAAAGAAAGTGCAGGTTGCGAATGCGATTCAACTATCAGTGAGTCTGTATGGCACATTATTCTAGAGTGTCCTCGTTTTCTAGCCGCAAGAACCAACTTAGAAAATGTAATAGATGCAAATCTGGATTCCTCAAATCTGAGTGCCATTCTGGCTGATAAAACCAAAAGACCGCATTTTCTGAGCTACATTGAAACCATCTTCAACAGGGCGGCTGAAAGAAACAGCACATTAAATAATACAAATCGAATAGCCAACTTGGAGAATCAACCAAATACTTCCATGGCAGTATCCGAGATCGCCCGTACCACTGAACCGCTCACCATCAATGAGAGGCAAATACTCTTGCATGGAGAATGCGGCTCCAAAGGAATACGGCTACGAAGTGTAGCTCTGTTCATGAACACCAGCAGCGAAAGGCTAGGGATAGCCTTCTGCGAAAGCAAGAACAGCAAATGGCTTACTATTTCACCCGGCTTAGCCTCCCTAATGAATGGCAGCACATCCAAGACAAGTATGCGGCGCAAAACATACGATGCGCTGCCAGAAATGCAACTATTGGGTCGGAGCTGTCGACTACTGCGAACACGCAATAAAACAATTGCAATGTTCTCCAGCGTCGACTCAATGACTTGTTTTGAACAAGCTTGCGGTGTGCTGTCGGACATGGGTGGGCGGGGAGAGGTCGAGGATATGATTCCCAGAATAATTAGTGTGGACGCTGCCGTGGTAGCTTATGAGAAGGGGAGAACGGCAGACCTTATAGGATGCGTCAGGGCTTCAGAACATCATGAAGTCATCGTGTACGAGAACAGGGGTGAGGACTTGAGTTTCCTCAAAAAGCCAGTTCGATACGCGCTAGGGGATTCTCCAAGCGGCTCAGAGCGTCTACAACAAAGATATAGCAACAAAGCGCTCTGCAACAACACCAACAAAACACCGAGAGGGAAAATAAAAAATTAGAATCACGAGGTAGAGTGTGGGCAATAACAGCGGCCATATGCTCAGTAACCGGACTGATTTCGTCACCCTTCAGAAAAAATGTGGTTAAATCTGCTCAAGGATCAGGAGGCGCACAAATACAGTCTCCTCCCCCCAGGTCATCACCAACAAGAGCAGCTATGGGTCACGTTTGTCCGCCGAGGCTTCGACAAGCGTCCACTACCAGAGACCATGTCGTAAATGCTTTTCTCGAGTTTACCGCAGTGGTGGAGGCAACCAGGCAGGTCAACATGCGGAAATGCGAATCCATTCTGCAGACTTACCTGCAAGGAAACGAGCTAATACTGAACGATAGACTCGAAGCAGCAGAAGCAGTCATATACGACAACAACACCTCGAGGGTACTGAGAGGAACCTCTATAACTCGAAGTATGGCTGCTTATAACGCAACTGCAGGATTTGTGTCTCTGGACGAGAGGGAATCCGATCGATGCGGAGTGTTAAAGTTTAAAACTCCTCCAGGGGATTCCCTAGTAGTGGTTGCCAAATGCACGAGAATTATGCTGGACGATAGAATATTAGAGATGGCAAGATCCATTTCTGATTCTGGATCAGACGGCGAAGTTTTTGGAGACTGGCATACTCCGACGTTTCGCTGGACAAATGGCGTCCCTGGTTGCGGAAAAACGACATGGATAGTAGATCAATTTGAAGCGGGCAAAGATCTAATTGTCACCACGACAACCGAAGCAGCAAATGACCTCAGAGGCAAACTATCCTGCCGAATCGGAGGACTCGTCAAATCTAGGGTTCGAACAATGGCGTCCATCCTAGTAAACGGCTTGGGGGAGCGAGAGAGCTGCCATCGACTAATGGTAGATGAGGCTCTCATGAACCACTTTGGAGCCGTTGTGATGGCCGCCCGAATAACTCGAGCCAAGGAAGTCCTTCTAATTGGTGACATAAATCAGCTTCCGTTTATAGATCGTGATAACCTCTTCCCTCTACTCTACAGCCGCCCTACATATATCACGCCCATAAGCCAGGAATTGATGTGTACCCACAGAAATCCAATGGATGTGGCGTATGCCCTCAGCACAGTTTACATTGGCATATACTCGTCCAGGTCGTTCGTGAGATCCCTCGAGATAAAAAGGTTCTCGGGGGCGATGATTCCAAAGTCACTCCCGACACTTTATACCTGGTACACACTCAGGCAGAGAAGGAATCCCTTAAGAACCAGGGATACGGGTCGACCGTGGGATCACGCGTGCTCACGATACACGAGGCACAGGGACTTTCGTGTGCGAATGTGATTGTTGTCAACACAGCAACAAAGAAACATCAAATACATGACAGCGTACCACACGCGGTAGTAGCAATATCGCGTCACACGCATGGTTGCATCTATTACACAGACAACAGTGAAGACGCGATAAGCAAACTAATCAGGAAGGCGGCTGATGAGGGTGAGCAAGGTATTAAGGACTACAACCTGAAAATGGCTATCAGACACAGGGACGCGGCAGTCATGGGTGCTCTCTTGGGCGGGGAGTGTTGCTTGTGATGGAACGAATGCAACATGAGGAAATGTGTGTGCAGAAACATAGAAATAGAATATAACCAATTGACTTTGGACTATTGTACGCTTTATTGGAATCGGCCCATGTGGCAAAGGTTGAGGCGTCATGCACACATAAATGTCCTACAGTCGGTGGCGCTGTGTGTTGGGTTGTTCCGTTCCCAATAAAAAGGTTGACCGGACCAATTGCTGACACACACGTCATACTCGTGAACGGGTGCCTTCTGCTGGGTCAGGTCGGCTCTCCCATCTTGTTGGTGGGCTGGTTTCATAAAGCCTTTGAAATAGAAATAAATAAATAGTGCCTAATTATTATGTAACCTATACTTTTGGTAATAATTTTAGATGTAGTTAATTGTAGTGTGTAACTAGGTTCCCTCTTTACTTTATAAAAATTGACTAGATGTATTATAATTAAAAAACTGTATGACAAGGGCACGGACCTAGAGTCCGTGGAGAAATAATTTATAATATTAAAAAAAAAAAAAAAAAAAAAGTAGGAAATTAACAAACTCAAGACTGTGTGTTTGACAGTTGGACTACTAATCCTTCAATCATAGGGGTAGTTTACAAATATTGTTTTTCTTTGCAGTGTGGAACGCCTTTTTTATCAACTATGTAAATCAGGACATCCCACATTGGATCCATTAGTGCTGACACCTGATGAAATAATGACAATAAGAGAAGACAAAATAATACATCCACAGTCCCTAGCCACTTTACTAAATGGTCACAGGTAATATTTGTTTTAACTATTAACTATGAGTTACACAAGTTTACACTCTTTGTATGACTACTATTTAATACAATTATAGCTGGCGAAAACAAGACTATACATACACACCCTTTGTTTTAGACTCTGGGGTAATGTCTTGTATGTTATGTGACAACAATTTAATGCCGACTTGGTGGGGCTACTGTTGTGCTCATACGTATCTAATTTTATTACTGTCACACAAATTTATGTTATCCCACAAACTTGATCATCCATGATGAAAACATTTTTGGCATTTCACCTGGTGGTAAGCAAGGATGCGACCTATGGAGCAGGCATTCACTGGAAGACATCCAGGTCAATCCTGTGTGTTATTTGGGTCTATCTAAGGCATCTACATCATTCCAAAATTGTCAGGAACCTTAAGCCTTTACAGTTGAACATTAATGGGTTCGAACCTTTACTCTGCATTTGCGATTTCATTTCCTGATTGTGAAATTGTTTTAAATATATGATAATACATAAATATTATTTTTGTTTTAGTTCGGGCATAGAATGTCTTATTCTCAGTCAGCCTCGGTGGAAGAAATCCCAACGATGTACATTACATTCGTTAGAGGCTGGCACAGCTCGAGGCTGGGGTGGGCAAGCGACGAGTGCGAGCACTGGCGCCGCGGGTGGGGCCAGTGCGCCGTGTGGCTGGGGCTGGGCGGCGTGGGGCTGGGGCGGCCGGGCGGCCTGGCGCGCTGCCTGGGACGCCATGCGAGCCTCCGCCCGCGACCACGTCACCCTCGTACACTTCAACACGTTGCACGACACTCTCCATAACTACTTAAGAAAACATCGTTTCTGTGCTGATTGTAAAACTAAGGTGAGCTTTTTAACTATTTTTTCAATTTAGTTATACTTCTATACACATACAATGGCAGACTTAAACCGGGTGGCATTCTCTAACATTTTGTTGACTGTTATCAATTCATAATCGACTTCTTCAACCCATATTTGCCTGTTGTTGGACACAACTCTGTTCAGTAGCACGCTACAAATGAGATTACCTGGCAACTAGCAATTTTGCAAGTTCTACCATGATTTATTCTCCGGTTAGGACTCAATATTAAACTATTTATTGAAAAAGATCAGTCATCATATAATTGGTTTTAATACAAAATGTACTTTCTATTATTTTAGGTAGTGGCAGTCTAGAGGTTAATCTAAGTTTATGTTTTAAAGCATAGCTTGTCTTTCTTACATAATACATGTATAAACATTATCATTATCAATCAAAGAGTAACTGATATAAATTGTAGAAAAATCATTGTTATCAATGTTTTTTTGCTTACTGATACAATAACGTTACTTTCGAAAAACAAATAATTTACAAATGTGTCACAATTTTTATCTGTGACCTATCTATCATAAGCAAATATTTGTCATCAATCATCCTCATTTCATTCTTTCTGTTTGAAAGCCTTATGATTTGATCAGTACTAGAAAGAAAGATTGAACATTTTTCCTAAAAATTCCATGAAGTTTTATCAATTCACTGTCCCATAGAAAGTTGTTATGAATTTATAAAGACAAACTGTGATAAGCTAATGATTACAAGGCTGTGTTGTTCAAGGTTAATTTATGTTAGCTTCAATGGTTACTCGCTGTGATAACAGTATTATGTTGCCTGCAGGTATTGCGAGCTTATCAGCTGTTAGTGGAAGAGAAGGAACCACAAAAAGAGAAGGGATATGTTGGCGCGCTATATGGTGGTATCAAGCGATGCCTTTTAGACAAGCACCTGCACCTGCAAGCTAAGACTGACTACATCGCGCACCTTATAGCTAGAGCGGAGCCTGAACTTCTTGGAAACCACAGAGAGAGACATGCTAAGACATTGGAAATTGCACAAGAGGAGGTATGTATGTCAGGTGTTGGATCAAACTATGGAGAGTATGAAGCAAGAATAAACCAGTGTGCAGTGTTGTGCTTCAATAATTATTATTGCCTCTTCCCCAGCTTGACTATTTAGGTACTTTAACGGAACAATTATGATTGCAGGTACTTATCTGTCTCGGCATATGTATTTATGAGCGACTGCAACGCATCTCTCTAAGGCTACGGGAAGAAGAAGGCACCTGTCAAACACTCGCGCAGTTGCGGTCGAGGCACTTTATCGCAAGTTTGAAACTGCTGTGGAACATAAAACCGGCGTCTCAAAATTGCAACTTCTATATGATGAAATTACTCAGGAGGAACAGACCAGGCAACAGAGAAAGGAACAGAAGAAACTCAAACGGCGCAAGAAGAAGGAACGACAGGCTGTTGAGAGCAAATGCAAAGTAAGTTTAAGTTCATTTTGTTATCTATCAAAGTATATTTATTTCCTGGATAAATTTATTTAACCATTCAATGTATCACAGGAGGCTGATTCAGAAGAACCAGATGAAAAGTGCCAATGCGAGGAATGTTTATTAGAGGAACGAGACACGCCGACGGATCTGCTTTCACCACGCGACTTCATTAATCACCAGTGTTACGAAGCCAGTGGTGACGGGTGTCAGTCGTGTCACGATGATACTACAAAACGTCGCTCACCCAAAAAAACGGGCAAGAAACGGACCAAAAATGGGAACCTCTCGCCGAACGAGCATTCTCAAGACTGTGGCTACTCATCTGGAAACAATGGAGGTTGCTGCGAAACTATGTCTGGGAGTTCCTCTCTCATGAGTTCACCCGAAGGTTCAGAAGTGGCGTGTTCCGAAGGGTTCTGTAATCATGAGAGAGGCGACTGTTTAGATTTGGCTAAGAATGATAAGACTTTGTGCTCAGGTTTCACACTTTCTCTACAGGAAATGTTAATGGTAAGTTATGATGATATTCAGTTACCAATTATACTATTGTATGTCAAAGTAATTTTGTACTAAGTTGTTTGTATTGTTTTTAGGACACATGTTCATCAGACGAAGAACAGGATACAAGTTATATTCCTATAGAAGAGGTAATGGAATTTAAATCACGTAGAAATATAACGGAAAAAAGACAGGAGTTACGACAGAACCTCCGCCAAAAATTCGCTCAGCTATGTGTGAACACGCCGCAGACACAGCCGCTAAAACAAGACAAGCAGCCCGCTTAGAGGCGACACTTACCTGTCATCATTCAACTGCACTTTGTAAAACCAGTCATGTTATTGAAGGATAGCTATATACACTGCTTTTATGGTCTGTCGATAAAACACCTAATATTACTAATATCCAGGAGTTCAGTAAGTAATAAGTTGTGATCCGGTCTGAACATATTGATTATGTGCATATTGTAACAATTAGAGCCTCTACATTCAATAGAAACTAATGTTAATTACATGTATTGTAGCATACCAGGTTAAGTTCTTCAGATACATTGTCTGTCTCCCTGCTTACTATAGTATAATAAATTGTGTTAAATATTCAGTAATCTGCATTATCTCTACATTAGATGAAGATTATTAAGCAATCAGTGCAAATAATGAATAGACTGACATATTGTTCTCATGTTACACAAACGGATATTATATTTTCTTGAATAATCCGTATCTACAAAACCATCATGTGAAAATATCAACATTATGCAGAATCAAAGGAAAGGTTTTCACTTCCTAAATCAATTTATAATACGCCATTTATAATAGATCCGTATCATTATGTATTGTAACCATAATGCAATAGATTAGAATAAAAATGTTGGTGGTTGCAAATTCTAATATAGTTCATAAATTATTTGAATTTGAAAATCTTTCGAGTGTTAAAATTGTATTTGGTGACATAGTGCCTGGCATTGGAAAACCTGCAAGTGCATGTTTGAATGATTCCAAAAATACAATGGATTGACTGGATTAAAACCAGCATTTAATATATTTACTATTTAAATTGTTAGAAAGCTTAGTAATGAAATATTTAAAGTAGCATTTTTTGATCAAATTATTTTATTTCAATGCTTTATGTGACTCAACATTATGTGGTTCATGATGAATTATTGCTCGTTATCAAAAAGCTTCGAAAAGCAAAAGGTCGGGAGTTACCTTGGCTGTTTCGCCATTGTTATTAAAGTCGGAAAACATTTGTAAACTCAGTTTTAAATATACTATATAATACAGTGATAACAAGTTTTATTTACAACATATTATGCAATTCTATTATACAGACTATTCATATCTCTATTTACAATTGCCCAATGCAAAGTGTTGCATTAGTACCACCAAAACCAAATGAATTTTTTAATGCAACTCTCCTGTCTACAGTCCATGGCTTTGATTCTTTAGCAACATAATTTAAATCATCAACAGGTTCTTCTAAATTGATTGTTGGTGGTATTATTCCTCGATGACAGGCCAAAATTGTAAATACTGCTTCTAAATTGCCTGCAGCACCTAATAAATGGCCATGAGCTCCTTTCGTGGATGAAATTAATATATTTCTGCTATGATCCTTAAACAGAGTTTTGATGGCTGTTGCTTCAATACCATCTCCTATAGGAGTTGATGTAGCATGGGCATTAATATAAGTAACTTTCTCTTTATCAATGCAGCCATCTCTCAATGCACGGCTCATTGATAACACAGCCCCACTTCCGTCATCTCTAGGAGCAGTTATATGACTTGCATCTCCTGATAATCCATATCCTAGAATTTCTGCATACATTTTTGCATTTCTCTCTAATGCATGCTGGTACTCTTCCAAAACTATAACAGCTGCACCTTCACCCATGACAAAGCCATCTCGTTTCTTATCAAATGGCCTAGATGCTTTTCTCGGTTCATCATTGAATGATGTGCTTAGTGCTCTTAATCTACTAAATCCTGCTATGGCTAAAGGGCTGATACAAGACTCTGCACCTCCACAGACCATTACATCTGCATCACCATTTCTTATAAATCTAAACGCATCACCTATTGAATGTGCACCTGTTGCACATGCTGTAGACACAGCGTGATTAGGTCCTCTGAAGCCATATTTAATGCTTATGTGACCAGCTGCCATGTTAGGTAATATTCTAGGAACAAAGAAAGGGCTAACTTTGTTGTAACCTATTTTCAATGCCTCATTAGTATCACAGACATCTTTCAAATCTATCATGCCCATCCCGATAGCCACACCTGTGGACTCTCTGTCAATATCAGACTTTGGTAACCATTCTGCATCAGCTAATGCTTCTGCTGTTGCAACAAGGGCGAGACATGTAGCTGGAGCCATGGACTTTAAGTTGGACTTGGATAGTGCTTTTGTCACTTTATCATCTTTCTCCAAAGGTACTAACCCGGCTACTCGACAAGGTAATTTAGAGTATTCATTGCCTTGCAGACTGACTATGCCACATTGACCTTTCAAAATATTTTGCCATGCTAGTTCTATGCCTGTACCAAGAGGAGATACCACTCCTAGTCCTGTTACAACAACTCTTCTTCGCTGTGGAGACTGAGTCATTGTTCTTATATGATGAATTAATTTTGGCGACATTATTAAAATTTATAGTCAGAGGTGACACTCAAAATATACAAGGAATAACAATATTAAGTAATACTTTCATAATATTACTTTCAGGGGTGTTTAGTTAAACAAGGGTTTGCTTTGGGAAATTCGCTGATTTAACTTAATAAAAACTATAGATCAATTTTTATCATTAAACTTATATGAATTCTAGTTATTACGATAGGTTAGAATTTCTCGATAAAAACATTAGTGTTGCGCTTGCGATGATGCGAGTAGGTTTGACACTTTGCATCATAGAGCTTGGCAAGGCATTGTGGCATTTGACTGGCCCGATTAGTTTGCTCTATCCAGGGTAATATGCCTAGTTTTACTACCAAGTAAACACAAATAATATAGATTCAAAAAGTCTTAACTGATTTACTGCTTAACCGGCGAAAAATTGTATCTTATATAGTTTTTATATTTTTATTTAAATATCATAATTTATATAACTACATAAATATTTACAACTTAAAATTAACTACAACTAAACTATTAAATAAAAAGAAAGTAAAAGAAAACAACAAAAATTATACCCTTAATTTAGGCGTCAAAGTATTCGTCCGCATCACTATCACAGGGGAAAGTTCCCAGAAGACTGGCAGCATTGCCACGTTGAATGGCAATGCTTATTTTCTGTCCGACGAAAAAGCCAGCCCTCTGGTCACGTGTAGAGTCGATTAGCCTACGGGCGATGTCTTTAAACACTGAGTGTGGGACCCCATGGCCCAAGTGTTTCGACCCCAAACGGCTCAAAACAGTAGTTACCCACTAGATTTGAATATTTACGCCGTTTGAGGGCCTCTGCCGCGGAAGCAGCTGCACCAACGCATGCAGCGGTGCTTAAAAGATGTGACGTCCACTGCTGGATAAAGGCCTCCCTCGTAGTCCTCTACGTCGAACGACAACAGTTACTTTCCTCTTTGACGACACCTGCATCCATTAGCTCCCTGCTTAAAGACAATGCTTAAAAGCCTTGAAATCAAATATATTTATTTGACACTTATCTGCTGACTTGACAGATGTTTGTAATTTCTGATGAATTTCTGTGATGTGATGTTTTGTTTTGTTTACATTTGACCATGACATTGACAGAAAGAGAGCAACAAAGGTGCTTTTTTTGAAAGTATGCCTTGTCGAATTGTCGATGTCGAATAATTTTACAGTTATTCAACACGAAAAGTATTTTTTGTAGGCTGTAAGCTCATTGTGTGAAAATTTGTATACTAAGTAAAATTTGATATTTGTATAACTTTAATCTTATTAGTCAACTATGGTTTGTACAGCTATAATAAATAATTTCAAATTAATAGTTCCAATTGCGGTAGTTTTGGGAGCTTACTTATATCATATTAAATTAAAGTTATACTATGAAGATTTTTTAAATGACACCAATGAGGAAAACGCTGGTATTTTTACTGCAACTAAATTAGCACAATTTGATGGGGAGACACAGAGTGATTTATATTTGGCAGTATTAGGGACAGTTTTCAATGTTACAGAAGGAAATAGACATTATAAAAAGGGTGCTGCATATCATTACTTTATAGGTAATTATTATGGTAATAAATATTAGGAATCCTTTAAAACTAAACTAAAACAAAGTTCTTATATAATTTAGGTAAAGATGGGTCTAGAGCCCTTGTTACTGGTAATTTCAAGGATGAAAGTGATGAAAAAGATCATGTAATTGACTTATCTTGCAATGACTTATTGAGTCTAGTCCACTGGCGGAATACATTCAAGAAAAAGTATATAGAAGTCGGTAAGTATGCATATAAATAAAATCCAATAGAAATTATAGATTTGTTTATTAAACTATTTAATGTTTTAAATAAAATTAAGAACAGTGTTTAATAAAAAAACTAATAAATGGGTAATTTCAATTTAGAACACCTAATTTTAAATTGAATTAAAACAATTTTTAAGGCCAATATTTACCAGATAAACTTGAACAATTTCTTCAGGTGTCCTCGTAGGAAGATTCTATGACATTGGTGGTCAAGAGACTGTTTACATGAAGGAGTTTGTTAACAAAATAAAACAATGTGAAGTGGAGAAAGAAGCGTCAAGAAGAGAAGACCAGAAATATCCACCTTGTAATATTGCATGGTCTGCTGATGAGGGCACTAAAGTTTGGTGTACAAAATCTAGGTCTATACACATTTTAAAATTATTATATTTTGTGTAGGTGTATGACTGGAAAGTGTTGCAAGTGGTGACTACAAGGGGCAACTAGTTAATATTTGACCAAGACAAGATAATACTACTGGGGCATTATACTTTTATAGAACACTTATAACCTTTTAAATGTTCAATACCTATGTTAAGTTGTATTTAATTATAACACACTATACATTCTCGTAGATTCATTTATTGCAAAGATTTGTTAACAGATCTATTGATACAGAGGACATATTTTCACTTTCTACAATTACAGAACCCTAGAGATATTTATGTACTTGTATGTAGCAATTAGGTTTAAAATGTATAACTGTTAAATCTTAACATACATACTAATATAATACAAGCTGTGGGCTATGGCTGTTTTGATACTATAAATGGGTACGTTGAGACACATGTAAAAACAACTTTCAATATAATACAGATTTAAATTGTTTGTGTTTTCCAGTGGTGGTGTTAAAAGGGGCTGGATAGGAGTTCCTCGGCAACTCTTCACTCCTGGAGTAGAAAAACCTCGCTGCATCTGCTTTAATGACGTAGATGGCGATTCTGTAGGACTTATAAAAGAATATGACAACTGTCCAAAATCTTCTACAGAATGTTTAGTAAAAACTTGAATGTTTTATCCTATTTCACATTTCAGTAATATTATTATTTGTTGAGAATGTTAATCTTTATCATTCCACTAGTTACTTATAAGTATTCCAATAAATATGTTTTATGAATGTTTTCTTGAATCTCAATGTTTGAATTTTAGCATAATAATAACAAATAAAAAGTCTGCAATTACTAACAGCTGAAGTTTATTTTGTACGAACACTGATACACATGTAGAATAATACCACAGGGTAAGGTACCATAAGTCTTTTTGAAATCATTACACTTTTTCTTTAAGTGGCAAAGAAGCTTCTGTTTTTACTACTTCATCCAATTCCAAACACTCAATAGTTTTAAGAAACACTTGCATTGGTATCTTTTTTCTATTCAAGAAGGATTTGTTTCCCAGAAGTTTCTTTATTTTAGCTCTACGCTTCTTTATCTTTTCTTTAGTGTATTGATTACCTAATTGGAATGTTAACAGTCTTTTCACTTTCCTCCCACCAATAAGTACTTCAGTCTCACTATTCTGAGCCTTTGGTTCCTCGTAAATAGTTTCTAAAGTCTGTGATAATGACTTAACTTTTTTGTTCAGATACAAAGCTTCAATTTGCTTTGGGTTTGCATTTTCAGTCATAATACGTTTACTTGGCTTCATATTAACTCTACGATTCGATGATTTACTTGCTTCGGGTGTTATAGACTTCCTTTTTCGTAAAATTCTGGATGGCAACTCAGATACTTGAGGTTTATTTTCTGCGACTTCAGGAGAGGGTTCGTCGATCTCCATTATATCTAAATGTGCCATTTTGTTTGGCAGCTCACTGTAAAAGGAAATTAATTATATTGCCTATCGCAACTACATAAGTAACCACATAAAATGTAATTGAAACAATAATATAGATCATACCTAGATGCGTCCATCATTTTAGCTTAAAATCAATGACTCGCCTTGCATAATTCATATATAATTATTTTCATTAGAAACAAGTATCCAGCTAATTCAGTAATCGAAACTTTTAACAGTTTACTAGATAGACAAAATGCAATAACTGTAGAACATAAACAAAACGGCGCGTTCCACGAAAATCGAAATGTGGCAGTCAAGGCAACTGGCAGATAACAGCTGGAGCTGGCAACTTGAATTTAAAACCGAAAAATGTCAGTGCTGCCATTTTTCAATAAAAAGTATATTAAAAAAATTGTTGACTAAAAATGGTACATAATTAAACTGAATTTTGTCTTGTTCCGTAAATAAAACAATGCGACTTTTTCTATTCCGTTTTAATCATAATGATGCATTTTTTAAATATTAGATTACAGATGCGATAATCAAACGCAGTCAATAAAAGATTGCTTAGTAAAAATTGATTTCAACCTACTCTTATTTTGAAGTCGGTAAATAATGCAAAACAAACTGGAAAGTAGAAGGACGGTTGAGCTTAATTTAGTCATTTTAGAAGTACCTAATGTTTATTTGTTTAATTACAAACGTTAGGTAGGTATTTGAGTGTGAAATATTTAGAATTTCTTTTTGTTCTATTTTCGGGTATTTTGTGGTTCTCAGTCAGTTTTCATGAATTGCAAGACATTGTTGAGTACTGTACTATAAAGAAATGGCAGTTTTATTTTTAAACACACTTAAAAAAAGGAGAAAGTTTGTCAATCGACTAACTACCCTCAAAATCATAGAGAAGTTTTATTTTGGTTTTCGAGGGTACCTACTTACAAAACTCTAGTATAATGAGGATACCAGGAGGAATGAAACACTTGTCGTTTATAACGATTTATTGTACAAAACAATAATACATTAAAATGTACAGGTATGTTTAAACTTTTGGACTCAGGTCCCAAACACTGGACAATCATGTAATTATCCTTCCCTTGCAGACACCATATTGCTCGTCGAGGCGTCAGCACTAATAGAAATGACTCGACTCTAGATAAGCAAACTAGATTATAAGATAATAAAAATATAACAATAAATTAATGAGTGCTCTCAACTTAAGTACACATCGTCTATCGCACTGCTTTTGTCGACGGGCACCATGTAGTCTTTAATTAGAACAACGTAATATAACAAATTGATTAAACCTCCTAAGCATACTGTAGTATATACACATTATGAACAACATTATGTCCCCTCTGGTGAACTAGCGCAGGTGAGCAGGTGGACGGGGGGCGGCGCCCCGGCCCGCCTCGTCGCCGCATCCACCACTCGCGCCTCTCCTCCACCGCTGGCCCTGGCCTATCTAGCCTAGCCTAATCGTAGTCTTACGTGACGCGTTTTATAATTCGCACACATCTAAAGCCAATTAACATTACATCGGGAGACGAGAGCGGTAGAAGTAGCTGAGAGAAGCGGGTGAGGAACTATGATTCGGTGGCGTTTACCACTTGTCAATGACCACCTCGTTCGCTGCAAAACAACGAGAGTGTTAGTGTTGTGTGCGCTCGAGCGGGGGCTGCCGTCCGAACTTACTAGCTCTTATGCAGATATCACAACCGTGTCGTAGTTACATTAAATGTGTAGTTTCACTGCGGGATCACAACAAACAATGAGTGTTCATGGAATATGTGCGTGCAGTGGCGCTGCGACGGCGTTCCGGCGCTTACAGCTTCCACGTCGGCTGGGCTGGGGACACAAGGACAACACCACGTTAGAGCATGCGGGGATCGTGCGCGGAACACGCCACGGACCGTTCCTGCCGTGGCGAACCATCAACCAAGTTTTGCAATTTACAAACAATAGTTTTGTTGTTTTTTCTTGTTCATCATTTTGTAACCTTTCTTTAATTAGTTTTAAGACGATACATTATCGCTTTGGTTACTAATAAAGTTGAAAATGGTGTTCAAACTGTAACTTGCATGTTACAGACTGAAGCACTATTTGCAACGGAAATCGGATCTAGTTGGTTGCAAAACTTGTTATGTCAAATTGTTAGGTAGGAATAGAATAGTGATTAAAAATTATTTGTATGCTAAGGACATGGAGTATAAATACATAGGGTGGTATAGATTTCATAACCAAGGGGCGTGTCATGTAGTGTCACTACTGGAGTGTGGAGGGAAATAATTCAAACATTAATATTGTTGACTATTTTAATATGTAAAATGTATAAACGACTGTACATTTCAATAAGTTAATCTGATAAACGCAACAAGTTCCAGGAGTTCAGGGGACATTCACAACAAAGGTTTTTGAGCATGCCCTTAATTGTGCAGTGTAAGAGTGGGATAAACGTTTGGTAGATAGACAAAGAAGGCAATAGGTAGTTTCAAGATATCTCTAATACTATGCTGGCACGTCAATGTGCCGTGTTGGTGATATTGTTCGACAGGTAATGTGTGTTGCATATAGAAAAGACACATTAAATAAATAAACTATCGACGGCTGCATCCTTTCAATTGTGACAAATTGATTATTGTAGATACGGAAAAGGTACACATAATTTATAATAATATTATACTATAAATATAATGTATTGTTAATGCATTATATAAAAAAAAAACTCACTGCACTCTTTATAAGTCATAAACCATGCAATGTTTACATGCAATTTTTATTATTTTAAATTATATATAGTAAAAAAAACACATACGCACGTACTGACCTTGGACCACACTAACAAATTTTGGATCAGGTTTCATAAACTTAAAAAGTAATATTATGTCTCAATGGTAAAATATAATTGATATAAATGGTTATTTCAATAAATAGGAGACAACAAAAATTACATCAAGTGACGAATATATAAATAGAAGTGCTATTACCGTACATGGGATCATTAAGCCGATTTAAGTTTGTACATACATAAGACTATAATTATTGCTTTTTTTCAATAAATTATTGTGTCGTAAATAAAGTAAAAAACATACATTTTACACAGTACAAAAATGTTAATAGTATGTAATAATTATATTGAATCAAGGCTTGACATGATATTGTTTCGATGTAATACATGAAGGTCACATGTAGCTCGAGTAAATAGTTGAGGACATATTACTTGAGCCACGAAGGGTGCACATGGTGGAATGTACACACGGGCTCTAGCTACAGACGTAACTAAACAAAGTGACTGCCAACCTGTGGCTATGCACTGCGCAGTGTTACTGCTGTGTAGCATCCTGCCAGTGAATATAGTCCACCATGTTCACACTAAGGCATAAGGTTAGTTCAGCCTAGGGACACATTCATAAAAATTTGTTAATTAATATTAGCTTAGATTAATAATAAGAGCGCTTCTGAGTACCAAACAAGGTTTGATATAAGAAAAACGAAATGCATATAGGAATGTTAAGAAGCGACCACAGTGAAAGGACAGAGGAGAAAGACATTCTTTTGATTACTACCTATGCTGAGAGAATAATTGTAACCACGTCCCTAAAATACACTTACGATAAATTACACTAAGCTAACAATGCACATTACTATCAATTAATAGTATGTTTTATAACATGTCTGCTGTCCAATTGGACAAGGTACTGAGCTATGTGCGAGTTCATTATAATAATATTTGAATGAGGAGCTTTCCATGCTACTGTATACAAAATGTATCAAATGCAATTAATCTAACTTATAAATACTTTCAATAAAACCAATTTTTGGTGTTTCATTAGTTAGCATTTATAATAATGAAGGTCTTCACAGCCTCTTCACATCAAATAAGTGTATAATATTATGTATATGTACTCAGTAAAAGGAAGAAAGTAGAACTCACGAATTTGTAAAAAAATGAGCTCCAATAAATTTATTGTCTCGCACATACAAAATGCATAATCACTAGAGCGGGGCGCAGTGCGCTGCCACGGCTCTGTAAGATCTACCTAAGCAGTACAGACAACTACACTTAGATCGCTAGTCCGGCGGCACTCACTACGCACTGTCACTCACATCGCAGTCCTCGCTGTCCAACACCGGGCCGGGGACGTGCACTGGGGGCACTAGGGCATCACTTCACACCATGTGCGCCAGAATTAGCATTCCAAACTGTTAGATGACTGAAACTGTGGTGAGCGCGGCTCAAAGTCTATCGGTTTCCACAGTTAAATTCCATGCGCTACCCACACCAGAAATAACTTATCATGAGAATAGAAAATGTAAACTGTAACATGAATAGAATAGGTGGGTGGCGCAGAAATCGGTAGGAAGGTATTAGATGTGAATCAAACGGGGTGGTGGCACGGCACACGGGGCGGGCCGCTTATAGGGGGCCGTAGATGATGATGCCAAAGAACACGGCCCACATGACCACAATCCATTGCATGCCGTCCAGCCAGTGCATCAGCTGCGAACGCTTCTCACCGTCGGAGATCTTGCGCGCCACGAACTTCAGAACCTCGTCCAGCAGCACCACAGGCACTGAGAACTTCATCACCGTCACCCACTCGTCGACGGACAGCGGCGTCACTTGGAACACGGCCTGCGGACATATCAGTGTTACTTGCCTGGCCTCGCCTCACCTGCCTCACCGCGGCGACAACGAGACCGTGATACTCACCGACAGCACCTCGACGTACAGGATGACGAAATGAAGGGTGAAGGAGAGAGCCATGGAGCCCACCAGCCACATGTTGGACCAGGGCGGCATAGTCACGAGCGACTGGTTCTCAGACAAACTGTTCATGGCGTTCAACATTTCAATTGTTACTAGTACAGACAAGGCCATGGTCATAGGGTGAGGGTCAGTGAAGATTTTGCAGTCGATGCCCTAGAATAACAGAAAATGTATTGTATTAAAAAGCATTGAAATTGGTTTCAAATTGAAATAACTTAAAATGGAATGTATATTGTTAAAAACTTTACCTTGAACTCATCACCTCCACTGAGGCACTGTAAGTGGTGGGTAAGCTGCCAGTAGGTCATTTGTGGGCCATAGGGAGAGTACATGAACCACCACGAGGCAGCGCCGACGGTAGCGGCACCGACGTAACCACCAATAGCCATGTACCTGGCGTAAACATATGATATGAGCAAGTTGCACACTTCAAAACATTTACACTATTGAAGTTGTAAAGTAGTCGAACATGTTATACCTGAAGAACAGCCATCCAGAGATCAGACCCTCATCAGCCTTACGGGGTGGTTTGTCCATGATGTCAAGATCAGGTGGGTTGAAACCAAGGGCAGTGGCGGGCAGACCATCAGTGACAAGGTTGACCCACAACAGTTGGACAGGGATCAGAGCTTCAGGGAGACCCAGAGCAGCAGTCAAGAAGATGGACACTACTTCACCAATGTTGGAAGAGATCAAGTAACGGATGAACTGCTTCATGTTGTTGTAGATGGCACGACCTGAAGAGTAGACATAAAATCATATAGATCTGGTTTGTAGATCAACCAGAAGGATAAGTTCTTTAGACAAATACTTGCCTTCTTCAACAGCGGCGACGATGGAAGAGAAGTTGTCGTCGGCCAACACCATCTCAGCGGCAGACTTAGCGACGGCGGTACCAGATCCCATAGCGATACCGATTTCAGCCTTCTTGAGAGCGGGGGCGTCGTTCACACCATCACCAGTCTGTAACGCCATAATGCACATGTCATCGACTTCACAAACCACACTACTATTACTGTTCTAACAATTCTTCGATGATAATTTTCGAGTGGTCAAGTTTATAAACACTTTGCCTTAACGTAAACAAAACACTACCAATATGTATTGCAAAGTGTAAACATTCAATAACATTAGCGAATGGTGTTCCAGTAAATTATGAAGATATCGTGAACAATGTAACAGTTACTTTGCTTATTTGTTATTATACTTAGGATTTTGTGTTCATTTAAAATATGTAATAAATTGTGTTAAAGTTTATTAGTCATCATGTATATATGTATTGTAACAAAAAATGGATATGTTTCGTACCATAGCGGAGATTTCGTTCATGCTCTGCAAGAACTCTACGATCTTGGACTTGTGGGCGGGCTCCACACGGGAGAACAAGCGAGCCTTTGCGCAGGCGGCGCGCTGCTCAGATACGGGCAAGTCATCGAATTCACGACCAGAGAAAGATTTGCCAGTAGTGTCTTCATCTTCACCGAATACTCCAATACGTCTGCAATACATATGCTCTGTTAAATCTTCAGAAATTTCAGCCTAGCATGTGGAATGTGGATATCTTTTAATTGATAGATGAGGGGATGAAAAGGGATCAACAATACAATACTAGGGGAAATTGGTATAAAAATAATTTTTACCTGCAAATAGCTTCCGCGGTGGCTTTGTTGTCACCAGTGATGACGATGACTCTGATACCAGCAGCACGGCAGCGGACAATTGAGTCGAATACTTCTTTACGTGGAGGGTCCAACATGCCGACTACACCAACGAATGTAAGGTTGACTTCATATGTGTAGAATTTGGTAGAGTCTCCGAGATCCATTTCGTCAGGCTTCAGTGGGCTGTCAGCAGTAGCAAGGGCCAAGCAACGGAGTGTGTCGCGACCAGTACCGTACTGGCGGGTGAGGTCCAGAATGCGGTTCTTGAGGGTAGAGTTCAGAGGAACCTTAGCAGTTCCAACACGTGCGTGCGTGCAACGGTCGAGCACACCTTCAGGTGCACCCTTAACAAACAGTTTGGGTCCATTGCCGAGACGAGAAGGCTTAAGAGGTGTGCAGTAAGTGGACATAGATTTCCTGTCACGAGAGAATTCAAGAGTGAACTCTTTCTTCCATTTAGTTTCGATTTCTTGGCGTACAACAATAGCGCAAGAGCGGCGGTCCAGTCCAGTCTTGGGGACATTGAAGGGGTTCATTTTCTCAGCGAGTACAATAAGGGCGGTTTCAGTGGCTTCACCAACCTTTTCGAATGCCTGTTTGAATTCGTTGAAGTCAATAGCGGAGTCATTGCACATAACGCAAATGGTGCCCAATTCGTGAAGAGTGTCAAACTCAGCAGCCTTGATCTTCTGACCCTTAAGGTAAACATCGCCAATAGGCTCGTAGGTGGAACCAGTGATTTCAAATTCAAGGAAGCTGCTGTCGCTACCTTCGATCTTCTCAAAGATGAACATACGGGAAACGGACATCTGGTTAGTGGTTAGAGTACCGGTCTTGTCTGAGCAAATGACAGATGTGCAACCAAGGGTCTCCACAGAGGGCAGTGACCTCACGATAGCGTTCTTCTTAGCCATACGTCTGGTACCAAGAGCGAGACAAGTGGTGATGACAGCGGGCAGACCTTCAGGGATAGCGGCGACAGCCAAAGCGACGGCAATCTTGAAGTAGTAGACGGCACCTTTGATCCAGCTTCCGCCATGAGCGGGGTCGTTGAAGTGACCAATGTTGATGGCCCATACAGCAACGCAAATAACTGAGATGACTTTAGACAACTGCTCACCGAATTCGTCCAGTTTTTGCTGCAAGGGTGTCTTAATCTCCTCAGTTTCGGACATTTCTGTACGGATCTTACCAATGGCAGTGTTGAGACCAGTGCCGATGACCACACCACGGGCTTTGCCAGCGGCGACATTGGTACCGGAGAAGAGAATGTTCTTTTTGTCCTGGTTGACGGCGCGGGGGTCGGGAATGGCATCTGTGTGCTTGATGACGGAGACAGATTCTCCGGTCAAAATGGACTGATCAATACGGATAGTGGTCGAGTAAATCTTAATAAGACGGATGTCAGCGGGGATTTTGTCACCGACTGACACCTCAACGACATCACCGGGTACGATTTCTTTGGCTCGGATTTTCTGTACACCGGATTTGTCTCCTCTGACTACTTTACCCATTTCGGGTTCGTATTCTTTTAAAGCTTCGATGGCGGATTCGGCATTTCTCTCCTGCCATACTCCTACTACAGCGTTAGCGATTAGAATAAGTAAAATAACAAAAGGCTCTACGAAGGCGGAGAATGCGTCTTCGTGTTCTTCAAATAAAGCTAAAACCTGTAAAACGAAAATAAAATTGTTAAACACTTAAGCGACATACATTACTTTTACGTGTATAATAAGCAAATAAATAATACTTACGAATGAAATAATAGCGGCTAACAGCAAAATCTTTACTAAAAGGTCATCGAATTGTTCCAGGACTAACTGCCATATACTTTTGCCTATAAGAAAAAGAAATACAATTAGTAAATTATTACTAATTTAGTTAACTAAATTGAGCGGATTATGTCGAGACAGTTGTTTATTTTAGGAAAGGTTTTACAACAAAATTGTCCAATTATTTATTTATTTAAAACACTTTATGGATAATTACACAGTGGCGGACTTTAAGCTGATTGGCATTCTCTACCAGTTAACCGAAGGGATCACCCTGCATGAACTGCATCTCTGGGGCTTTGCATCAGCAGAGAAGTGTTACAGCGGGTTTTAAAGAAGTGCCAAGGATCTAATAATAAATATTGGTACAAAATGGAATTATAAAAAAGTTTTCTGTTTGTCCATGTTTTGAAAATCTGACGACAACATTCAACAAACCGCGATTTTTAACACAGTCGACGTAAACAAAAAGTGTCTCACGGCACTGACTTGATACCTTTATTTAACATTTTTTGAATGGATATAGATTCGAGAATATCGTTGGATGTAAAATCAACTTGGCTGTAGTAAGTAATCATAGTGCGTATTAATACTTCGAGTACCTACTGCATAATTAACATACAATTGGGTATAATATATTATCTATTAAGTATAGTATTTTAGTGTCGTATTTCAGTTATGCATAGATTCACTAATACACCACATATTTATAGTTTTCGAGTTTAAAAGGACTTTACTGCAATTCAGTCACAGTTGATAAGGAATCGGAATATTATGTCGTTTAATGTGGGTCAGTCAGTGGTTAGCTTTGAAATATTCATCAAATCGATGCGCTTACCCTCCTCCGCAGGCAGTTCTGAAAAGAGAAAAGAACCATAATTAGAATTTTGAATAAAAGATCAAAGGAGTTAATGTAACAGGCGATAAACTAGTCAGAACAGGCATGCGATCTATGTCGGCAGTTACGAGCGTACATAAATACACTAGAGCAGTCGGAGCGAAAGGCAGCGGCCGCGGCGCCGGTAGCCCGGCACAGAGGTTTCCGATCAACCATTTCGGCCAATAATAGTGACGTCAAATGCAAATATCTACGTATTTCAACATCGCTGGTCGGTGTCTACTCGTACTCTACGAGGCTTATTTTGATTACCATGTTATCAGTATCAGTACGCGCTCAAACCGGCTTCTATTCGGATACTGCGCAAAATTCAACAATTCCAAAACAAAGTAGACCACGTGTGATAATATTTACCAGCACGCAGCTAATCAAGGTACACAACACGGATTGTGCGATAGCAATTTATCGCACTTCTTTGATTTTAACTAGATATTGATAAATATGCTAAGACAGTTCTACAATTATTAGGTATATTTTTAAAAGCAGACGTAAGAATTTATGTAACCATTGTCGCACACACAATAACACAGAAGAATAAAATAAAATTTAAGATCATAACATTTTATAACTACACTATTTTATTAACCCATTTGGGCCCGCCGTCCCCATATGGGGACAGGTTTTCTTTTACCCGCTGGTTATTAATTATTTTAGCTATCTTCACATTTCATGGGTATTTATAATTAGGAGTAGTGTACTTTCCTAAAATTATTAGAACTTTTGACAAATTGCTACAAAAAAGGGGTCATATTGTCAATTTTATCAAGAGGAAGTGAAATGGGAATTATTATCGAAAGCAGAGGCGTTTTGTAGTACGTATTATGAAGATTTATAAACTTTTTTGTGATTATTGCTTGCTTATAGTGTCAATTAAAACATATTGAAGAATATCCTTATACTTTCAATTCCGCTTAGGGGAAAGTTAGAAAAATGATGGTGTCCCCGTATGGGGACAATGGGCACATCTGTAGTATATTTTTAAAACATTTATACCTGATTTATATTTTGTTTTCCAATTTATAAAGGTCACCTTTAGGCTAAACTTAGTTATAGCTAATACTTGGTGATAACAGACGCTAATTCATGAAGAGCATCACCAATTCCGCCATATCTTTACGCGTTCATATTCTAAAATCTGATGGGCATCAAGACCGAAGATGCAAAAGTACACCTACAGTACCAGGCGTCGCATCCGATATCAGAATTCAGCAGTAGGGGGCATTCTTCCTCCAGCTGTATTCTGGTGTCGTCACAGCGAAGTCCACCCAGAGGATAGAGTAGCATTATGCCCTGTATACGTTGACCACCGCCGTGTCTTCAGGGAAATAATCGACGACGATAATCTTCCACGTCCAGCTTAGGTTCTGGCTGTGGTGCGGAGCGAGGGGAACTGGAAAACATCTCTTTCTGTGAAGCAGTCATAGTAGCAAGAACAGATCGCCGCCTAGAACCAGACCTGTACCTGTAAGGTGCGTGGCGTTACGCGCGTGCTTCAAAGTGCAGATCAGACCGCCTTAGATCAAGATGGCTCAGTGGGACAGATGCCCGACTACTATGAATAACCTGGCGGGTTACCGGGGCTTCGGCTTGAAGCAGAATTAGGAATGTGTTGGTTTTTAGCCAGTAAGAGTCCCCCAGGTGGAAAAGCAATGCATGATTTTTACCTCAAAAAAAATATAGGCGCGTCACATCAAATTGATTTAGACATTTTCCGCAGAGATTTAGTTAATATCTGTTACGACACGCAGTTCGTCATAAAAAAACTGTGATATCAATGCAAATAATGCGTTAGAACCTTATGTATCGAAAACAGTTACTACTTCGAAAAGTACTACACATGAGACCGTTGTCCCCAATCAAGGACGGCATTTTTTTTAATACTTCTAAATATATTTTTTGATTTTTTTTTGCTGATATTAGTTTGTGGGCGTCATATCATTGAGTTAATAAAGTTTTTTTTATTAAATTATGTGTAGTTTACATTTGGTCCCAAATGGGTTAAACGATTTTGTTCATAAGACCTTGTGTATAAAGATTTCTAGCATAGTACTACTACGCTTGTCATTACATATTCCCGTAGAAGGTTACGTGTTAGCATTTGGTTTACTCAATGTTAGCATCGTGCCCTACAAAAAAAACCTTTGTGACGTATGTACGTCTCGAGCGTTTATTCAACGTTTATCTGTAGACTGTAAGTAATTATTTATCTGTTTAGTAAGGGTCGGGGAACTTATTTTAGTTTGTACGACATTCAGATTTATTATCGCGTTCATTATTTTAATCCGCGATTTAAATAGACGATAAAGTATATTTTGGTACAATGTTGTTTATGATTAAGTAGTTGCTGGGCAGTTAGCGGACCACGTCTCCGAGCCGTGCGCGACCTGCATGGTGACCTCAAAGCGCGCACTTAGTTCCTACGTAACAACAACGGCTCAAGCGCACTTTACTAATACGATCTTCTATTTGCCTAATAACTAGTACAGACATAAATTGACAAATCGTGACGTTCGTATTAAACGTTTATACTTACAATTAGAATATCCTCCCATGTCATGTTCGGGAGTTTTTAAGTGGGAGCTCATTTGGATGCGTATTTCGTAATGAGTTTTTGGACCCTGCACAGACAGCGGCCAAAGGAAATTGTATGTGGAATCAATTTAATGTTTTCTATGTCTTAATCGTAGAGTGTAATCGGGCAACGTGCTCTAAGTCAATCGTTGTATCGACTCTATTTGCGTACGCAGTTCGACTGCCAGCCATGCCGCCATGACTAATGTAAGCAATTAGTCAACGCATCGATATCGCCGTGTCAGCATCTCTACTCACTGGCGGTCATCAATAAAATACTAACAACGGCACATAAAATCGCGAGGACGCCCACCATACGCTTAAGTGTCACGTCCTGGACAACCCACGTCAAAATAGCGTACATTGTATACGTGACGAGACTGTCAATACTATAACACAATACATAATATACCGTCACGGAACATCCACTCCATAAAGATATCAATTATATTGGCTTCTTCTGTCTGTAAGAGGACAAACTTTAACAGTTTATGACAACAATGGATAAGGAAAATTAGCTATTTCAGCGGTGACATTATAAATAGGTTGTGAATATTATCAGTTGCAATAGTAACAAATGGATGACCTCAACCGGCGTACTATGTGTGTACATAGGTGAGTCCAGTTTATCCAAGGCGTTCCATTTAGAATACGTAGAAGAATTCGATTATTTGTAATATAGGCTGGTGATGTACAAAACTTTCTATGCGACAGTGGAATAAGGTGAAAGTACGATAAAGAAAGGACTGAGACGGTGTTTTCTGTTTCGCGACCTCTATCAGATAACTGTAGTAGTTTTTCGACGATCTCAAAAAATGGCAAGAAAAAACCACAACGAAAGTATCTTTTTGTCAACGTTTATTCTTTAAGTTGGTATGGAATCAGTGGTTTCGACATTTGATTAAAAAAATTATTATGTTTGCACTATTTTGTAGAATAAATAACGCTGATAGACTGCCTAATAGAAAGCAATACAATAAACTTGACGTGACCTCATATACGCTGCCAGTAAATATAGTGTAGCAAAACGTTAGTGTCTTTACAGTTTGGTGGTGAAAAGATAAAAGAATTTTCTAACAGATAAAATATTGGAACGTGCAATGGTCGTGTGGATCGCGCGTCAGCCGCGTTCGTAGACGCAATCCGCCAACGTAGATCGTCCAAAATAAACCTGGGTACCTATATAATATTTCAGCCACTAGGCACTCGAATCTCGCCGCGGGAGCGGTCGGCATTCCCGGGCTAGCCGTACGCTATCTACTCCTTAATGCACTCCAGCACTTATAATTCAACACGCTGATGATGACGCAGCGAAGCACTTCGACATTCCCTTTAGGCAGATATATGCATGGAGAATAGCACGGTAAAGCGGTGGCGTAACCCATCGTGGCGAGACATTTGCAAAAAAGCCACAAAATATTAGAATTGGCTAATGAACATATAACGCATTACAGATATAACTGTTTATCGGTGTCGTTTTATCGGAAGCTACTCGTGTGATGTTGTTATTACGTACATTATGTTGGTTTTTATGTTTCGAGGACGAATGATTATTGAACGAGTATCGGATAACCATTGAGTTTCATTAGAAGCAATCGGTCTTATTTAATTTTGATAACTATTTACTACCTTTAGCAATTGGAGTACAAGATCAGGATTAAGAATATCAGGGACATTTCTTACAAACATTATGCTAAAATTGTAGAATTTATGCTTACGTTTGAAGATATTATTAACGATGGTGGAGTAGACCGCTATTTAGGCATTCTGATCTACTGATGAGATCGAAAGTGGAGTGAAAATCTTCGATTTCAAAAGTATTTTTCTTTCGTAACAGTTTTCACTTCTCAGTGTTTTTTGTATCGGTGGCCATACACGTTAGGGTTTGGCCCTTACCTACATGCAAAAATGTGCATGCAAACCCTAGCGTGTGTGTGATAAAAGTGTACAGTTATCAGTATAATACAACTCGGACATGCCTGTATAGTTTCGCATAACCTTGCGGTTGCAACCGTCACGCAAAACTGCCACCATAACATCGAAAAGTTGCACTCAATGCTTCCAGAGAAGTGCACCAGTTTCTTATGTGTTAGGTTTAATAATGAATTGCCAAGTGAATATTATAAGTACCGTAGAGTAGATATTGCTGACTTATGTTTAGAACTGTAAAACAAACTTACAGAGATCTGAAAATTCGAGGTCAACTGATTAGGATGCTTTGATGTTCATAAAGCAGACGTGAATGAGCAGTGTAAATAATTTTAAAGCAAGTCTAAGTAAGTAATGCTGACGACATAGTTTTGTTTTTAAAGTTTGTTCTTGCCAGGTTTCGTTTCGTTATTGTGACCGCGCCTGGCCGAGTAAAGTGACGTGAAGTTTATGTTTTCCGCAGCAAAATAATCGTCAGTTGTACGAAGTCGAGAAAATAAACAACCAGTCTCGCGGGATCTCGCGCAAGCGGCGTTTTTTTCTCTAACGGTGTTATCATCATACCAAGTCTACACAAGTGAATGGTGATTTGGAAGTGATGAATAATACGATTGACCGTTATGATGGTCCCTACTGAATGTTAACATATTACTATTAAAAATAAAAGGATCTTAAAAATTCAACATTGTTTTGTAATGCTGGTCTGCAAACGTGTGCAATTTTTTTCGATCACAATAATTAAATTATTATTAAAACACTACATACAGACCAAATTATATTATGTATCTAGTTTATTATCATACTGGTTATCGACGTGCTTCATGGCAAACTTCTATTATCTACAAGGCACGTTGTTTTAACGAAAGACCAAGGTGTTATAAGTAGGTAACATGAACGTTGTCACGCGTGAGGGTCCGTCCCTCGTGGCCTGTGGGTGCACACGCACCACTGACAGCCTCCATCGCCTCATTGGTAATCGACCACCTGTCCCCACTATAAATAAACATCACTGTAGCACCCACCCCTTACCGCAACGATTAACACCATCGACCTATTCGTCCCATGACATATTTTAAGACCTGTTCTCAACTAATAAGTATGATACGTCATAAGTTTGAATATACGTCATTAGAATTTATAATAATGAGTCTATAAATACTTATACAAGATCTGTGAACTTGTTCTAAATACCAACATCTTATCGGCACTACCTACAAACAAGATAGATAAAGGATTATATTTTTCTACTTTGTCCTAACAAAGGAAATCTCTGTAAATGTTTTCAACGCCAGACAAATATTCATAGTATTAAAATGTTATTAGTACCAACATAAAAAATAAACAATTTTTCCTTATTATATTGAAACACGTAGCCACGTAGGGTAAAGATTGCGAAAGATCTAGTTTTTATACTATCTCGTAGCTGTTCGCAAATATTTAATTGGTGACTTATAAGATAAAACTCCCATAAGTATTAGTGTCAATACTAACGACCCGTCTTGGGTTATTAAACGGGAAAACAGGGCAATGAAAATTACATATTTAACTAGCCTGTAAAGATTTTCAGATAAGACTTTTGTCATGACAATACGAAGGACCACGAAATTGATAGCAAGGCTGGGCTAGGGAAGATTGCACCGAATTAAGGAATACAAAAAGTTTCATAGAACAAGAAATTATGAGGTTGTACAATTGATAGTCTTTAGCGTTCCTACAATGCTCTTAAGGTGCAGTTTATATAGATGTAACCATTTACAGCTGAAGCAAATCACGCGAGTATAACATTAAAAGTATATGTAAACAGAGATTTTCTGTACAAAGCGAATATGCGCCGTTCATTATGAAAATATTCAATAGGATTCAGCGTTATCTGCGTGCGATTAGCTACGGTGCACGGTATGGGGAGATTACTTAGGAGTTGATTCGTTTACACTTCGCCTACAGCCGGATATATGAATTAAAAACTATAATTAAGGAAATACATCTCTCTGCGATACTTTCAATCAAGTGTATCATGTGGGCCAAAGCTATTAATTATTCCGACATGTCCATTTATGTTTTTTTTTCAGTAGCTATAGAATACTATACATATTTGGTTAATAGAACAATTTCCTCAGATTTTTTGTTTTACACCTATAATGAGTTATAATTAGAGTAGGTAAAGAAAATATTTGTATCTCCTTTGTTCATACAAGTAACATAATATTACAATGGAATCATTTTTCATTGTATAACATTAATTTGAAATTGCAATGGCAGTATAAGATGTTGCTACTCAATAAACATAAAGGACACAACAAATTGCTAGGATGCAGTTAATTTCCTGAGCATTACCTTAGATTGGGTGAGGTAAGAGTGCTAGTCTATGGCATAAAAAACAAAAAGTTATGAATTTAATGGTATGTTTTCCTCAACAGGATCTAACGAGTGACTTGGACATTTAACTGGTTAAATTGTAGAAACCATCAGGTAGAATTTTAAGGATATTTAACATTTTCTAACATATTATGTAGCTGAAACTGTAACTTAAATAATAATAATATGGTAACAATAATGTCGTCACCATGGGTGTACCACAATGACAACTTAGATTAACTTGATAAAGAATACTTATCTAATTTATTAAATTAATATGATTGCCATAATGAGCCTAGCCAATTAAATAATTATCATTTTAAACTTATAATAAAACATTACTTCAATTTTTTTCTTGTAACTTGTGTATTAGAGTAATAATGTCCTCGATTACTTTGTTATTTTTATCTCAAAGGAGTCCTCATCTTTCCAAGATTAATGATTCACGGCCAAGTCTAAGCGTCTGGCAAAATATCAAATGACCCTGACTGATAGCCTAGGAAATTATTTAAATATATAATTTAATACCGCTGCCAAACCTGATTACCGAGGAATGGATAATATATAAAAGTACATAAAATTTATTTTGTCATTCTAATAAACTATCAGTATAAGATAAAATTATTGTAACAAAAATGTAGGTTTAAAAATAATTTCATTGCAACTAACAATAGAGTATTCATAAATTAGCAATATGTAGTCAATACATTTACCTAATACAATGGACTATTTATTGACACAACATAATTAGAAGTAGCCACCATTAGCAATACCGTTCTTATTAAAAAGAAACAACATTTTATGCAAGAAAACTGGCTATACAAATCTACCTGAGTATGCATATTAAATATGTTAACCAGATTTGAATTAAATTGTTATTTGATGATGTCACAGCCTTACACAGAATAGAGGCAAAGATTTTGACTGTCAGATAATTTGTCTACTTTGGACTAACTTTGTAATCAATTATGTAGCACATCATAATAATTTCGGTTTAAAATTCAATACATCCTGTAACTTATCTGTGGTGTTGATTTCATACCAACATAGCAGGATTAAACAACTGTTCTGAATAGTTTACCAAATTCCGAAAAGCACACACATGAAAGTGATGTGAATTTGTTTACATGTTTCCAGTAAATATTGTACTTACCATTTGGCCCATATTTATCCTGATTCCGCTTGACTTGATCTGGACTAAGGCCTTTGTCTGGATCGGTACCGAAGTACCCTAGGACTTCATCCACGGATTTCGTGTGAGCGTCCTCCATGGCGGAATATCTACGTTGCCGTCAGTTCTAAAAAGCAAGAACAAAATATAGGTTAGAAATGACGAGTCATCATTATCAACTTGAAAGCTTTGAGGTTATGTTGCTTTTGTAAGACAATTTTAAAATTCGACCTATTTTAATTCATTACACTTGTTAAGAATTGAAACGAAATATGGAAAGTTACAAAACAAAAATATTACTTTTATCTTTCAAGAGAGTGAGACAGTTCCTTGAAACTAAAACTACGTATTTTTTTAAATATAAAAAAAGAAGAACCAAATTTTTACGACTACAGATACAGATGAATTCCACTTTTCTATTCTTACAGATATTAGTAAAATGGGAAGACTATTAAAGTTATTAGATTTAACGAGCTATTTCCTAGATAGCAAGCACCGTTTGACCACTGCACCACTCACCACAAGTTTTTTTTATACATGAGAAGTGTCTATCTTATTTAATATTCCACTTATTTTTAGCTTTAACTCTTACTTTATACAGTTAATGTTACTAAAATTTGTACTAGTCTAATACTTTTTCTCGTAAATATCATAAACGACACGAACACGTATCTAATGCAGCCGTCATTTTTTACGAAACTGACGTAGAAGTGCGATCGATCGTAGCGCCACCTTTTATGTGATCTAGAAACTATTTTGGTCAACTGAGAATCCTTTTATTCAATAATATTTTATATTCGCTTCTTAAAATTCAAAATGGTAATAATATCTAATTGGCAGTAAAAAGAATCACGAAATTACTAGCATTTTGGTTATTTGAAAACTTATTATATTTTACGATCATACATAAATGTGGAGCTATGCTATAGGTCGAATTTGTACCACGTGACGCAAAGCTATTTTTGTGCCATAGGCGCCTACAAAATGCGGTATTTTTAAATTTCTGAAATTTGTTTCGCGTTATGTAACACTTTTATCACTTATTTATATTCACTAATTTCCTTTTCAAACTGGTATGTCACTTAATTTGCACTTGGGGTTACTACACTCACGGTTGTTTGGTTTTATAGTGGTATTATGAAACTTACTGGAATATTTTTTTTTTCGACAGCGTCGGGAAGGAAAGAAGAAATAAGAGTGGCGCGGGAGATGTTTTCCCGCCGCGCCCCGAGTAGTGACTCCCGGGCGAAGAGCGACGATTTTAGAGCGGCGCGGGCGCGGTGGAGGGACACCGTCGGAGATTTCTTTAATTATTTTGGCAACAGTACTCGATGGCACAGTCGAGTCGCTTTCCAGGGTTGCATGTCGCACGGCGGCCGTCACCGACCGTCCTATGATGATCTTTTTATAGCGGTCGCTGCCCGGCTCGAGCTCCCGGACCTTGTTGTATGATGGTTACTTCTGTTTACGACTATTAAAAAGGTTCTCCTTTTTTATTTAATATGTTATTTATAAAGGTTTAGCTGGTGGACCGAAAGAGCTTTCAATAATCGTCAATCGACCTTGTCGGGAGGGATAAAATAACGACTAGCTTATATCATGTGTTTTATCAAGATAAGCTTGTACAGAACAAACATAAGCTTATCGGTTTTTAAGTGGATTTCAGTTATCATTGCGAAATTAAGTTTTCAGGCCGTTTTCTGCATCAGTAGCTTTTGCGTTGCTGGGCCCTTCCTTTGACGTCACTTGCATATTCTTATAGCAAACGAAATAATTATTTGTGGATGTTGATTATCGGGTGGATAATAATTATTGCTGTACAATTGGATCGTGGCCGACAAGTCGACATTGGTGTTTAGGTACCTGCTGTTGGCAAAGCTAAACTATCCAATGACGCTGATCTATGATACTGAATATTTTCCCATCATGTCTTCACCTAACAGATTGGACGGATCAGTCATAATCAAAATGATGTTCTAGTAAATATAATCAGGCCGTAGGCGTGATTGCATTGAATCTTTTGACCACGAGGCTTGAGTGTTTACGCCAATACGTAGATACAATCAAGAGAAATAGATGTTTTAACGTTTGAAATAATAGCTACATTGCGCACCGTCACTCTGCAGTTGTAGTAAGTCTTCAGACGTTCTTAATTATTGCGTTGGTAATGTGTCAAATGAAATGAAATATAAATAAATGCTTACCTAAATATATAATATAACTGACCAGTGGCCTTTACATGGTGTGGTTAGTAATTGATTAAAACATTCGTTTTATATCTTAGCGTTATTTCAATAAGTTTTATCAGAAAATTTTGTTTGACGTGGAGTAATTATACTAAATACGTGTGACGTCTTATGTCTAATGAGAATTTAAAAGAACGGGTTTGCGATATCGATTTCACGACAGCCACGGAAAAATGTCAACCTTGTGTGAAGTACTTGGAATATATTTAGAGAGTGAAAATAGAAAACCGCAGGGAAACAGTTGAATGCCAATGTTAACGTTTATTTTAGAGTCTGAGTAAACAGTGTTAAAGAATATGGTGGTACCTAACTAGGTACATAATTTGATAAGCGTTTATGTAAAGTGATTAGGCATGTAAGTTTGGCTTTTGATACAGAGGTTAGTGAGGAAATCGTGCCTTACTGAAGTTCGTGGAGTTAATTCAGTGACTATTAAAACTTTAAAGGTTACCCACGCTACCTAATAATTCTTAAAAAAATCAACGTTTTATAGTTCATAAATAAGATACATCAAAGACCTTTATGCTATAACGACAATGTAAGAATTCTCGTGGTGTTCCATTAGGGCAATTTGTCAAGTCATTCTGGTAACTCTTGACTACCGGAAATATTGCGGATTTCTCAAAAAAACATTAAATTTTACAATACCTTCTACTGAATGTTATTTCATAATGAAGCTCTTAAGAAATTACATATGTGTATTGATGCTTAATTAACTTAATATTTCTTTTACATCTAGTTACGCAGATTTTTAACACGGGTTTTCAACTTCACTTAAAGTTGTGTAACATTTTTTGTTCTGCAAATTACTTGGATTTACCCGTACATTAACTCGTCGAGTACCGGTTTTATAGACACAATTAAAGAACAATAGGTCGCGGTCACCGGTGACCGCTTGGTGTTTGACAGTTTAAAATGATATCAATAGATGGAGGAAGGGTAAAGGTTGGTAAAAGTAGTCCAGTTGGAGTAGTTTCCTAATCTGACTTGTGCAACTGCTGATTGAGAACAGCACTCCAAGTCAATATTCCCTTTGATCCGCAGATGTGCATCGAATTCTGATTGATAGTAATGGATGCTCATACATGTGAGCTGGACCGGATGACCGGCAATAAATGATCGCTACAGCTTTAACGAGCGATTAAAAATCACTCTAGCTCGGCTAGCGTACTATTTTATAGCCCATCAATTAATATCCACGTTGTCAGATATTTTAGAACCACTTCGTCATTGTTTATCAAATTATTTATATAAAATTGGAACACTTAAATGTAATTACAGCTCCAATTGTGTTCATTGTTTTCTTGTATTTTGAATTGTTTACACATTCTTCGAGGTAAATCAGTAAACACACTTTGTGCCGGTAAAATTCGGTTCTTATTGTACTTGAGACATCAATGGATTTAAGTAGGTCAAAAGCGTGTGGCACCATTTTACTTTTATGAAAGTAGCGCGGTAATAATTAATCATCAATTTAAACGTGGTTGGCAAACTCTTGCCTTTTATGACTAATTAAACTCAGTAATAAGACACATGTTTTCCATTAACTCTTGTAATTATTATTTACTTTATGATTTAGAGCTGTAGGAAGCTCAATGTCGTCTATTCCGCCATAAAGTTTTAATGGTGCATCATATCAATTATGTTTATAGTACGCGTAAGTTATGGGTAAACAATATTTTGTAGTATTTTCGACTGTTGTTTTATGGTTTCCCACATTTCCTCGTTATTCGGTTCGCGACTATCATTCGTGTTGAAATGCAGGTAGTATTGCAACACTGCGTGTACGCATCCGACCTACTCTGAGATCAATGACTGGCGGTGTGAAATGAAGAAGTAGGTTTTGTTGATGTTGGCACCCGTATAAATAGAATGCAATTTTCTGCAACTAAGCATCCGGTAGCTTCTAATGTGTTCCATTCAACTGAGCCTATTATTATCACGAATATACTCACTACGGTTACTATAACGAAATAAAGGTAATTTATACAGATTGCGTTTTTTGTTTGATACACGCAAGAGTAATTTTCCCTTCATTCTAAACTAGCCTTGTTTATTACTGCCACACGTTAATGAATCAATATTTGGTTTGCTAAATGGAAGCTGACGTTTTGATAGAAATTATATTTTCATTTTCATTTTGCTAGGACCAGATGTTCGTTTATGAGTCGGTCTGCTACGATAAACAGAGATAGTCGCCAAGCAAGATTGGACTTTGATAGATACCTACGTTCCAGAGATTATAGTTTACAGATTACAGTTGAACCGATTATGTATTTTCAGGTGTATTTTGTATTTCATGGTGAAAGAGACGTCAAAGTGTCAGACGTGTTTGCAGCCAAATTTCCATTATGTGGCGGCTTGTACGAAATAACATAAATCATATTTAGGCCACGTTTTATATTCATAATTATTGTTAAATGGGCCTTAAACGTTCATGCGCATGCGTATCAAACTACTAACGATGTTTAAGAACATACTCAACAGCACGAATCGGTAAAACGAGCTTTTAAAATTCCTAGATAATTTAACGAGCACAGAGTTGCGGTAAATATATTATTCTGATATCAAATATAGTCTGCGCACTGAGCCATATCGTAAGGCTATTCGTCATCTAAAATAAACGGTCGAAGGTAATAATCAAAATAGAATTATCGTACTGAGGAGTGTCGTAATCGTCTGCTTTGGCAGAACTGAGTTGCGGTTTTTGGCGGACTACACGGATTTGGATCAAGTTCGCTATGCGTGTTAAAGGAGAAAATAGTCGGGTATAGACAATGCCACGCCGGCCTCGATCTATTTGCTGATGAGACTTGAATGTCAACTCATACGATAGTACAATGAAACATAAAGA